AGTAAAACGAGTGAAGCCACGGAGAATCAGATTAACTGGGCTTTACAACACTGTTTATAGCCAAATTATTAGCCCGTATTAAATTATCTCACCGTCATCACATTCCTAGTAGCTATGTCTAGTTCATTGTTGTAAGTGTGGTGAGTTTGTGGTGCCAAGGGGCCTGCCAGAACTACCAAGCTATAAGATAGATTCCGAGTCACTACTACAAATTATATTAACTTGAATTAGTGTATGGCGCCAGGACAGTAATATTCTCACCCTGTATTTCCTTAAAGAATTTAACGGGTGCTCTAGTTGAGGCGGGTCAGTTAGTGAACCCTGGGAGCAAGACACTCACACACACTCACACACACACTCTGCGTGGGGAAGACACCGCGCGTGCGTACTCTCTATCGCCCCGACACACACTGCCGCTGCTTGACTCTCTCTTCTGTCTCTTGTCTTGGTCCCGCCCCCTGACCCACACGCCCCACCCTCTGACCCACTAGCTCCACCCATTACTATCCAACTGGCTCCACCCTTTTTCAATTAGGCTTAGCAGCTTGTCTCAGTCTGGCGTAAGTTACATTGCAATATTTGCCAATTGAACGTTGTGAAATGCATTCACACAGACCGAATGTGAAAAGGACCTGGGTGTGTATGTTGACAATTGAACTGAAGTTCTCGAGCCATTGTGAGAAGGTGAATCAAGCAACGAAACTATTAGGTCTTATAGGAAGTGAGATGTTTCCTCGTCTGGTCCCCGAGATATGCTCGAGACTGTCAGTTGATTGAAACTGCCTAAAGGAGAGCCACCAGACTGGTGCTTACACTACGGCACCTCGGTTACCCAGAGAGATTAGAACGCCTACAACTGCCTAACTTATACTATAGGCGTTCAAGGGTGACTTAATTGAAGTTTACAAACATCTCACAGGACACTACTAAGTCGAGTGTCCATATCTAGAGCTGGCGGACGCCTGCCCCAATATAGGTCACAGATCAAGGTTGAAAAAGCCACAAGTTCAGAAAATTGACCAGAATGAGAGGCGTCGGTCCACACCTGCTGTCCACAAATATTAAGAACAGGTAACCAGTCTACTACAGTCAGACCCGAGGAAACTTGCGAAGGTTTCAGATGGGGATGAAATAATTCGGGCGTCTAGACAATAGTGCTTGAATTGTCGTAAACTTTAACTTTGGTCACATAAATAAAACCTTATCAGTAACATGTACACCAAGGGAGCGAGTGAGGAAAAAGTATGCTAAGAGTTGAAAAGCTTTTCTTAGTCGGGTTCGATAGTTTACAGCTTCATATGGATTCGAGTATAAGTCTCTGAGCTACTCCACAGTTTACACTACAGGGAAGCAACAAGAGAATGAACGGTGGGTGGCGGTGGTGTTTGTACTGGCCTGAGTCCTCGACCCTGAGCCCTGGCTGTGCTAAGAAGTATAAACAGAAAGACAAACCGCTGTAACGTCATAAATTTTAGTTCCGTCCCGTTCAATGACGTCACGCTATTGACCCACGTCATCTCGTGAGTTGGGGAGTCACAGACGGTGACGGGTAGCCAGGGATAACAAAACGAATGCCTCATGACATGATGCCATGGACATGGACGAAGCAACTAAATTTTTGAGCTTATTAGCAACGCAAAGAGTTTCCTTTTACCAGACATGGCAAGGTGAATGTCTGAGGGTACTCTGGACAACTGAATATTGCCTTACAATGGATACTTAAGTCTTAAGAAAATAGAACAAGTTTCTTTCCAAAGATACTCTACTGAAGATAGGAAAGTTCCCGCTAAAATATATATGAAATGTGTGTACGGTATAGTTGCCAGATACCTCAATAATAGAGTCATCTATTGGCTGCGTCCAAAAGCTATTCGTGACGTCATAGATGTTGATATGACGTCATGAGTGATGTTTTTCACGTATTCCTTTTATTTTAGACATATCAATCTTCATTTATGTATGCACGTATGTATACATGCATACTCCATTGCCTCAAGATCTTAGATGAGTTCAGAAATTAAAAGACAAAATCTTTTCTCTTGCACAATTATCGTACTATTACTGCAAGTGATGAATCACCTGCCATGCCGTTAAATAAATTTGGGGAATAAATTACCTTGTTTTCAGTAGAATTCTTGGCTATTAAAAGGCATTCTTATTGTTTATCTTTATTGATAAAAAAGCATAAAACCAAAAGTTCAAGTTGTGTCTTGGTTACTCATGCATTATAATATTTCATCTAACATGATACATGTAAATATTAATATTACCATAAAAAATAACATTAATTATTAATAATTAATATTATTAATTATTAATCATGCAATTCCAATAGGTAAGGTTAGGTCGGTTTCTTTGGTTAATTTGGTTAGGTACCAGATTTCAAAGTAAGTTCTTTCTGCTTAATATGGCGGGGGAGTTAGGTAAGGTTAGGTTAGGTTAGGTTAGGTAAGGTTAGGTTCTGGGATTTTTTCGGTTTCATGTACCGCACTCATAAAACGGATTTTTTTTGTAATGTAGGTTTTTATGCAGATTCCAAAAATGTGATTATTGTGTTGTAGTATCGTCTCCATTGACGCCTTCTGTTTTAAAATATTTGGTAATATCGAGTCTTAGTTATGAACAGGCTCTTCGACATCTTAAATGAGAGTTACAGTCAGTAGACAATAAATTTTCCCTATAATATCTCAAAGTCTTCCCTGGATGCGTTAGACAAACACAACCTGCGGGCATTTACACACAGGTGATCAAAACTGATTTTGAGGAGTGAACCAGTAACTTGTACAATAGCGACACTGATGGGACGACAGTGATGGGGAGGGGGAAGAATGGCCCAGAAGGGGAGACGATACAAACTCTGGTATCAGACAGAAAATATGAAGACCATACGTTACTTGATGTCAACATAAATGCGATATTTAGTGAAATTATTGTGTACGCAGGAAGAGTCACATCTGAACTAGAATAAGCGAATGAAGATGAAGGAACTGACTCGATGGGTGAAAACAATAATTAGGGAAAGGGTGATGTGTACCAAGTGAAATTGCAACCTGAAGGAGCTTGTGAGTAGTTAAAGAGAAAGCGAGAGAAAGGAGATGCCAACTCAGTGTATACAATTGTCACACTTAATTGACGAATTTCCGCAACTCTCTAACAGCTTCCTGTTATTATTTTCATTGAGTTAAATGGGGGCGAATGGGAGATTAGATTAACCGTTATTTCACCAGCTCGTAAAAACACAACAATAACAGCGCACTCTTTATACACCGAGTCTCCCAAGCAGCGGTCGACGTATATGTGGTGGTTACATGAGGAGTAAGTTAGCTGGGGAGGATGTTTTCACCCACCGCTGTTGTCACCTCTATCCTGCCTCCATCCTCAAGGTTAGTTGACACGACCTTGTCTTTTCACATGTTTACACTCACTTGGGAAACGGTTTGTCATGGGGGTGTATAGGAATCAACTCAAGACTGCATAATCATATAACTTATTTTGGTAACAAGTTTCTTTTGTTTCTGTTGAGAATTCTGAATGTGATCGGAAAGGTATGAATTCTCGACATACAATATATAATGGAATTTATTTTTTTGCAATGCTTAGTGTTAGGAGCTAGGTAACGTAAATAACATGCCTTACTCACTGTTTTCTATATTACTGTAAATATTTGTATTATTATTTCATAACTTGATCAGTGTACTATTTTATTGTTTTTATGCAGTCTTATATTGAGTGATAAAGTATGATGTTATATTTAGGATGATATTAATGTTTGTAAGGTTACGTATTGGGAATGTTGTTTTGATGTTCAGTCTTTCTACTCTCACTACGAGCAGACTCTCTGGGGTTTTCTCCTTCCACTGCTTTCTTGCTTCAATTTGAGGTGCACCGGGAGTATTTCGGATGATACTATATAAGTGGAGATTCTGGCTGTTGTTGTGTAGGTATATAAGAGTGAAGTGATTGTCACATAATTAATTTGGGACAATAACAAATGGATAATATTTATATAATTTGTCCCAGTTGTAAATCTTATCTGTAAACACTTGACCATCTATTCATTGTCACTTTATTTCACCTCAAAACTCACAGCTAAGTCTTTACCTAACGCTTTTGGTTAGGTTAGGTTAGGTTAGGTTAGGTTAGGTTAGCGAAATTAGGAGTGATATAACCGGGGAGTTCAATGTCTTTTACAAAACGGCTTCATACTGTATTTTATGAACATTATCCCACAGTTTTTAATCACTCGAAGTGTAGGTCGTTCTCCTACTGTGAAATACTAAGCTATTAACTTATTTTAGTATAGTACAATTATTTTTCACCGTTTAATTTCATATATTTCAACTCCAATTTATTGTACATCAATTATCTAAAAAAGTTGTTCTCGAGTATAAAATTGGAACTTGTGTACAACTATAGACTTAGGTGAAAAATGAGGTGTTAGCAAGATGAAAGGTTAGGACTGGTTAGGTTGTTCTGTACTGTACTGTGTATATATTGTATATGGGTAAGAGAATGTAAATTAATAACTCTCGGCTAATGAACAGTAAGGTTTAAAATAGTTGCTGTTTCGTAAAAAGTTAGCCACTAAAATATATACAGTATGTAGAGAAGTGAATTATGTGTGTGTGTGTGTGTATGTGTGTGTGTGTGTTGGGGGCTATTTTCATGTATATAATTGATGTATTTATTTTCTCGGGTTTATTGTAAAAAAATATCAATTAACATATAAGCTTCTTTAGTATTTTTCTTACCTTATGACTCACAAAGGCCTTTAACCAGGAGGAAGTGTTGTTGATAATTAGGTTAACTTACAAGGTGTTAGTTGACAAGGTATATTTTACTGGTATTTACTCCGTTATAAAGTGATAAACATATGGAGACCTGTTATGTTTCATTATCTAAATAACACCCACTGTTTCCATCTTACCCTAATATGTTCACAGTTATCATTTAATTAACATGTCAAATATATTCTATTTACAAAAAAAATAATAAGAGAATAAGTTCAATATGTTTTTATTGCTGATTCATACATTATAAGTTTATTAGTCATGTAGAGGTGAAACGTAGCCATTTTTACATTAAATTTAAGAAATGAAACATTATCTACATTTATCTAATGCGTAGATGATCTAGAATAATAGCACATTAAAAGCAATATATAAGAAATCCGTTATAAAGCAGCAAGTTAAAACAAATGTTCACTATGCCAAAACAGAAAGGAATGAAGAGTCCATCCTGAGGTGGAATTTGCCGCTGAACACATCGGTGGCGTGGCAGCCCAAAGCCAGCTCGTAAGGTGCCTTGGTCCTCAGACCCAGATTAGCTCCGAAGGAAGTATCATCAAAGTCTACATTAACTAACACACTTGGGGCAAACACACTGAGGGGAATCTCAACCTTTGCCTTAATCATCTCAAAGTTTTCAATTGCGGTTTCTATTTTCATGTCAGCCATAATTGTATCGTGTTTGTTACTCAAGTGGAGTTCAACATTGATCCTGAGTGGCTTATCAAGGCTGAGCACAATATTGGTGACTTCGTCCTTCAAATAGCGGGCAACGAAGTTCATCTGCTTATAGCCCTTGAAGGGCGTTGTGATCTTAAGGATGGTGCTCATATTCTCAGGAGACAAAAGTTTGACGATAAGAACTCCAGAAATGGTGTTGTCACCGTACTTGAGGGCCATCTTGAGCTTCATTTTAGTGCCCATATTGCCAGTAAGGAGAGCCTCAATGCTCACTTGACCTGTGGGAATCAAAGGAGAACTTACCATAGCCCTAAAACTCTTGTTTATTGTGTCAAAGATCACATCCAGGGTGTTGACGTTGTCGGCTTGTGTTCCATTGATGTGCATTTCGATCTTTTCGCCAAAGCTCATAGAAGCCGCAAGAGCCAGTCTGTTAATGCTTTTATACGGAGTTTCTATGTTGAGGGAAAGTTCTCCACTAGTGTCTGTCATGACGCTCTTACCTTCGATGGCGTGCTTTACACCTCCCACTTGTAGGTCACCTTTTAACATCATATTCGCTTTTTCACCATTGAGCATGAGCGTGATAGCATATTCTTCTGTAAGAAGGGGAGAGACCAGGTGAAGCGTAGCCAACCAGTCGACTGGCAAGTCCATTGTCAGACGCCAAGTTACATGAATCTCGTGGACCCCTTGAGGAGTCTCAATCTTCAGTGCTGCTTGTGCTGCTGCAAGTTGTAAAGTGGCCTTCAATTTGGGGAGGACAGGGGTGTCGATCTTCACAGTTACAAGAACGCCAGTCGTTGTATCCAGTTCAAAGAACAGGGAGTAAGTCTCAGAAGTGGTCAGGGAGACATTGAAGATGATATGGTCATAAGAAGCATTTGGGATTGCAATATCAAAGTTGAGCTTCAGTGTTACTGTAGTTAGAGGGGACTCCAACTCCATTCCTCCCTGAACGCGGTTACTAATTATATTGAAATTTCCCCTGAGCTTGTGGACCTCATCTCCATTAACAACAATTAGAACGCCTTCCAAGTTTTCCAGAGATGGATAAACAGCTTCAAGAGAAAGTTGGCGATGTACTGTTTCCACCATAGTATCTAGGTTGAATTTGAAGGTAGACTCGCCCATGGTGTATTGGGCAATAATGGTATTTTCATTGACAGTAAATTTAGCCACTAATGAAGACCAATCTACCATTTTGATGGAGACATTTAATAGAAGATGTGGCAGAGCATGGAAGGGTGTGGTTAGTTGCAGAGTTCCCTCGTATCCTTCACTAAGTGATAGACCAATAAGTTTACTCTGTAAGATAAACTTCTCACCAGCTACATCAAGAGTAACAAAGCCTTCAAGTTTCTCGTTAAGATCTAAGTTAACTTCGCCAGTTATTTTTGGTGTTGTATATGAGGGAAGGAGCACTTCAACATGAGCCATAATTTTGTTGTCTACATTAGAAAGTGTGAATAAACCTCCCATGTTTTCCATACCACGGAATGGTGTGTGAATAATAAGCTTTCCCTCAGAGTACTGCATCCCTTCTGACTGGAAGAGGAAGTCGATGAGGAACTTGTTGCCAAATATATCTCCTTCTAACACTGCGCCGCGTTTAGTATCCTCATCCTTGAAGCCACCTCGGAGTGCCAAGTTGTAGTCATTGTAACCAGCAAAGGCGGAGAAACTCTGTTCAGAAACTGATCGTCGGACACGCATTGTATGTTGACCGGTGAAGGGAGAAGTCAGGCGGGCCTTAACACCCTCTGAATCATAAACAAACTCTGCTTCTATTTTCTCGCCATTTTGGCCCAGTTCAACATCAAAGCTGATTTGAAGTTGATCGTCACTCTCGAATCCATAGGTCACATCATAACGAACTCCTTCATAGCCATAGTTAGGAATGTCGAATGTGCCAAAGAATCCAGATTTATAATTATTCTTTCCCTGGACGGAGAAAGTAATTTCTCTGTCTTCACCGTATCCTACAGTGACCGTACGCTCTGCTCCGTTACGACCGATGCCAATAGTTAAAGATGGCAGGGGGGTAAGAGTGCTCTCCATCATGGTCTTGATATAGTAGCCATTTGAACCACGTTTCTCGTAAAGATTATTCGACTTGAACTCAAATTCATTTAACTTCACTTCAAATTCACCTTCAAAAGATTCGGTATTGAGTTTTGAACCCATTTTAAAGTGGAAGATTTTAAGTTTGTCAAAGGAAGTATTGCCATCAAGCTCAAGATATAGTCTTTCACTATTACGGTAGCCATGGACATTGAAGTTGAGTGTATTACCATCAAAGTCAATGAGAAGACTAGCTATTTCCTTATCATTAGATGTTGATCCTTCAAGGAAGTCTTGTACATCATAAGAAGCAGCAAACCTGATAGCTTCCCATCCTGGAATTGTGAAAGCTAGATCAAATGATGACTTACTAGCCTTCATGTCAACTGTACCATTAATAATATTGTATTCAGTGCCGTTTCTTGTAATATCAAGCTTGGCACTCTTATTTTTCCAACTGGCATTGATGCTCAAGTTCTTGAGTACTTCAAATGGTGTTGTTAGTATTAATTCCAAGTTTCCTTTCTTCAGGGTCGTGGCTTTGAGCGTGAATGACATATCAACTTTGTTGTTGCCTCGTTCATATTGTAGTGTGACCTTCTTAGTCTTGCCAGAGAGGCTGTAGGTAGCCTTTGCATCAATGGATTCAAAATGTTCGAATGGTGTGGTAAGCTTAGTTGAGACCCCATCTTGATTCATATCGAAAATGAATGTTATCATCTTTTCGTTCCATTCCAAGCCAGAAGATAGTTGGAAATCGTTGCTATATTCGGCATTAACATATAGTCGGGCATGGGAGAGCATGTTGAAGGTAGAGTCTAGGGCAAGTTCACTTTCAAAATGATTAGAAGTTGTCTTCCTGGTCCACTTCATATTTAGAGAGTTAGTTTGGCTCGTAGGGGAAACTCTGGAGTATCGTACCTCTGCGTGAGCATTATCGATGTTAGAAACATCAAAGTTCATTGTTATTTGGATATTACCAACATTATGTACTTGGATATCGATGTTTCCATTTAGGACATTAAAGTTTTCACTTCGATTCCAGTTTGCTTTAACGAAATATTCCCTATTACCAAGCTTTGCAATAGCTGATACGTGTTTGTTTGCTGTGTCCCTGAAGTCATGACTAAGTGTGAACTGCATAGATCTGTATCGTCGTGGAAGAGCTGTGAACTTGAGTTCCACTGTGTTGTGAGAATACTCCGGGTAGAGTTCAGCGAGATTAATATCAATTTTGGACTCTTGGTCCTCTGACCTGATGAGACCATAAATAACAAACTTGTTATTAAAGTCGTAATTTCCAGACAAAGAGAGTGAGTTGAAACCAGAAATATTAGAGGTTGCAGTCCATGCAAATGTTGCAGATCTAGTTGCAGCGTTGCGCGTGAATTCTTCAAGATGGTGCTGGCCATGGTACTGTCCATAATTGAATGTTCCTTCAGCGGTGAAGACTCCGGCATTTGCCATGTTCCATTTGGATGTAAAGAGTAGTTCATTTTCCATAAGAGGTCCAGCTTTGAAACCGCCTTCTATGTTAACATTAGCAATATCAATATATGTGCCCTTGAGTTTCAGCATTGCATACTTCGACTCCCGTCCCATCTTGAGGAAGTAGTCGTTGTCCTCCAGTGAAAATCTCCATTGAAGAATAACTTCCTCTTCTGTAGGTGCCAAGTTTAACATTAGATCAGAGTCATAGATGCCAAGTTTCCCTCGAGCTGTATAGGTCGTTTCTCCATAATTGATCTCAAGGTAAGAATCGTCTTGGTTCTGCATGTTAAAGTTTCCAGAAATGCGCTTCCATGGAGACATCATCCTGTCAGGAGTTGTTATTCTCAAATTGAAGTCGCCCATTTTGGCAGCATAACCATAATCGATTTCAAATCTGTATAATTTGCTTGGTTGAAGAGTTACTTCGATCGTCATATGTTTCCGCTCGCTCGCACTATCTAAGTCAACATGGATGTTGGTTGTCACTGGAGTGTGAGGGAAAGTGTTCTTAATGGTGATATCAAATGTGCCTTGAGATGGTAAATTTCCTGTTCCTGATGTTTCTATTCTTAACTGTTTATCAGTTGAGACTCCCTGGCGTCTGAACATGAAGGTCATGGAGGAGAGTTCCTGAAGCTGATAGTTAATTGATGTGTGACAGTCACTAGTGTGAGCATCAATGTCAAGATGAGCCGTCTTGGCAGACACGTCGCCCTTCAACTCCAGCTTGAAGATTTCTTGTTCATTAAGTTTCATAGTGCTGTCAGCAGTTGTAACTTGTCCAACCTGGAGGTGATACTCATGGTGGAAGTTCCTTATGCTGACAAAGGGGGAGACTATGGTGATTTTTCCTGAAGAAGAAAGTAGGATACCTTGTTGAGGGTTTCGAACAGTGTTGTATCGTAATGATAAGTGCAGGTTAGGAGAAGACGAGGTTAACTCCATGTTTGCTTTCATGAGGTTGATATTATATTGGAAGTTTACGTCCAGTGTCCTGTACTGATGTGAAGGTGTTTCAATGTGAAGATTCACTTTTCCTACGTCAGCAATTTTACCTGAACCGGTAACAAGTATCTTTTCTTCATTAACAGCTCCACTAACATATCCTTCTAGGGTCTCCTCATCCAGTCTTCCTGCAAGTGCCATAAATTCCCATCCCTGAAGTTCACTTTGGACTTCAACGCTGAAGGCATTTTTTCGGCCTTGTTTTTCTACCGAGACAATGATGAAGTTATCATTCCTTCTCCACTCTGCCTTATAAGTTCCCTCGTTGACTTTAGTGATTTGCCATGAGATTTCCTCAGCTCTTTCAAATGGAGTTCTGAGATGAAGCTTGATAGAGTTAAAGCTTGTGAGTAGTGAAGCTTCTGCAGCATCGCTCATCATATTAAACTGAAGAGATCTTTTAGTACGGTCCAGAGAACTAAACAGTCTTACATTCTGTAGACCGACGATAGGCGTCTTTAGGTTAACGTCCATCGTACTGCCGATGAGTTTTCCAGAGATAGCAATGGCCTTTACATTTGCATCTTTCTCCAGAGAAATTTCCAGTGTTTTGTCCTCAGAAGTAAAGTCAGCTTTAGCTTCAAACTTGACATCAGTCCATCCAATGAATGGTGATGTCAGTTCGGATTTGAAGTACGCTAGTTTTTCTTCGATGTAACCAGCCATTAATAAGTTGTACGCGTGTTCGCCAACAGCAATGTGGACGGCAACCAACTCATCCTTATTGTCGAGATCATATTTGAGCATGACTGATATATTTTCGTAATTAGGGATTGGCGTAGTGACCGTAAGGGTGAAGTCAGATTTCGTAGGATTTAAGTTGACAATTCCAGTTAGTTGGTAATTATGCTCATTAAAAGCTATATTTACCTTGATGTCCTTATTAGTGGCAGTACAGTTGTAAGACACAGCCGCAGACAGAAGCTTTAGGATACTAAATGGAGTAACCAACTCAAACTTGATGTTGTGTTCGTTATATTCACCATGGGCTGAGAACATCCATTCTTCTGAGTTTTTGATGATCTTAATACTGGCATCCAGTTTATCATCTAAAGATAAGGAATATTGAGCACCAATAACTTCAAAGCCATCAATAGGCGTTTCAACTTTGAAGGAACCGCTCTGGAGGTTGTAGCTTCCTTCACCTTTAATGGTGTTTATCAATGTGTCTTTCTGAACAGAGATCTCGGCAGTCTTCTTCTCAGAGATTAGGTCGTAGTTGATGTCCAACGAGAGTTTATTCCAGCCAGCAACGGGAGTTTCAGCTGCCACGTGGAAGATCGATTTCATAGGAGTGAAAACTGCACGGAGGTTGAGACCGATCTTGTCTTCGTTTCTCTTTATGTCCACCAAACAGTCGACGCCAGTGTCTAAGATATCATATTTAGCTGTTAACTGAACATCCTGTATTTCTGCTATGGGGGTTGATAGCTTCAGGGAGACAACCTTTGTTTTGACGGAGAAATCGAAGTGGAAATCAAACAGCTGATCGACCTTTGTCAGAGTAGCGATCACGCTGTGTTGACCATCTACAACTGTGTAATCACCGACCATTTTGACAGTCTCAAAGCCTTCAAATGGAGTATGGATGTCAAGATGGACGTTGTTATCATTGACTTGAGTGATGACAGAAAAGTGGCGGGATTCACCTTCAATCTTCAGATCCATCTCTGCTGTTTTAATATCTTTGGTGAAGTCATATTTAGCGTTAATCTCAACAACAGTGTAACCTGGGATTGGAGAGTTGGCCATTACCTTCACAAATCCGGTTTTATGGATGAACTGAGTCGATAGTTGAACAGAATAAGTAATGTCATTTCTTATGAATGACATGTGAATATTCCTTTCAGCGTCAACGATGGTTGAGTCAAGAACTAACTCAATGTTGCTTACATAAGCAATTGGAGTTTTGATGTTCAGCTTGAGTTTAGGTTGAGAATTATATAAAATATCGGTGTTAACCTTATAGGTTTCAGTTCCCTGAACTAACTCAACGTTGCCAATGAGGTGATTGTTCTCATAAGTGTAGTCACCGCTGAGTGCTATTTCTTCCCAACCAGTAATTGGTGTAATGATTTTGCCATTGACGGCATTTTGATCGATGGAGAGTTGGCCTTGGAATGTGTTTATAACTCCTTCCTTATCGTAAACAAATGCTACCTTGTATGGCATGGCGGTGAAGTCGAAACTTCCGTTGAGATTAAGAGCAGTCCAGCCAGTATGAGTAGTGGTAATTTTGGAGGTGGCGTAACCCTTGAGAAGACTCTCGGCAGCAGCCTCCAGTTGCCAGTTGTATTGATTATCATTGAGATGAGCCTTTACTTCAGCAGTCTTCACAGATTCCTTCAAATTCCATTGGGCTTCAGCACCTAGAGTCTTGAACGCTTCTAATGGAGTAGTAATTTCTAAGATGATTTTAGGAGCAAGAGGGTCAGCGAGCATCCCAGTAAAGTTCACTTCTGCAGCACCATCATTCACCTTAATAATCACTCTCTTTTCAGCCTGGAAATCGTACATTAAGTCAACATTCATGTCACCAATGACGGTCAGCGGAGAGATGAATTTAATTTCCACGTTGGCATGATTCCCTTGGTAATTCCATTTACCGGATAAATTTCCCTTCTTTCCCTCCAAATCCATGTCGAATACGAACTGCTTTTCCTGTATCTCACAGGAAACCATATAATTCTTAGCGTCGATTTGGAGCACAGAATTGAAACTTAATGGCATGGTCATGATATGATATTCGCCACTGAATTTTACATGGTGGGCTAACTCTAATGGCATCTCAGTGTCTAAAGACCACTTAGCCTCTTGCATATGACCAGAGAAGCTTGCTGTAATTGCGTATCTCTCGTGAGCAGTGACTGCTACATGTAACATTTTTTCCGGTGAGATAACGTCATATGACGCTTCCACTATAATAGGTTGAGTAAGATATGTAGAGTGTACTTGAAGATGACCACCCATCTTTCCTTCTTCCCAGTTTCCATGAGCATTGATCTTGGTCTTGTTGGCCCCACGAATGAAGACGGCAGTAATTGACTGTTTTGGCTGGAAGTCAACCTTAAGTTTATATCCCAAAGGCTGCCAAAAGGGAGTTGTTAGAGAAGATTCAATATAAATGAACGAGGAGTCGATCTTGATGGTGGTGTCAAGCTGGATAATGCTTCCTGGTTTATATTCAATTATGAGAGTAGGTTTATACTCACGGCCATCATCTTCGTGGTGAAGATCAACCTTCATATTTTCAGTCCATGATGATGCAAGGATGATTTGTGCGTCAACCTGACGGGAGTTTTCCGATATCCTGGGGTTAATGGTAGCTGTAACTTGTACATTTTCAGCACCCCACATGTACTCCAGCTGATGTGTATAAGCAGTATCAACGTGACTCATTTTGTTTCTCAACTTATACATATTATTAATAAAGAATATGTTCTCCCAGTTGAGTATGTCGTCATATTGTATGCTATGATTAATATGGACAGACAGGGTATCCTTTATGAATGTGACGTCAGAGGTCCAGGCGCTGTCAGTCCTCATGCTCTCGATATTGACCTTAATGTCATTCAGTCCCTTGAAGGTAGAGACGACTTCGGCATGAAGGTTAGCTAGAGTGTTGACAGTGTCCAAGAGGCCACCGACGGAGATATTAATGCGCTCACCGTTAACAATAACTTCAACTGCTGAATTCATCTGTTTATCTTCAATCTTGTGAGTAAATGAAAGAGATGCTTTTATAGCAGGGCTGGTTATATGGGCAGTGAATACTATGTCATTCTTGGAGATCATGTGGCCTTCAGCATGCATCTTGAGGGTGCCAAATGTTGACCATATTCTGGTCATCTCCAACTGGGAGGTAAATTGTTGTCCGTCATGACTGTGGGAGAAGGTCGCGGTTAAAGGATATGTTAAAGGAGTGATAAATTTCAAGTCTCCTGAGACAGCTGTTGAACCGTCTGTGACTGTTTTCTCGCCGTTCACATTCAGCAACACTTGCTTCTCACCCACTTTACCTTCAGCGAAGATTTTAATGTTATCTTCATTCAACGTGTATTTGATATTAGCATCGAAAGCAGCGAGAGGAGTAATTGCTTTAACGACAAGAGTGATGTCGTGTACATCACCGAGGTCCACGTGGCCCTTCATTGTAATGGTGGAAGTCTCAGCACCGTATTTGGCCTCCAGCTTGGTAGTCAATGCCATGTCATGTAACTCGTGATGCAGAGTAACAAGAACTTCCTCTGTGAAGGGAGAGATGAAAGTGGCTCTTGCATCAACACCAGTTTCGTTGGGAGTGAGCTGGAAGTTGCCCTTCATTTCATTTTTGTTCCACAGCCCCACAATGTTGGTGTTAATGGTGGCACCGGCCATAGTGTGGTCAACAGTGAAAGTTATGCGCTCGAAATTTTCAAAGCTGCTGCTGAAGAGTATTTGGGTCTTGAGCGCATTGTTGGAGAGACCGGGTTGGAACTTGCCGTTGATTGTAAGTGCCATCTGTTCAGCGTTCTTCCAGGTAGCTGCAGCACGACTGGTGATTTCATAATCCTTGAGAGAGACTGTAAATGTAACGTCCTGTTTTTCCCATCCTTGGAATGGTGTCTCTACTGTAATGGCCAGAGACTTGGTGTCGTCGAGTGAGTAATGAACATGGGCCAAAACTCTCTTGTCAGGTGCCCACATGGCTGCCAACTCTACTCCATTATCAACAATCTTGCCAGAAGCCACTATTTCTCTCTCGGTAAACCTGTCAGGAAAAAGTACATTATTATTGGGTGTAAATAACATTGAAGAAATTGTCTAATGAAGCTATAGATAAGTGAGCATCACTTCAAAATATAAACTTTGTATACTCACTTAACGCTTGCCAAGACTTCAACAGGAGAGATGTGTCCGTCGACAATGAATGCCTTTGTTGGGTCGACGTCCTTGTCCCATTCAGCACTCACGTGTAGTTTTTTGGCTTCATCAACAGTGTTAACCTAAATATAAAAGATATCGAATTAATATGAGGATGTTTATGAAAATTTGTCACGTATTAAATTCGATATTTGTGTAGTTCTGTAAATATGGTACATAAGACTTAAGGAATTACAGTATATTGTAAAAGCTGTGTTAGAAGAAAGTTAAATTATACATTTTGATTAAAAGTAGAATTTACTCCATGAGAAATTGCAAATTTTGATACTGAATGATTACTGTAATATGTGAATGATTAATATTACTAAGATAACTGTAGTGAAGATTTCTCTTACATATGCGTTAAATAAGATGTGTCTCAATGCATTGATGTCAACAAGAAGTGAAGTGCGTGTGCCCTCGAGCATCAAAGTGTAATCTTGACCGTTCAAAGTGGCCTTGAGCTCAGTGGTGGCTTTCTCGCCATCAGCAGAAATAGCACCAGTGAACGTGACGTCATGGACTGAAGACTTCAAAGCAGCGTCGAAGATAGCATCGATTTTTCCTGGTCTAGATTTGTTCAGTAAATTTCCTCTCAGTTCACAGCTCTCTAATCCTAGTCTACCGTTTACCTGAAAGTTATCATTGAATATATATTTGAGAGTAGATATTTGTATCAAATCTTCATTATATGGAAATGTGTAGTTAGACCGTGAGTGTTTCCTCAAGGCATAGAATGAAATAATCTTGAATATTATAAAGCATTACTAGATATATTTTAACTCTTATGTCTTTAATGATTCAGAATATTAAACCTTAAATACACCTTAGAGTTAATTGTTATTAACCACTATAATGAATCTTAAATAATTGTAGAATATAGACACAAAGATAAATGCCTTACCCGGGCGCTGTGCCTGCCATCTTCCATCTTCTCGTAGACCATGGCAATGACGTAATCATTGCCTGAGCCAATGCGAACATGGGAATTCGTCCTCAGTTTATTGCTGTACAGCTGAACGTTCTGTAATGCCATGTAGTCAATGTTCCACTGTGGGCATTTGACCGCCAGGGAGATATCAAATTCACTGTGATCTTTTTCGTTGGTGTAAGAGTAAATTTCCTCAATACTCCAGGCAGTAGTTCCGTGTGTTACCTTGCTGATACTTTCCACACGTCCAGCAGAGATGATTGTTTTGTGGTCAGTCATCAGTGTCAGGTCAGCAAACTGAGTGGGAGTCAGTTCAAACTGGAGTGAATATGTACTCATCGTGTCGGAAACTTCTTTCTTGACAAGAGCTGAGTGATGGATCATATGTGTGTTAGCATCACTTAGGCTGTACTCAATATCCAACTTTGAGGACATGAAGGATTCATGATGACCAATTTGACCACCAAAACTGCCATGAACATTGACCACAACACCACTAGCAGATGTTAACACCAGAGAGGGTTCGAACTTGGTTATACCGTCTTCGATTGTTTTAAGTCCTGTTTCTAGTGAATATTTTTCATTGCTGTTCAGTGTTAATTCCATCTTGATGTGTTTGTTATGTGTTTCCCATATATACTCTCCAGTACCCTGGGCAGTCTTAAAAGGTGTGTAAAGATCGATGTTAATTGCTTGCTGAGACTTTGTGAGAGTGAGTGACATCTTGTGGTCTACTTGAGACTCTGGGGTGTCGAACAGGAAAGACATTGTGTTATCTACATTAGTGAAGCGTAAAATGTAGCCGGTCTGAGTGCCCGTCTTCTTGAAATAAAGATGAGCATCAAGAGGTCCTGTATAAGGGAAACTTGGGCTGTTGGGAGAGCTTGGCGTGTAACTAAGACCAGCACACATGGCAACACCAATAATTCCACTGGTACAGTCTTTGTGCTCCACCTTGTTTTCTACGTCTTTCTGGATCTCTTGGTCATCTGACAGGTAGAAGAATTTGGTGCTAACATCGATAACCTCAATCTTTTCCTTGGGAGTGTTGAAGGCAATGTCAACAAGCTTCCCTCCATCGATCTGGACTTTACCGTCGAGGAAGGTGGAAGTGTGGAGGGTGGAGGAGATCTTCATTCCTGTGCGGGTGACGTGTGCATCAACAACCATGAGGCCGTCCATTTGTACAGCCGCTGAAGGGTGGATGTGACCCTCAATGTTAATATTCTTGAGGCTTTGAGCCTTGAAATTACCATTCATTCTCAAGGCAAGAGTAGCTGTACCTTTAGCAGTGAGTGTCACTGGTAAGCCAGACACGGTGGGGATGGTGTAATGAGCATCCATCAGTTGGTAAGACTTTGTATAATCAACATCACCTTTACGAGCAAGCTCCATCAGAATCTCTAGTGGGTTGGAAGCTCCAGATGTCTTCATTAGGTTCTCCAGACCATGGAAGTGATTGTAATGTAGTTCATTGCCAAAGACGCGGAGGTAATAGGAACCTTCTGGCTCATCAGTTGCTTGGTCGAGGAATTCCTCTAAGGTGGTAGCTTCAGGATCAGGTTTCTGTTGACGCATGGTTTTAATTATTCCCTCTACGGTCTCTTGTGGGAAATATCCATAAGGTCCAAAGAAGCGTTCAACATATGCCTCAAGTCCTTCAATGCGGCCACCGACCTCAAAGAGGTTGATAGATTCACCAAAGAGGTCGAGAGTGAGGTTAAGCATGGCTGATCGTGGCAGGAAGGACTTGCTAGAGAAAATGACGTTGCTCTCTACAGCTGCTCCAGCGTTCAGTTCATTCATGAAGAAAGAAGACTCGTAGTTACGAGAGAACTTAAGAGCTTCAGTGTTAAACTTCTTCTGGAGGAGTTCCTCGCCGATCAACTCACGCACCCACTGTTTACCTGGGGCGGCTGACTCTTGCAAGTTGGTCATGTGAGTCCAGATGAAGGAGCCAACTTGGTTGACACCTTCGGAGGTAAGGCGATCCTTGATAGTGTCAATGAAACTTGGTGTTGGACAGGTCATGACAGCGAGGTAAGCAGCAATGCGAACCTCAGTATCTCGAGTCTCATCTTGGAAGGCTTCCAGAAGGTTAGAGCGGTCATATTCACAAGGAGTGTGTCTCCAGGCTTCAATTGCAGCAACACGAACTTCCATGTCATTATCTTCGGTATAGCAACGTTGTAAGATAGGGTTGGCGTTAACCCAACGTCCAGCGTTACCCAGGGCTTTTAAGGCGACTAAAACCTTAATCTTTTCTGCTTCATTGATGGTGGCACAACCAGATCCAAGGTGTGATTCAATAGCTCGTAGGAGTTGTTGGACACCTGCATCACTCTCACAGTCGGCATGAACTTTGCAGTAGGTGTTCACGAGAGCCGAGGCTCCCAACATTGCTTGTTGACTTGGGTTCTCCATCAGAGGCTGCAGAAGTAACAATGATTATAATAAATAATTAAAGGAACTATTGTTATGTACTAAAGCTTTATGAAGCAGTTTTTCTAACATAGTGACGTCTTATGTTTAAATGATTATTCACAAAGATAGTTCATAGTGATACTCACAACGAGCGCCGTAAACATGTCAGAAGTTGGATTTTTGAAGAAGGCAAGTGAGGTAAACCAAATGTCTGTTTCAGTTTCTGTGATTTCCCCGCTGACAAACATGTCCTTGATTACGCTAACAGCAGCGGCCGTTCCCACCAGAGGCATGGCGTCAACCAGGAACTTGCGGGAATGGCTTTCTTCTGTGTTGGTGTAAATAGTTTTGAGGGTTGGGTAATCAAGACCTTTGAGGGAGGCCACAAGAGTGGAGAAGAGAGCGGGAGTCTCGGGGTGGATCTCACCATGTCCTGCCACATCTAAATCATTAAGAATTTTCTCAACGGCCTCAACCTGCGTCTCTGGTGAGGTGGCGGTAGTTTGTTCGAAGACCAGAGATTTACTGATGGATTCATAGTCTGTTCAGAGACGTGTAGAGAAACATTAAAACTGATTTACTTACAATTGATTACATATAAACTATTTCTAGATAGTGTGAGCAAGGGATGTATCATAGGGTTGAGGTGATAATAACAATGTTAGACAAGTTGTTAAGTGATAGTGTTGATTACCGGCAGTTGGAGCAGCTGGATCCTCTTGAGATACAAGTAACATGGTGGTCTTGGCGGTGGTCACAGCACCACCTTCCTCACTGGAGAAGGGACGGAACTTGTGGGTTTCTTCACACTCTGCCATCCTGAGGACCCCGTCTTCTATTCTCTGGTTACATTTGTTTGTGCTCTTGAAGATTGGGAGGCTCTGGACGGGGGAGTCGGTGAGGTAGCCGCTGGAAGCGATGTAGGCTGAGAGGTCAGGTCGCTCAGTGCAGGAGGAGAGGTCCTTGACTTTCTCAACGGTCATTACGTTGCCCTCGAGTATACTTTTGTAGTTACTCATACAGACACCAGAAATGTCGGTCTCTTGAACATCCTGTGTATATAATGAAGTTTATTAAGCAAGAGGAGAAAATAACTAACTTTATGTCAGGCAACAGAGCATCTGATGTGTTGAAATATTTTGTTCTTAACTTTTCCTTTTATGGGAAATATAATAAATGTTTGTCACAAGTTACCTGTCTTCCCACATGAGTCATGGAGTTCTGGAAGGTCGAGAGAACACCTCGCTTGAAGTTAAGGACCCAAGCAGGCTCAGTCACCTCGCTGCAGACGCTCTCCACGCGGCCATCTTGGAATGAGAAGCGCAGGGGAGACTTACTGATGGCGGCAGCGAACTCCTCCGTGTGGGAGGAGCCATCCAGGGTGACCTCTGTCAGCTGCAACAATAACAACAAGATGGTGGATCACTGCAAGGTTGTTTAAATTCTAGTAATATAATTACCAAGAAGTGTGTAACTCATGTTGCAGTGTGAAGGTGTCAGTGTATGGTTCAGTACGAGGTAACGTTAACTTACCCTGAGTGAGTACTCGCAGGGAGCGGAGACATCAATGTGAACCTTGGCAGTGATGCTCATGTGGGCGTCATCATCGAATGTTCCCAGCAGGGCGGTGGAGGTGGTCACAGAGTAGTCGTACTCATAGCTCTTGCCTGGAGTGGGACGTGAGACAAGGTGGTTAGTGTGGGGGGAGGGGGTGAGAGATTCGTAATTTAGACTAACTTTGCAGCAAAATATTTCTGTGGAAATGAGTCACATAATTTGATGTATATCACTACTGTACATCCAAAGCACTGTACCTTATTTAGGGATAAACTATGCAGTAGTTAGGATGATCACCTGAATCATTTTAGTGATGGTCTTAATCGTTTGTGCCGCAGTTAAAAGCACAGCACTAATGACCAGTTTATGAATACGAGTTAGTTAATTGTTATCAACAATGCTAACAATCATATTTGGGAGTTATAAGAAACAATTTTTTTTTTGATGGACTTACCTGTTTCATATTTAAAGAAGTCATGGTCGGTACAGTGGTCTGCACACGTCGTTCGCAGACCTGTTGGCACTGGGGGAAGAAACATAAAATATCAGTTATGTTTTAATTTTAGCAAAACTCCTTAGAATTTAACACGTTCAACAGCCATTTTATGAAACTAATTACAGTGAACAATCTGGTGACCAAGAGACCTCTATGAAGATTGCCTGGTCCTCTTGACTACTAAACATTAGCTGGTAGAGTCCTAGTCTGGGGGACCTTAGGAGTCATGTATCCTGGCCTGGGGGAGGGGGGGGGGGGTTACTGCCGCCCATCCCTGGTTCCTGGAGCAGCTGTCTCATTTTCACAGTATGGAGTCTAACATTATTGAGGAGGCGACTCCTCAATAAAACATGAAAGGTTTTATAATTTTTTAAGTGGTTTAAAATATTATACTGTATGTGTGTTTAATCTTAAAGTGAATATGACGTTACATGACTTATTGTTATGACGCCAGATGAACTGTATACTATTAGTTAATTAATCAGTCGCAGCCAATCCTCAGTACTGTACAGGTATCATGAAATAAGTAGAACAACATCTCTTAGTAGGATTTTTGTTCCACTTTAAGGCAGCAGTCCCGAGGAGAGTACAAACATTAAACAGACTAAATCACTTCGCGATATTAAAATATAAATGGAAGATTTTGCGCAGAGACTGTTAACTCTACTAAACTGAAGTCTTATGATACATACTGTAGCATTCCCGTGAGCTCATTTTGAAGTTACTGTACATTAAAACATAACATTAGTGTTATCGGAGTAACTGTCCAAATATTAAAATTGATATTGTTACATGCAATGACGATCAGCGTTTTGGTAGTATAGTATAAGGAATTGAAAGCCTCGTAATATTTAAACTTTGATATGGCACTATTGCTTGGTAGAAACACGAAGATTTATTTTTCAACTTCACTTCTTTGTTACTCGTAGAATGACGGAGAAGAAATCAATATAACTTGTGATTATTTCTCTGTTTCAACACTTTAGTTCACTAGGTCAGTACTGGGTAGTTTACCTGCAAGGGCGGACGCAGCCAGGGCGACGAAGATGAGCGTGGTGCGCATTTCGACTCACTCTGTCTGTAGACAGGTCTAGTCGGAGCTACAGTGGCTGCTCTTTCCTTCTCTCCAACACCTTATATACCCCTCGCCCAGACGCTGAGGTTAAGGTCTTCATCCATATCACTTTGTCGGCGACAGATAATTCGGTGAGCTTCTAACTCTGCACATCTGTACCCTGTTATCAGTACATGTAACAGTGAAGACTTTAACCTCGAGTTCTCGATTTTACTCTTTTTATTATTGTGTAGTGTAATACTACTCCTACTGCTGCTACTACTACTACTACTACTACTACTACTACTACTGCTACTAATAATAATAATAATTAACGGCTTATTGAAAGAACATGACAACTTAAAGGCTGAAAATATACAATAAACGGAAATGATAAAAGTTACATAATTGTGGAGACGGTCACTTTATTGACAATATACAAGTGAAATTAGTAGAACAAAAATAATATTTAATAACAAGGGAGAGAGGATCATTAAACAGAGAATTTCAACGCAGCCACAGTACAAAAATGAGATTGGCAGGGAGCAAACACATATAGCTAGGTCAACAACGAGTTACAATGGTTGGAACTGGGCTGTTCTTATAAGCGATCAGTGCGTGGTCGTATGGGCTGGCTGTGGTTGTGGTGTCGAACAGCAATTCGCGGACGAGGGATTTCGGGTAGAAGCAGGAGACGTTGAGGAGGATGGTGCAGAAGCTTCTCCCCCAAACTTATAGATGGGGCCATGGTGATGATCAGAGAGAGCAGAAAGGGTCAGCTCAGGTGGTGGAAGTCCGAGACAGGAGACAGAGGAGATGGAGACGAGAGCTGGAGGATTTGGCAATTGCACTGACGTGTACTTTCCAATTTAGTTTGTTATCTGTGGTGATGTTATGATAATTTGAAAAGTAATGAAGGAGGTATCGTGTCCACAAAACAGACAACATTACTGTGCCAACTGACTTCTTTTCCTTCGCTTTTGCATAACGACTATAGACCTTGGTTGAGGTTCATAATGTAGAATATATATTATGGGATAAAGCATTCCCGTTGTAGGATAATAACACTGTAATCATAAGTGTGCTCTGTAGTATTGTAATATGGAGCTACCTGTACTGTATATAGGGGTTCTTTATACTGTACCAGGATAATGACTTCAGTGTAGTAGCTAGTATAATGTACTGTAGGGTCGAGGTCGTCAGTGTGCGCCTTAATTCTGTAGTACTCAATACAGTACTTACATGATCCTCATTTACTTCGATTGTTTACGTATCTTTCACATAATCATTTATTAAGGAGCATAACTTAATGGCGTCTCACTGGTACACTTGACACCCACATTAAAAAAAAAATATAATAATCACAAAATTTTTATCGTGCCCACTGTGTTGTCAGTCACGATAGCTGCTCGGGCAAAGGCTGGTCATAGTTACACAACACTGTCATCTTACATAAATGTCGCCTTAACGCTGTGATCTGGTAAGGTAACCACTTGAGAGATAATGCCCCTTACCCACATACAGTTGTTTAGATCCGTACAATGATAACGGGGGCAGAACGTATCATGCAGCACAGATTATTAGTGTAGGAAAGTGTAGAAATTGAAAGAATAGAGTTAGGAGTGAACACTGTCAACGGGAGTGTGTGGAGTAGTGGAGGCTGGACGGGGGGGGGGGGGCAGCCATGGTGGTGGAATAATAAAGTGATAAAGGAGAAAATAATATTGTACAAGGCCTGGAAGGTAAATGGTGATAAGTGTACCCGGAAGCCAAGCACAAGACCAGCAGAGACGTGAATAAGATGCATTTACGGATAAGCTGAATCGTTCGGATGTTACAGTCACTATCACGAGACTATAAGACTAGCTTGCCGTGGGAGTTGTTTACTGACGCCTTAGTGCTGATACCAGATAGTCTTAAATAGGCAGTAGAAAGATATAAGAAATGGAACGATAGAATGAATGTGGTGAAAGAACCTTTTTTAATGGGGATTAGCCTACCCGGGCACAGTCACCGACCCACAGGGGCATAGGGGGTGTTGCACCATAAAAAAAGTAGATTCATACAGAAATGGAGAAAAAAAACTAGATCTAGAGTAAGAAACGATATATATGTTGTTTTGTCAAAGTAAGGGAAACAATTGAGACCCTGCAATTGTATGTAAATGAGGCAGAAAGTCAGTCAGATCAGCAACCTGGAACTTGGTCACATTATGGTTCCAATATCTTCCCAGGCGGTAGTACCTCCTTGTTTGATAGCTGCTTACTACCATGGCAATCAAGGTGCCTCGGCTTTTTTTTAGTTTAACAAATTTATTGACAAAGCTTCGAGTACAGTTTGCCTATTCTGAGTAATTCAGTCAGGTCTTGACACTGAGGGTGGTATCACTTCTCACTGCCACGCAGGACAGAGGTTCATACACAAAAAAATACATCATATTCATTAACAGTATATATAGGTCAGAGTCATGTGGGTGATGTCACTGTTCACTGCCATGCAGGACAGTGGTTCATATACATTGGACGTCATATGCTAATTGAAGACTAAAATCAGTGTGGGCTAGAAAATTTGGGATAAACAGCAAGAATGTCCTCAAGCACCCCCGATTCAATGTAGTAATTACAAAGTTCATGATACAATAAGCCAGGTGGCCTGAAGTCTTTGACAGTGTCACAGTCAATAATATAGTGTTCAAGTGTATGCTTTAAAGTTTTATCACAATTTCTACATGCTGAGTGTTCCGATATGGGTAAAGCGTTACTAACTTGCCAGATGTGTCTGTATCCTAGCCTAATTCTGGCCACGACTACATCACACTGTCTGGTTCTGTCCTTATGCTGGCCATACCGGTACCTCTTGTCACAAAATTTGTCATATTTACTAATACTACAACTGCCAGGTCTCTCTGCATTTCTCAGTTCATCTAGATCAGAGTTCATGATTCTGACTTGAATGTTTTGAAATACAGCATTTTACAGGCCAAGGTCACGGTCAACATTTTCTTTCTTACATGCCTCATTGGCCAGTCTATCAGCGCGGTCATGATACCTAATTCCAACATGGGACGGAATCCACACAAATTCTTACGAGAGTTGTTCTCATTGGCAGTTATCACATTTCTTTATACCACATACAACTTTAGACATAGAACCTGATTTCATTGATTTCAAAGCACTTTGAGAGTCACAGAATATCACCCCACCTCCATTTTCTTTGAGGTAGTCTGTGGCTAAGTAGATTCCAGTTAGTTCAGTTTGTGTTGTGCTGGCCCAGTTGTTCAGCCTTTGCTTGTTTGACACTATCATCTCTTTTTCTTTATATATTACAATTGCACAGCCTGTTCTACCTGTGTTTGTCTGCACAGAACCATCAGTAAAAGCATAACATTCACTTGATTTAATACTCTCTATGTGTCTGTTAATAGTTTCTAGTGTGACACATCTCACCACATCGGTGTTTAACATTTGCTGACTACCAACAGGAGTGTAACTAATAGGAACTGATATATCCAGCCAAGGAAGAATGGCATTAATGGGTTCGTCTGGGGTGATTGGGACATTCAGTTCAAGAGATCTGCAACACTTTTATGAAGCCACGCCCCAAAGAGAGTCTTTTGTGGAAGGTTAGCGAGATGGTCGGGATTACTTAGATAGAATATCAACTCAGTGGAGTCGGTTGGAACACTCAGACAATGTTTAAGGATTATGTTACAAAAAACATGATCAGTTGGCATTTGGACTTTTATCATTTATTGAATACAAATACCAGCGATATCTGATTTAAAGGCATCTTACAGAATTACTTGACATAACAAATAATTAAACTGTATATTGAAATTATCGAGCTATCTTAAAATAAATTGTCTTCCTGCTTCGAGCACAAATACAAGACAGGTTGAACTATTATTATTTTTTAATATATGTTAAGTATTAGAAGTGAATGTATCATATCCAAAAGATTAATACAACATTTCTTTTTTTGCTTATTCTTATTTTCATGAATGGCCACAGGATTTCCGGACTTAGTGTAGATAGTGTACTGTATACTGGAGAGATAGTGGAGAGAAATTTAAGAACTGGAAGGATAAAGTGGAGCCAAAAGGTATGAGAGAGTGAATGTGGTGAAGAAGCTGTGTCGGGAAATGGAAAATAATTGTTGGAAGTAATACAACCTTGTGTAGTAGGTATATGTTAGGTGGATAAACATCAACTCAAAATAACAAGAGTATATTATTCATAAAGTTGGTTGAATATAAGTAAAGTTAAGTATTCGAAAGTATTTTAATGAAATACGTTGATAATAGAATAATTCCTTCCCTCCATTCTTGTAGTTAAGGGAAGCCATTCCAATGTTTTCTGTTTTTAAGTTGGTGCATAGTGGTTCAAGTCTGGGGTGATGGTGCTGAAGCAAGGCACACACGTTGAAGATGATGGAGTACTTGAGGTTTTACTCTGTCTCTCTGTCTCTCTGTCTCTCTCTCTGTCTCTCTCTCTCCGTCTCTCTCATTGTACGCAGCATCATTACCACTTCTTATACAATATTTAAAATGTCACGTCAATGGCGAAAATATAATGCCAATTGATTTTTTGTACAATTTATTCATTTATAGCTGAAAGTGATTCAAAGTAATGTATTATGATGTATGAGAAAAATCACGTGTTATTATGGTGTTGCCTGAGTGTTATTTGTTCCTGAAGATGTTTGAGGAAATAATACAAAAGAAGAGCATATGTAAGAGAACGTGATGATCTGGAGTGAGGAAAAAAGAGAGAGAAAAAAAAGAGAATAAATGAGAATGGAAAACAAAATGAAAGAGGGAATATTATAGAAGAAATAAGGGAGGTAGTTGAATAATTTTAAACTACAGCTAAATAAGACAGGCGGAGTTATCCAATTGAGTGTCGAAAGTGAAAGAGGAATGGACTACTGTTAACTGAGAAAAACAAGTAGTAGTAAAATACTGTAGCATTAGAATAAACGACAAGCCAGGCTATATGTGTGACAGAGGGGAGAAGGAGGGTACTAAAGACATGAGACAGAGGGGAGAAAGAGGGTACTAAAGACATGAGACAGAGGGGAGAAAGAGGGTACTAAAGACATGAGACAGAGGGGAGAAAGAGGGTACTAAAGACATGAGACAGGGGAGAAAGAGGGTACTAAAGACATGAGACAGAGGGGAGAAAGAGGGTACTAATGACATGAGACAGAGGGGAGAAAGAGGGTACTAAAGACATGAGACAGAGGGGAGAAAGAGGGTACTAAAGACATGAGACAGAGGGGAGAAAGAGGGTACTAAAGACATGAGACAGAGGGGAGAAAGAGGGTACTAAAGACATGAGACAGAGGGGAGAAAGAGGGTACTAAAGACATAATAGAGAACGTTTATAAACCCATTCTGGTATAAAGGAAAATGTTATACCAAAATATATAGAGGATAAGATAAGATTAAGTAATACGGTAGGCTACGCTAACTGGGTTGAGTTCTTGACGAGAAAATCATAAATCATAACAAAAATAAAGGTGTTTGACGAAGAGCAGTGTGGGGTTTAGGAAAAAAAAGAGGATGTGTTGGTGAATTTCTGGAGAAGGGGATGAATGTGTTTGGGGTATTTATGAATATGTAAAAGGAGTTTGATATAATAGATGAGCCTTTATAGGAGGAGTTACTGGTAATATATGTGTATGGATGTTAAAGGATGCAGAAATACTCTATGTATGAAATCTTTTTATTGCAGATACATGGGTTACATATTTTGAGTGTTAATAGTTTATATACATGATTATAGGATAATCATAACCAAGTCAGATATAAGCAATAATGTTATGTTTACTCCTAGAAATTAACACACATATTCTCCTTCGATATGCACAAATATTTAATTATATGTAGAATTCTCTAAATACACGATTAAATATTGACATGGTCTGAATATCTATGACTAGAGGCTGAGCTATCGATGGAAGATTCTTTAAAAACTAAACTGTTAACATTATCCCTAAACAAATGCAGATATGATTGAGGAGTCAATTCTGAGGTGGAACTTATTGCTGCTAATATCGGGGAGTTGGTAGTCATAGGCCAGCACATAGGGCGCCTTGGTCCTCAGGGCCAAGTTGCCATCGTAAGAAACGTCGTCCAGGTGTAGCTCAGCAGACATCTTTGTAACATCGTCACGTTCGAAGTCTGCAGCAATGCCGTACTTGTGATTAGGCAGCGTCAAGACTGCTCTTGGAGCGAATTTGGAAAGGGGAATATCTAAGTCAGCCTCAATGTTTTCGAAGTCTTCAATGGAAGTTTCAATCTTAAGGTTACCCTTGACTGCAGTGAATGTATTAAGGAACTGAACATTCACTTTAAACATGACTGGTTTATCTAGAGATAGAATTATGGTTGTGAATTCATCCTTCGTATATTGGGCAACAAAGTTCATCTTCTTATAGCCCCTGAAAGGAGTTGCAACCTTCAAGTTTACTTTAATGTTGTGAGGAGAAGGAATTTTCAAATCAAGAATACCTGATATAGCTTTCTTATTGTTCTTTAGGGCGGCTTTGAAATGCATATTTTTATTCATGTCGCCAGTTAGTGCAGCTTCCGCGCTAACTAGTCCAGTAGGGATGAAGGGTGATTGGACAACTGTTAAGAAGGTTTTGTTCTCTTTGTCGAAATCAAAATTAAATGCATTAATTTTTCCAGCCAGATTAGCCGTTACTTGTAACTGAACTTTATCCCCAAAATCTAAGGAAGCTTCAAATGTAGCTTCATTGATGTTTTTGAATGGTGTTTCGATATTTAGGTTAAAACCACCTCCATTTCTTCTCATGGATGTACTTGCTTCAATAGCATGTCGTACATTGCCTACTTGGAGCTCTGCCTTGCCCACGCCATTTGTACTGCCACCACTAAGCATTACACTGAAAGTATAAGTCTCTTTGAGGAGAGGAGACATCACCTCAACAGTAGCCAACAGATCAATAGGCGTCTTGTGAGTTACACGCCATGTACCCCGAACCTTGTGAGTTCCTGTGGGAGTCTCAATGACAAGTTCAACACTGTCAGCAAAATATTCAATGGCAAGAGTCGTCTTAGGGAAGATGGGAGTATCGACTTTTACAGTGGCACGAACACCAGTCCTTGCATCGAGTTCAAAATAAAAGGAATGAGTTTCCAACGTAGACAGTGTCACGTCAAAGATAGCGTGTTTGTAAGAAGAACTTGGGACTGAAATGTCAAAAATCAACTTCCGTGTTCCCTCAATTAGAGAAGATTCTATCTCTATTCCACCTTGAATGCGATTGCTGACGATGTTGAAATTTCCGTGGATATTATGAGTTTGATGTCCGAGCATAATAATAAGAGTGGCTTCCAAAGCTTCTAATGATGGGTACTTAGCTTCAATAGAGAGCTGGCGTGAAACATTCATAATTACAGAATTCAAGTTGAACATAAAGGTAGCTTCGCCCATGGTGTACTCTGCAGTTAATTCATCATCATTAATGGTTAATTTTATTTTATTGTGTGCAGTACCGAAGCCCTCCAGGATTAAACTCGTGTTTACCCCTCCATATTGTCTGCCGTCAATATTAATGATGGCTGTAAGTTTTTCTGGAGAGAGTTGGTATTTTACTTTCAATTCGTGTGTATCATAAGGTTCAACGACTGTCACGTCAGCTTCCAAGGACGACAAAGATTCCATTTTGATTTTCCCATTGATAATAACGGTTGATATAGCATGGAAAGGTGTATACAGCTCTACAGTGCCTCGGTAGCCTTGACTTACTGAAGCACCAGCAAGATTACTCTTGAGAGTGAACTGTTCACCAGCCACATCAATTGTCAAATAGCCATCAATTTTCTCATTCATATCTAATTTAAGCTCTCCAATTATTTTTGGTGTTGTATATGAGGGAAGGAGCACTTCAACATGAGCCATAATTTTGTTGTCTACATTAGAAAGTGTGAATAAACCTCCCATGTTTTCCATACCACGGAATGGTGTGTGAATAATAAGCTTTCCCTCAGAGTACTGCATCCCTTGTGACTGGAAGAGGAAGTCGATGAGGAACTTGTTGCCAAATATATCTCCTTCTAACACTGCGCCGCGTTTAGTATCCTCATCCTTGAAGCCACCTCGGAGTTTCAGGTTATAATCATCAAAGCCAACTTCTGTGAAAAAACTGTTAGACGAGATAGACCGTCGGACACGCACGCTGTGGTCACCAGTTGCTGGAGAAGCTAGACGAGCTTTCACACCTTCTGAATTATAAATAAAGTCTGCCTCGATTTTCTTGCCACCGTCATTCAATTTAATATCGACATTGATGTGAAGCTCATCATCGCTTGTAAATCCATAGTCCACATCATATCTAACCTCTTCATATCCATAGGCAGGGATGTCAACAGAACCACTAAATCCAGATTTAAAGTTGTTCTTGCCTTTGATAGACACAGTAAGTTCTTGGTCGTTACCATATCCCACAGTCACAATATATTCGCCATCTTCCTTTCCAAGGCCAAAGATCAAGGCTGGAAGAGGAGTAAGTGTACTCTCAATCTTATTCTTGAAATAGAAGCCATCATTTTCATGCCTCTCAAAATGGTTTTCAGTCTTGAATTCGAATTCATTTAATTTAATTTCGAAGACTTCATCACGACTTTTAGCATCTATTTCTGAGTTCATCATCAGATGGAATTCTCTCAATACGACAAGAGAAGATTTTCCACTCATCTCCATATATATCCTCTCACTGCTGCGGAAACCATGCACGTCAAAGTTGATTGTATAGCCTTCAAACTCAATTTCAAGACTAGCTAGCTTCTGATCATTACTTGTAGTTCCAGCAATGAAGTCTTGCACATTATAAGAAGCAGCTATCCTAATCGTTTGACTTTCTGGTGATTTGAAGGAGAAGTCAAAGTCTGATCTAGTTCCTTGGAATTCTGCTTCACCTGTGAAGCTGTAGTGATTATCATTTCGTTGATAATCTAGAGTGGCTCCTTTTTTACCCCATCGCCCTTCAATATTAAGGGTCCTTATCATTTCAAAGGGTGTTTTAAGATTTAGAGTAAAATCTCCCCTTTTCTTACTAATCTTGTTCAAGGTAAAATTGAAATCAATCTTCTGTCCCCCGCCTTCATATTTTAAAACTACACTTTTGTTTTTGCCAAGGAGACTATACGTGATTAGACTTTCAATTGATTCATAGCCTTCAAATGGTGTTGTTATTTTTCCAGAAACTGAATTATTGCTCATATCAAATTGTGCTGTTATTACCTTGTCATTCGCTTCTAATCCAGATATTAATTTGATGTTCTCAATGAAGTCAGCCACTACATAAACACGAGCATGGGAAACAGTTGCAAAAGAGGAATCCCAAATTATTTCGCTTTCAAAGTGACCAGAAGTCATTTGCCTTTTCCATTTAATGCTGAAAGTGTGTTCTCCGTTCGCTGGACTATTTCTCGAGTAGGTCACTTCAGCATGAAAATTTTCAGCATTTGAAACATCGTAGTTTCCAGTGATGCGGACTGCACCGAAATATTTCCCTCTCATATTAATACCACTTGTAAAGGTGTCATACTCGTCACTTTGCGTCCAATGAACCTTCAATCGTGCGTCACTTTTACTTATCACTGCAACAGCCAAGATGATTTTAGTATCTTTTCTAAAGTTATGTGTAAGTGTTAATTGGAATTCGCTTAAATATTCCAGAAATGGGCCATATTTTGAGAGGATTGGAATATTCCATTCTATTGTGTTGCGAGAATTTTTGGGATTGAAATTGGTAATATTGACTTCAATTTTTGAAATTTCGTCATTTATTCTGACTTCTGAAAGAAATACTAATTTGCCATCGAAATCGTAATTTCCAAATAGAGAAATAAGCTGGAAGTCAGGATAATTTGAGTTTGCTGTCCATTTAACTGTTGCAGCCCGCTTTTGGGGATCTCCACGAATTATCTCTAATGTGTGAGTACCATGATAATTGTCGTAATTAAATGATCCCCCTCCAATGATATTATCACCTTCTTTGTTCCATTTTGTCTCGAAGAGAACTTCATGTTCTTGGTATGGTCCAGCCTTGAAACCACCCTCTAGATCAACATGGGCAATATCAGTGAAAGTTCCCTTTAATTTCAACATTGAATAACTTGATTCTCTTCCAAACTTCAAGAAGTACTCTCCGTAATTGCCTTCCCTTTCAAATTTCCACTGAAGGAAGATCATCTCTTCAATGTTGCTAGCAGTCAGGGTCATTGTTGATTCTCTCAGGCCAACTTTACCCCGAACTGTGTATGTTACTTCATCAACAGTGAACGTAAGACTTGAGGCTCTTGGGTCTTGCACATTCCAGCTGCCTGAAACAGTCTTCCATGGAGTGTCTGGACTGTTAGGAGTGTAAATTTTTGCGTCAAAGTTGCCATTGAACGGGTTAGTTATGTCTATGTTATAACTAATGTCAAGTTTATAAAGTTGATTTGGTGTTCGACTAATTTCAATCCTTACTGTTTTGGGTGTTAAGCTTCGATTCAATTCAATTTTCACATGAGTAATCTGGGGTCGTGGCTGGAATGTGTTGGTGATTACAGCATTAATCGTGCCACTGAAAGGCTCGTTCTCTGTTGCAGATTCAGCCTTTGTTGCTCTTGCATCAACCTTAAACTCTCTCTCTATGGTTTCATTATTTACTTGCGTGTCAACTTTCACAATAAAATTAAAAATGCTCCCACTCTCGTAATGAATATGAATCATTGTGTGGCGGTTGTGATGACGAGTATGTATTTCTAAGTGAGTCTTATCCTCGTCTTTATTATGTTCCAGTACCATATTGAAAACATTAAGATCATTCACTGTTATCTTTTGGGTAACTGTGATAACATCAGCAAATGCAATTTGGTAGTCCAGGTGGAAATTTCTGAGCGCTGCGAATCGTGATACAAAGGTAATCTTTCCCAAAAAGGGAGTAATTTGTACATTCAATTCAGTGTTTTCTCGACGGTTTGGCACTAGCAGATGAGATTGAAGGCCATTTCTTCGACTAAGTTCAAACATGTAGTGGAACTCTGAGCTCGTAGACTTTGCTTCAAAATGAATCTTCTGCTGTCTTCCACCATATACCAATTTACCTTCAACCTTTTTGTACTGTTGATAAGGCGTGGTTACTTCCAGGTTGAACTCGCCTGATGAGGCGTGGGTTCCTTTTACATGGATAGAGACTGCATCTTCATTAATAGCACCACTTACATAGCCCTCTAATGTCTCTTCGTCGAGCCTGCCAGAGAGAGCTAGAAATTCCCAACCTTTTAGTTCACTGTTAATCTCCATATTGAAACTACGAGACTGGTTATCCTTTTCTAGTGAGATGGTAAAATAACTACCATCTCTTCTCCATTGACCACTGTATGAATTTTCATTTATTTTTGTTATTTCCCAAGTAATTTCTCGTGCTCTTTCAAATGGCGTTTTTAAATGAAGCTTGACAAAGTTAAAGCTGGTCACTAATGAGGCTTCTCCAGCGTCATTCATCATTCTGAATTCAACAGATCTCTTTACTCGATCTAAAGATCCAAATACGTTTACATTCTGGAGGCCGGTGAAGGGGGTTTTCAGGCTAAAGTCCATTGTACTTCCAATTAGTTTTCCAGAGATAGCAATGGCCTTTACATTCTCTTCTTTCTCTAGGGAAATCTCGAGCAACTTATCCTCTTGTCTGAGGTCAACCTTAGCTACAAACTTGACATTCGTCCATCCATAGAAGGGAGACTTGATGTCCCATTTACAGTATGCAAATTTGTCTTCTATGTAACCGCCAGCTATAAAATGGTAATTGTTCTGGCCAGCTCTCATATAGGCTGAAACCAGTTCGTCCCTGTTGTCGATATCATATTTGATCTGGATGGTCAAGTTTTTAAAGTTCTGGAGAGGTGTGGTGGCTCGAAGAGTGATGCCAGATGATCTAGCAGACAAAGTGAGAGCCCCATTGAGTACGTAATTGTTCTCATTGTATACGATAGTCACTGTAGCGTCCTTTTGGCTTGAAGTCCATGTATAAGATGCAGAAAGTGACACAAACTTCAGAACCGAAAATGGAGTTGCTAGCTCAAAGAACATGTTGTTTAAAGCATAGGACGTAATGATGGAGAAGGTGTTTGAGCCAAACTGAATGACGCCCTTGCCAGCCTTAGCAGCGAAATCAATTTTCCCCTCAATAGATATTCTATCAAATTCTTCGAAGGGAGTTTGGAAACTGATAATAAAGTTGTCGACGTCGTAGCGGCCATAGGCTGAAAAGATCCATTCTTCAGTATTTTGGTTAATTTTAACACTGGCCTGCACTATGTTGTTATTCTGGTTCACACTTAGTGTGTATTCAGCACCAAGAACTTCAAATCCTTCAATAGGTGTTTCAATTTTGAAGGAACCACTTTCAGGGTTATGACTTGCTTGAATTTTGATCGTCTTGGAGAAGGTTTCTTTCTGGATAGAGAGCTCCACAGATTTCTTCTCGGAGATAACGTTATAACTGATGTCAAGGATGAGCTTACTCCAGCCATCAATAGGTGTATCAATGGCAACGTATAGTTTAGGTTTCATCGGATGAAATTCAGCATTTGTCTTGAATTCAAAAACTTCGTCATTTCTTTCAAAGTGAACTAAACAATTTATGATGTCGTCAAAAAGTTCGTACTTGCCATTGATTATAACATTATTTATTTCTGCAATAGGAGTTGACAATCTAAGTTCGGCACTGTTGGTATCCAGGGTAACATCGGCGTGGAAATCATAAGTTTGATTGTTTTTAACAAAGGAAGCCACCACACTATGTCGACCAAGGTTACGTGTGTAATCACCTGTCATTTTCAAAACTTCATAACCTTCAAATGGAGTAACAACATCGATGAACAAATTGTTATCATTAACTTTTGTGGCTATGGCGATGTGTTGATCCTCACCTTCTTTCTTCAGATTAATTTCAACGGTCTTAATATCACCTGTGAAATCGTAGTTGGCGTAGATGTCCACAGCAGTATAACTTGGGATAGGTGATAGAGTGACTACCTTTATGAATCCAGTTTTGTAAAGTAACTGACCAGTGAACTCAGCAGAATAAATTATATCATTTATCGAGAAAGAGAGGGTGAATCTCTTCTCTGTGTCGACCATATTGGTGTCTAATATTAGCTGAATGTTGGCAGCATCGGCGATTGGAGTCTTGATGACAATTTTCAAGTTAGGTGTCTGGGTTCTAAACAGAATGTCACTGTTAACTTCATACTTCTCGGATCCCATGTTAAATTCAACATGCCCAGTGAGGTGATCGTTCTCCATGTTGTAGGTACCATTCAGTATGATTTTCTCCCAGTCTGCAATAGGTGTTGTGAACTCTCCAGATATGTTATTTTGGGTTAGGTTAATATTACCTTCAAAGGCATTAATAACACCTTCCTTATTGAATACCAAGGCTACCTTATAAGGCATGGCTCTGAAGTCGAAGCTTCCTTTCACAGACACATCAGTCCAACCTGCCAAAGGAGTGATGACCTTGAAGGTGGCATATCCCTTCAGAAGGCTCTCAGCAGCAGCTTCCAAATGCCACCTGTAAGAAACATCATTATGGTAAGTCTTGACCTCAGCAGTTTTCACAGAGTCCTTCCAGTTCCATTGAGCTACTCCGCCGAGAGCCTTGACAGCCTCAAATGGAGTGATGATGTCCAATTTGATTTCAGGAGCAAGTGGGTTACTGACCTTAATGATACTTTTCAGAGAGAGTTCCTCAGTGCCAAAGGTGGATTTGAACTCAACTTTTTTGGTCTCTCCATATAAATTATATATTGCTTTTACAGAAATGGTCTCATAATTAGAAAATGGAGTGATGATAGCAAGTTCAATCTTTCCCTTGATACGCTTAATGTGTAGGGTGCCTGTTACTTCAATTTTTTGGTCGTTCCTCGCGATGAATGCATTGATAGCAGATTGGGAGATGAAGAATGATGCATTGAGAGTTTCCCAGCCATTGAAAGGAGTTGTGCCTGTGAAGACAACAGTTTCGCCTTCCAGTTTGCCAATTAAATCGATTTCCTGAGCGTCACGAGTCAGTTTTACGTGTATCTTCTTCTGAGTTTCAAAGTCGTACATGGCATACACAGCCATGTTGTTCACTGTACTTACTGGAGACTGAAGTTTAACTTCAATATTAGCATGGGTGGGGTGGTAAAACCATTTGCTAGCAAGACTGCCCTTCACACCATTAACATCTGCATTTATCAGGAACTCGTTTGTATCAACTTTACCATTAATTGCGTAAGTTTTTGAATTTAACTTTAGCACAGTGTTCACAGTGAATGGCATAGCCATGATCTGATATTCACCGCTGAATTCTATGGAGTTGATTTCCTCAAATGGAAGTACAGCTGCTAAGGACCATTTGGGATTCATCGCGTTACCAATGTATGAGCCACTGAACTCGTATCTGCTGTCAGTAATTACTGCTACACGAACTTTCTTCTCTGACGAAGTGATGTCATACATTACTTCTACTGAGATTGGTGCTGTTAAATACGTTGAGCGAATTTCCAAACGTCCATCTAATTTTCCTTGTTCCCAAGTTCCATTTATGTTAATGACAGTCTTGTTGGCTCCTCGCGTAAGGACAAGAGTAGCTGTCTTCTGTGGCAGGAAGTCAAGTTGAAGTTTATAACCCAAAGGCTGCCAGAAGGGAGTTGTTAGAGAAGATTCAGTATAAAAAGAAGATGCATTAAACTTAACCACCGAGGCAATTTCAATAATGCTCCCTGGTTTATATTCAATTGACAGTGTAGGTTTATATTCAGTTCCATTGTCTTCGTAGTTAAGATTAACGTTGATGTTCTCAAAATACTCAAAAGTAGTAGCAACGTTGATTTGTGCGTCAATTTTACGGGAATTCTCAGAAATTATGGGATCAATAGTTCCTGTCACGTGCACTCTTTCATTATTCCACATAGACTCTAGCTCATGGACGTAGGCAGTGCTGAGATGAGACTGCTTGTTACGTAACTTAAAGTTGTCATTAATAGTGAAGGAGTTTTCCCAGTTCAGCAAGTCATCATAGCGAATGGTGTGAACAATGTTCACAGACTTACTTCCTTTCATTAGAATGAATTTTGATGTACGTGTATTTGAATCCTTTTGGCTCTCAATTTTCACCTTAATGTCGTCTAAACCATTGAAGGTGGAGGTCACTTCTCCTTCAAGATTGGCAAGGTTATTTAAGGCGTCTAAGATACCGTTGATGGAGACAAAAATACGCTCGCCGTTGACGGTAACATCAACAGTAGACGCCAAGTTGCTCTCAGCAATTTTATGATTAACCTTAACTGAAGCTTTAGTATCAGGACTGCTCAGTATAGCATTGAATACTATGTCATTCTTGGAGATCATGTGGCCTTCAGCATGCATCTTGAGGGTGCCAAATGTTGACCATATTCTGGTCATCTCCAACTGGGAGGTAAATTGTTGTCCGTCATGACTGTGGGAGAAGGTCGCGGTTAAAGGATATGTTAAAGGAGTGATAAATTTCAAGTCTCCTGAGACAGCTGTTGAACCGTCTGTGACTGTTTTCTCGCCGTTCATATTCAGCAACACTTGCTTCTCACCCACTTTACCTTCAGCGAAGATTTTAATGTTATCTTCATTCAACGTGTATTTGATATTAGCATCGAAAGCAGCGAGAGGAGTAATTGCTTTAACGACAAGAGTGATGTCGTGTACATCACCGAGGTCCACGTGGCCCTTCATTGTAATGGTGGAAGTCTCAGCACCGTATTTGGCCTCCAGCTTGGTAGTCAATGCCATGTCATGTAACTCGTGATGCAGGGTAACAAGAACTTCCTCTGTGAACGGAGAGATGAAAGTGGCTCTTGCATCAACTCCAGTTTCGTTGGGAGTGAGCTGGAAGTTGCCCTTCATTTCATTTTTGTTCCACAGCCCCACAATGTTGGTGTTAATGGTGGCACCGGCCATAGTGTGGTCAACAGTGAAAGTTATGCGCTCGAAATTTTCAAAGCTGCTGCTGAAGAGTATTTGGGTCTTGAGCGCATTGTTGGAGAGACCGGGTTGGAACTTGCCGTTGATTGTAAGTGCCATCTGTTCAGCGTTCTTCCAGGTAGCTGCAGCACGACTGGTGATTTCATAATCCTTGAGAGAGACTGTAAATGTAGCGTCCTGTTTTTCCCATCCTTGGAATGGTGTCTCTACTGTAATGGCCAGAGACTTGGTGTCGTCGAGTGAGTAATGAACATGGGCCAAAACTCTCTTGTCAGGTGCCCACATGGCTGCCAACTCTACTCCATTATTAACAAGTCTGCAGGAAGCGGTCATTTCCATTTCGGCAAACCTACGATGAAAGATGTAAATTTATAATCATTTAATCTTATAATACTAAAGCTTGTTGAAACAGAGTGTAATTAACATTATATTTCAATGAAGATAAAGATCATTCTGCAACTTCTATCAAAGGCCTTTGTGGCTGAAGAATGTGTACTAAAAAAAGAATCTGAAAAAAATTACATTTTAACAAATCATTATTATTATACAGGCAAGATTTAGTCCTTACTTGAAGCCAGCTCCAACTCCACTTGGTGACAGCTCTCCATTTATGGTGAAAGTTTTAGTAGGGTCCACATCTTTATCCCATTCAACACTTACGAGTAGCTTCTGTACTTCATTTACTGTATTAATCTGGAAGCAATATGTAATGAAAAACGTTAAATATATACAAAACACAATTATTTTCAACAAGTTTGTAATATTGATCATCAGCAGTTAAAAAAATATATCCCAGAGTGTCCATGAAAATATATAAATATAAATTTTTTTTCATTTGAACTGAAATTATTCCACTTACATAAGCATTGATAAGGATATGTCTGTAGATGCTAGCGTCGACGAGTAGGGAGCTACGTGTACCTTCTATTGTCATGGAGAACTTTTGATCATTGATATCTGTTTTGAAGTCAACAGTGGCCTTCTCTCTATCAGCATAGATACCTGAATGGACTGTCACCGCGTTGACTGGTGATTCATAATTACCGTCCATAAGAATATGAACTTTCTCAGGTATCGATTTATTCTGCACAGTTCCCTCCAGCTTCCAGGTCATCTCTTCTGTTGTTATAACCTTGGCAATCCCCTGAAAAATATAGTATGTTGATGTTACATTATGTCTGTTCTTACTTCAGGAATTATTTTAAATGTATGAGTGAAATTTATTGTTTTAAGGCAGCACATCTCCACTTTTGTATTGTGAAAGTAATTTGTCTATAATATGTTCATTAATTTGGTGAAAACTTTAGTATTTACACCCACCTGAGCCTTGTAATGACCACTGGCAATCTTACTGAGAAGAACCTCCGTAGTGAGCGTTCCTTCTTCACACTGAACACTAATACGGCCTGAGAGTTCAACATCCTCATTCTTGTTTAGGTCCACAGTGAGCAAGTACTCCTTCCCAGGGGCATGTCGAGTCATTAACTTGCTATTTACGTAATTTGGCCCAATCTTAAGTTCCTTGTAAGCCAGGATATCAAATTGGTAATAAGGACATTTCATTGATGTACGGAGGCTGAAATCAAGATGGTTGTTTTCGTTGGTATACGAATAGACTTCTTCCACGTAATAGGTGATAGGTCCAATGGTTAACTCTCCGCTTACTTCCAATCGACCCTTGGAAATCATAATTTTGTAGTCATATAAAAGAGACATTTCCGGAAATTGGGTTGGATTCAGTACAAAATTCATTGAGTATGTGGTCAGTTCCTCAGATGTTTCCCACTTGTAAAGGCCAGAATGATGGATCATATGCCTGTCTCCCTCTAACGTGGTGTACTCAATGTCAGCTTTAGAAGTCACAAAGTTTTCCTCGTGTCCAATTTGCCCCTTGAAATTGATGTCATAAATGGGAGTATCCAGCACAAAGGTTACGCCAGCAGACTTGTCTTCACCTTCATAGGAACCTGAAAAAAAAAATAATGTGGATTTACAGTACAAGATTACATAGGTACGTGTCGTTGGGTAAATTAGATCTAAAGGGACTTCAGGTTAAAGTATTATATATTCTACTTTTAACCTTCCGCAGTCGAATGGGCTCAGGGACGAAGAGAAGCCAAATGTAAACAAACCCACTGGTACAAGGAACTTTACCTCTATCTTTCATTGCTTCATGAGTAAAGTAATGAAACTAAAGAACAAATATTACAATGACTGACGAAATAAGAAACCTGGCACAGAGGTTCCATATCATTTATCTTACCTCGAATGATGACTGGAGAGGCGGTCACTCCGGATACGGTAACTTCAGCGGCATACTTGGCACCAGCTGTATTGGCCTGGAATTTTCCCCTTGAGTTAATTATTTCCCCTCTTGGAGATGAAATTATTAACATTGGCTCGATTTTCATGATATCCCCTCTGCTCTCTTGAAGTCCAGTCTCCAGTGTGTACCTCTCAGAGTTATCCACTGAGAGAGTTAATTTCATATTTTTGTTGTTTCTTTTCCATGTATACTCGCCATTACCTTGAATAGATATGCAGGGTGTTTGAAGGTCGAAATTTATAGCTTGATTTTCTTTTGAAATGGTGAGCTGTACTTTGTGGTCTACTTGAGACTCTGGTGTGTCAAACAGGAAACGTATTTCATTAGTTTCACGAACGAAGCGTAAAATGTATCCAGTCTGGGTATCAGTCTTCTTGAAATACAAGTGAAGAGAGGTTGGTCCTGTGAGTGGGAATCTCGGGCTAGTGGCAGAGCTTGGGGTATAAGTTATATCGCTGCAGGCTTCAATTCCACTAACTATACGTACACAGCCTTCAGATTCCACTGTCTCTTCTACTTCCTTTTGGATCTCTTGGTCATCTTCTAAGTAAAAGAATTTGGTGCTAACATCGATAACCTCAATCTTTTCCTTGGGAGTGTTGAAGGCAATGTCAACAAGCTTCCCTCCATCGATCTGGACTTTACCGTCGAGGAAGGTGGAAGTGTGGAGGGTGGAGGAGATCTTCATTCCTGTGCGGGTGACGTGTGCATCAACAACCATGAGGCCGTCCATTTGTACAGCCGCTGAAGGGTGGATGTGACCCTCAATGTTAATATTCTTGAGGCTTTGAGCCTTGAAATTACCATTCATTCTCAAGGCAAGAGTAGCTGTACCTTTAGCAGTGAGTGTCACTGGTAAGCCAGACACGGTGGGGATGGTGTAATGAGCATCCATCAGTTGGTAAGACTTTGTGTAATCAACATCACCTTTACGAGCAAGCTCCATCAGAATCTCTAGTGGGTTGGAAGCTCCAGATGTCTTCATTAGGTTCTCCAGACCATGGAAGTGATTGTAATGTAGTTCATTGCCAAAGACGCGGAGGTAATAGGAACCTTCTGGCTCATCAGTTGCTTGGTCGAGGATTCCCTCCAAGGTGGTAGCTTCAGGATCAGGTTTCTGTTGACGCAGGCCTTTTATTATTCCCTCTACGGTCTCTTGTGGGAAATATCCATGAGGTCCAAAGAAGCGTTCAACATATGCCTCAAATCCTTCAATGCGGCCACCGACCTCAAAGAGGTTGATAGATTCACCAAAGAGGTCGAGAGTGAGGTTAAGCATGGCTGATCGTGGCAGGAAGGACTTGCTAGAGAAAATGACGTTGCTCTCTACAGCTGCTCCAGCGTTCAGTTCATTCATGAAGAAAGAAGACTCGTAGTTACGAGAGAACTTAAGAGCTTCAGTGTTAAACTTCTTCTGGAGGAGTTCCTCGCCGATCAACTCACGTACCCACTGTTTACCTGGGGCGGCTGACTCTTGCAAGTTGGTCATGTGAGTCCAGATGAAGGAGCCAACTTGGTTGACACCTTCGGAGGTAAGGCGATCCTTGATAGTGTCAATGAAACTTGGTGTTGGACAGGTCATGACAGCGAGGTAAGCAGCAATGCGAACCTCCGTATCTTGAGTCTCATCTTGGAAGGCTGCCAGAAGGTTAGAGCGGTCATATTCACAAGGAGTGTGTCTCCAGGCTTCAATTGCAGCAACACGAACTTCCATGTCATTATCTTCGGTATAGCAACGTTGTAAGATAGGGTTGGCGTTAACCCAACGTCCAGCGTTACCCAGGGCTTTTAGTGTCATTAGCACCTTCATCTTTTCCTCTTGGTTAACTGTACGACACCCAGATCCAAGGTGCCTTTCGATACGTCGAAGAACTTGCTGGATGCCTGAGTCATCACCACAATCAGGATGGATTTTACAGTAAGTGTTAACAAGAGCAGAAGTTCCCAGCATCGCGTCCTGACTAGGGTTGCTTTCCAGAAGAGGCTGTAAGAAAAACACCGCTTTTTCATTACCTTTGTTTTTAAAATTTGAACCTGATATAGTTGTCTCATTCGTTAAATCACTTAATTATATATACTTTAGGTATTTCATACTTACCGCAAGAGCAGTGAACATCTCCGAAGTTGGATTCTTGACGAAGGCCAATGAGGTGAACCATACATCAGCATCAGCGTCTGTCATGTCACCGTTAATGAACATATCTCTGACTACACCAACAGCAGCGGCTGTTCCCACCAGAGGCATGGCGTCTATCAGGAACTTGCGGGAATGGATTTCCTTGGTGTTTGTGTATATGGTTTTAAGGGTCGGGTAATCAAGGCCTTTAAGAGAGGCAACAAGAGTGGAGAAAAGAACTGGAACCTCGGGAAGGATTTCCTCATGTGTTGCCACCTCTAGATCACTCAATAGCTTCTCAATAACTTCAGTCTGTGTTTGTCCATTAGGAGTGTTAATCTGCTCAAACACCAAGGACTTGCTGTAAAACTGGTAGTCTGAGGGAGAAGAATGATGAGCAAATTAATAATTATTTAGCATTTACATTTAGACTGCTGCATTATTGAGCCACTTGTAAATTAGCATCCTACAGTAGATGATATATATGTGAAGTTGGCCTAAAAACAATACGTTCTAAAGTGTTTTATTAATATGTTTCTTACCAGTAACTGGAACAGCCGGTCTGTTTTGAGATACAAGTAACATGGTGGTCTTGGCGGTGGTCACAGCACCACCTTCCTCACTGGAGAAGGGACGGAACTTGTGGGTTTCTTCACACTCTGCCATCCTGAGGACCCCGTCTTCTATTCTCTGGTTACATTTGTTTGTGCTCTTGAAGATTGGGAGGCTCTGGACGGGGGAGTCGGTGAGGTAGCCGCTGGAAGCGATGTAAGATGCAGAGTTGGATCGTCCAGTGCAAGAATTTAGGTCTTTGGTCTTCTCTACTGTTATTACGTTGTCGTCACTTACACTTTTATAGTGGGTTGTACAGACTCCAGAAATGTCGGTCTCCTGAACGTCCTGTGAATTAAATGATCAAGGAGTAAGATAGTGTGTGTGTAGTAATGCTCCAATATACTGTACCCAGATTGATGTTTATGTCTACAATCCTCAATTGTTAAAATAATTTTAAATTTCATGAACTTACCTCGTTCCCCACATGAGTCATGGAGTTCTGGAAGGTCGAGAGAACACCTCGCTTGAAGTTAAGGACCCAAGCAGGCTCAGTCACCTCGCTGCAGACGCTCTCCACGCGGCCATCTTGGAATGAGAAGCGCAGGGGAGACTTACTGATGGCGGCAGCGAACTCCTCCGTGTGGGAGGAGCCATCCAGGGTGACCTCTGTCAGCTGCAACAATAACAACACTTGGATTAAATCTCAAAACATAATTCATAAAGAACGTCGAAGTTACAGAGTTTATCTTCAACTTAATGGGTTCATTGAACACTAACTAGGAGAAAGAGGGTAATTTATTTAACTGATTTTGTGTGTGTGTGTGTGTGTGTGTGTGTGTGTGCTTGTTATACAGGCCAGAAAAGTAACTATTTCTTCATACGGCAACAAGGAAGAAATAACTTACCCTGAGTGAGTGCTCGCAGGGAGCGGAGATATCAATGTGAACCTTGGCAGTGATGCTCATGTGGGCGTCATCATCGAAGGTTCCCAGGAGGGCGGTGGAGGTGGTCACAGAGTAGTCGTACTCATAGCTCTTGCCTGGAGTGGGACGTGAGACAAGGTGAGTTGGGGAGAGGGTATGAAATGACCTCCACTTTAGTTTCTGGCTAGGGTGGGGGAGTGTGATGTGGGAAATAGGTAAAATATTTGGGGTAAAGGGGGATATTGTTGACTGTATCCATGAGCGAATTTTACAGTATGTCCCAGGAATGATGGTGTCAAATATTTTCAGAAATTAAAATTTTCCATAAATAAATTATAACTATATTAATTAACATACTGCATAATGAGGTAATTTTAACTGATTATTATCGTAGGCAGTAAGAAGTTATTATTACACATTACATATTGTTAATTATCTATTGTTAATAATGATGATTTGAGAAAGTAATGGCTATCTTTTTACCTGTTTGGTAGGTAAATATATCGGCGTCGTTGCAGTGGAGCGCGCAAGAGGTTCGTTGACCAGTCGGCCCTGTGGGAGATAAGAACTAAGGTTAGTACACTCTTGGAACTAGTTTGGAATACTTGATTAATGTTCTGTGGCTGACATAAGATACATAAGGCTCCAGGGGATTGTGAAGTTAATATTGTTTTTTTCTTTAAGATTTATATTAAAGATCTTTAAGTGTGTGTGACGTGAAATAATGGTAGTGATCTCAGATGACAAAATTAAAAATAATAAATTCATAAAGAAAAAACTTACAATACAAATAATTAGGTTGAATCTGTATCACTGAACACGAGGATTTAATGATGATTAGTTAGAAATTAGTTGCAGGATGACATAATATCGTTGTAGTGAAATAATGATGTTACGGAGATGAAAAGTACTGGATAGCAGTAACCAGGATTATATAGGAAATTGTTAATGTTATAAGCAACTGTTGTCTCTGGTAGGGGTTGTACTTTGTGAGCTTAATAAGCCTTACATTCATTATAAACTAATCAGTAATAGTTTTATAGCATTTACAAGTGTTCTCGGGCACGTTCGTGCCCTTGTGAGAGTTTGAACGGGCGTGACAGCGTACAGCGAATGAGGGTGTGCCAAGTCCGTAGACTTGCATGATTAATTAGGGTGCTCCAAGTCCCTAGACTTGCATCGTTTTCCATCGTAAATAAAATTGTTAACTAATGCCTTCCTAAAGAAACCATCGACATGGGACCAGGTTTGTTCCACTCTACGAATTTTTTGCGATTTTTCCACCAAGTTTGATGAAAAACTATTGTGCCGTATCGGCTGCCCAGAACAGACACACACACGCCTAGTCCTATAGTATATTAGATTTACGTTGCGTGATATTGTATTGTGTTTGTTTGCTTGAGAAAGTTACTTGCTTGATTATTAATAACTGTCGAGTTTTTGATTAAACTAAGAAAAATTATACATTATGATTTTTTTGGGGGTGGTGGGGAAGGGTCAAGAGGATATATTTTTTATTTTTTATTTATTTTTTTATGAAGAGACTTTATCACTTGATGTTGTCACGGTTGGTAAGGTAGAACGTTACTCCTGCTTCGCCTGCTGGTATGAACAGTATCTTCCCTCGGTGCTATCTTTTGATATCGATTATCTGATAATTAACTGACAAATAACAACGCAACATGTAAGAGTCAAGGAGGTCACAAGATCCAAGCTGTGTGTGTGTGTGTGTGTGTGTGTGTGTGTGTGTGTGTGTGTGTGTGCCATGATCATGTGATGAGCCTACAGTATCTAAGTTATAACTATACCGTCTTCAGAGTTAAAATTGGATTCCACGGGGACAACAGCTGATAACAATTAATCACTCGACAAACAAGATACTCTACTGAGATAACATGATAATCAGATGACCTGAGCTGGTACAGAGGTCAAGTGAGACGAATCTTTCTCTATGTGATTTAACGCTGCTTAAACCTATACTAGTGGACATGTGTTGAGTTAGAGAGTTGTTTACCAAATCCATCTTGTGTATAAGAAACTTTCATTATATTTTTAAGATTGAAGTTAAGTCTTTGATTTGATATATAATTATCATTTATGCCTTACATTTGAGGGATACAGGTGATAGTCCCATTTAGGTACCTTATATAAATTATTGTAATATTAATCTTACTCTAATAATAATAATGATAATACAATAATAATAATAATAATAATAATAATAATAATAATAATAATAATAATAATAATAATAATAATAATAATAATAATAATAATAATAATAATAATAATAATGATAATAATAATAATAATAATAATAATAGTAATAATAATAATAATAATAATAATAATAATAATAATAATAATAATAATAATAATAATAATAATAATAAAAATAAAAATAATAATAATCCCAAGAGCGATCACTGTACAGTAGCCTACACATTTTATTGATATAAAACCCCTGATGAGTCTCTTCCAACACCCAGGTGGCCACAAGGTCAAGCTGATGATGTTATTGTAAGAAACTTCATTGTCACTGTATGTAAATTGTTATTCCCGCCACCATCAGCTGCCAGGTGTTCTAGACTGTATAAAATGCAGAGTTAAGACTGACGCAAATTTGGGGGACCTCTGATTTTTGGCCCCCTCCCCCTCCCACCCCCTCCTCCCTTCCCCTCCTCCCTTCCCCCTCCTCCCTTCCCCCCTTCCCTACACCCCCTCCTCTAATACTAATATATAAATTAGAATGGATTTAGTGATGTTAGAATCTCAGCCCAAATATCGACGACAGTTTTAGTAAATTATGTAGATACTTTACCTAATTAAGATAGAGTCTATGCTATTCCTGTGGTTCTATATAAGTCAAGCAGTATGGTGCATTTACCTTCGATCTCTCTATGAAAAACGTATGAAACCAGAGGCGTATTGAACCTTATTAAATCCTGGTAATGTTCGCTTAATACTATTGGATCGACGGAACTAACTCATGATATTTCTCTCTTCAGCCAAGTGATTCGTCTCCAGAGAACTGTTCTAATTAATTTGCTCTATATTACATATCAATATTCTTTCCACACTAAAACGACCATTTCTTTTGTCGCGCTGAAGAAAAGTTATTATAGAATGAATTTATTTGTGTATTGATTTCGTAAATAATTATGTATATTTTTGTTTATAAGAGGGAGGAGTTGAATAATCTCGTGAAGCGCCCAAGGTAGAGATTTAATGATGGGAGAGACTGAATGTGCTGCTGGTCGTGGTGATTGTGGTAGCGATGGTGGTAGTGTTATTGGTGATGGTTGTGATAGCGTTAGTGGTGGTGGTGTAGTGGTGGTTGTGGTAGCGGTGTTGGTGGGGGTAGTGTGTCACTGAGGCAGCATACAGTATAACTACCATAAATGACATCCTGATTAACCTCACTCTGGTAGCCCCGTGTGGCCTCTCATACTAGCAAGGGCCTCCACAACGTAAAAAAAAAAAAACCTAACACGTAATACACAATTCTCGAGGGTTTATTTATATATATGCTTGTTTTTAAAGTTCTTCAGAGGACATTAATCTTATTGAGTTTATATATAACCAAAATACAGCATAATTTTCTGATACGTTTTATAACACAAATACAGGGCTCAAGAATGGAAACAAATAAGTTGTGAAAGTAAAAAAGTTATCTGAATAAAATCTGTCGCAGTTACTTGTGTTATGGATATGAAAGAAAGGCCAAAGTACAGAGAGAGAGAGAGAGAGAGAGAGAGAGAGAGAGAGAGGAGGCAACGTCAAAGGCGCCTCAACAGCGCAACATCCGTCATAGCCGTGTGAGCGAATGATCGTTGACTCGAACCTTCACACAGTTTATCTTACACTAAACACTTTACTGACGACATTCTTATAAGCAGTTCCCATATCATTATAATTATTGATTAGGGTGATCACATATCATCATAAAAGACTAATTATAACTTATTTTTTATAGTAAATAGTTAAATTATCGATTGTGATGTGAAGGTGATGCAGAGAAAAAATGCATCTTGTCATTTACACGTTATTGAACTGTTGTGTTTTATTACATATTATATAAAGATATCGCCTATACTGTATATCTGAGACCAGAGTATTATTTAACGTGAGGTAATTCAGAGTGGTAAGTGATGCTAACTCCCCGACCTTGGGTGTCACTCCTGCCTAAGGCTTATCACGGGGGCACGGTGGCCTGTCCCCCTCCCCCCCATCCTCACCACACCACCATACCACCACACCCTACACTCGGACACCTCGTAACTGTACAACTTAGGAAATATCCATGAATTAAATTTTGGTGTGTCGACCAATTACGTTGTTGTACACCGAATTAATTATATAACCTGAGTAAGAGGTTTAGCAGAAGGATGTTCTCCGACTTAAAGTGCAACTGTTGTATTCATTAATTACACGACGCCTCAAATGACTTGTACTGTACATGAGGGAGGAACAGCCACGAGGGCACACTGACGATAATGACGGAAACAACTAAGGTGCTTAATATTTGTGGCCGTTTGTGACTGAAATTCTCCTACAATCTATCTCTGGAACACCTTTGTAGAAATAATTGTGTTCGCGTTACAAACACCACTTGTAACGTCCAAGACACGAGATCACTGTCACACTGAAGAATTAACCTCTTTGGGAGTTACAACCAAAGCCTGTAACGCCTAAAACAAGGAGTCACTGTCACCTTGTAGAGTCTACCAGCCTGGATATTACAACCAGTCTGAAAAACTCAAGACACAAGATCACTGTAACACTGATGATTTACCTGCTAGGGCGGACGCGGTCAGAGCGGCGAAGAATAGTGCGGTACGCATGTCGTCGACTCACACTGCCCTGAGACAGGTCTAGTCGGAGCTCTACTGGCTATCCTCACCACCATCATCTGGTTTTATACCCCAAGCATGGGGGGGCCAGAGTCCAGGGTCCAGTGCCTCCATGGGTGCCACTAGTGACAAGTCAAAGCATATCGCTCAACCATCTTTATCTGCTGTTCGTTCATACCCTCTGGATGCAGCAGGTGTTTGCCAAGATATATGGGAAAGTACGATAGGTTGTGGTTTGAGAATTTGCCAGGTGACAATCAGCTGTCAAGTGACAAATACGTCAATGATTACCCCCCTTGGCCCCGCCGCTGAGTACGGACATGCTTACTTGTGGATATACCTGGTCGAGGAAATACCTTTTTTTAGGGTTTGCTTAATTGACGACAGGCCTACTACCCTTATTATGTTGGGGTTACATCCAACAGGGTTTATTTCTGGTTTATAGCTAAGTAATGTAAATAATAAAGAAAAAGCCTCCTTTTAGATAGGCCTAATAAGGGTCGTTTATATTCATCTATAGGATCGGTTGAGGATATGCCCTATTGAGCATGACACTTTATGCCATTGCCTCGTTTTAACATCTTGACTTACGGATGTGTGGCATTAGTTGAGGAATGGCTCAACGTAGACACATCTAATTAAGCAATATCTATCTGCTAACCTGCCGCTTTGTGGATATATTTTTCAACATTGTTACTTGTGTGTTTCACCTAAATTTGAAGAAAAAATTATTCAATATTCCACAGAAAATATATAGTGTAGTATATACCTGTATATTTATAGATGAATATACTGTATACATGCGTTTATATAATGGTGTAATAGTTATGTTGTCTTTCCTCAGTAATGGAAGACGGTGACTGAGGAACATCGAATGTGATGAACTAATAGCGACAAACACTAGGAGTCTTGCAGGTAAGAGAGTGACTGGTCATTATATTGTATTGGTTGTTACATTATTATAAGTATTAAATTATAATGACGTTTCAGAGCATCACTTATTCCACCATGAGAGTAGTGCCTAAAGATATAGAGTTCTCCAGTTACTTGTGTAAATATATAATAATAAAATAAAGAATTAATCAATGTTTTAAAAATATAAATTCAGGAGAAGATTTAGTTGATTGAGTGACAGAAATCTAAAATACTAAATGCATATATCTAAAGAAATTAAATTGCCAAGAATAAACACACAAATGTACAAAAAAAAATGACACTGGTACGCAAACTTTAATGCGAGGAACAAAATAACTCAGGCAGCCATATCACAAAATCCCGCTATCAGTGATATGGTCGCGGGTGAGGTTTCCCGCGCCAAGGTTTGTGTACAGTACCCACCTCTCTTTATTCTTCTTATGTGCATTTTTTCTAAGTCATCTCCATATTTTGATGATATTTTTTAAGGAAATTCACAAATGTATATTGATGAGGTATTTATCTTCGTTTGTATTTCCGTCTGTTAACGTTTTTTGTTAACCGTCTAACTTGTTAATATTTTTAGGTTATGTATCCTAGTAAGGCAATATTTTTTCTCAATGTAAGTAAAAAGTTAACCTCAAGGCCACAGTACATATATGAACCAACTCAGGGTATAGTGTGAGGAAGGAACACTACTTGTATATCCCCCTTCATGATATCTTCTTTCCTTTTATCAAAGTCTACGACGCTGGGAGTTCAGGTTTTGTATTTTGGTTTATCTTAGACGAATTCTTGGTATGGTACAGTGGGGGCCCTGGTGTGTGTGTGTGTGTGTGTGTGGGTGTGGGTGTGTGTGTGTGTGTGTGTGTGTGTGTGTGTGTGTGTGTGTGTGTGTATGTGTGTGTGTGTGTGTGTGTGTGTGTGTGTGTGTGTGTGTGTGTGTGTGTGTGTGTGTGTGTGTGTGTGTGTGTGTGTGTGTGTGTGTGTGTGTGTGTGTGTGTGTGGTGGGTGTGGGTGTGGCTGTGTGTGTATGGGTGTGTGTGTGTGTGTGTGTGTGTGTGTGTGTGTGTGTGTGTGTGTGTGTGTGTGTGTGTGTGTGTGTGTGTGTGTGTGTGTGTGTGTGTGTGTGTGTGTGTGTGTGTGTGTGTGTATGTGTGTGTGTGTGTGTGTGTGTGTGTGTGTGTGTGTGTGTGTGTGTGTGTGTGTGTGTGTGTGTGTGTGTGTGTGTGTGTGTGTGTGTGTGTGTGTGTGTGTGTGTGTGTGTGTGTGTGTGTGTGTGTGTGTGTGTGTGTGTGTGTGTGTGTGTGTGTGTGTGTGTGTGTGTGTGTGTGTGTGTGTGTGTGTGTGTGTGTGTGTGTTTACGTACTTAGAACCTTATTAGAGTTTGGTCGAGATTGGTTAAAAGTTAGGTCCAGGGTCCAATAAAGATACACTTTGTTCTGTGCCCTGGCAGTGTGTCCTTCAGCCAGGGAAAGCATGAAGATAACATCGTTACATTTACGAGTTAACCTGAAGAGTTTAACCTAGAGCACCACTCAGCCGGGATGGACTTGGGGTCTCCTGACATACGCAGGTAATGATAGGATAGATATATATCTCTCTTTTTCTACTATAAACCTGCGGTGAAATGATTATTTACTGGTACAGGCAAACACAGGATATCAGTTATATCTTTTGCTCCTCTAACGAACCCACTGCGAGGACTGCCACACATAGTACTGTTTGGGCTAAAATGTACTCTAATCTACTTCATATCGGAAATAATTAATAATATGTCTCATCTCGACAAGCATAATCATGAAGCATTATTTTACATATCGGAAGTACGTAGTTACTGTCTTCACACAGATTATTGATACAGACAAAATACAACTGGCCAACATGACTCTACACTTCAAAACACAGGTTCAAATTTCCGGTTTATCTTCAACAGTTTAACCATTTGGGTACTGAGGTTTCTACTGAATGAAATCGTCTACCGTTATCCAAATAAAATATTTAAAGTGGCGTCTTATAGTGAAGGGGTTAGCGAACAATGTACGACACATATACACAAACACACATACGTAGATGTCAATAAGTAAATAGTGATTTTAAAATATATATGTCTCGTGTGATAAACATTTTCCAAGAGGCGTTATCTATTAAGGTTCACATAAGCTGTAATAAACAACTTGATCATGTCGTCTCTCTATTATCAGAAGGTTATTGTGATGGCTTTGACTCTTAATGTTCACAACAAATAAGATAAGAAGATATGATCTGTTTATTCTTCAGTATTCTCTCCAGCTCAACGTAAACAACGACTTGACATATGAGTGAGACCCATAATCTTATATAATAACACAAGGGGACAATTAATTAACGTCATATGTAAAGTGATTATACCTTACTACTGTCTTAATAGCAAATTGTATTGTATGTAATGTTGATGAGTTTTACCTTGTCGAAAGTAAAGAAAATAATGTTTTAATATTAGAAGTTGTATAAGTAAAGTATAAGTGAACATGATGTAAGTAAAGTATAAGTGAACATGATGTAGGTAGGTAGGTCAAGGTGTTATGGGTTACCGTGAGGGGCACCGAGTGAGTTTAGGAAGGGACGTGTATAACATTACTCAAGGTCCCTGATGTAAGATTGTACTCAATTGGTTAACTAATGCACAAAAAATAATATGCAAAATCAAAATTATGATTTTTTGGTATAAACTCCATCTTGACCAGAAATATTCAAGTCATATCATTCAATTAATTTGCTGAATATTATATGAAGGATGACGTTGCTCTAACCTTGTCACTCATCTCTGTATTATTATGTCAGGGACTACTTTACGTATGGACATGAATCTTGTTTCAATTATGGTGTCAGGAACTCATAGTAATTCAATTAAGTTCTCGGACGGAATTGCATCTGGTCAGTTAGTAACCTTTTATAAGTATTCTATAACAACATTGACATTTCGGTGTTAAACTCTTTGCTTCGTAAGTTTTGATTCAGTAATTTGTTGTATCGTCCACAGTGGTCCCTGAAGTGTAGGTGTTTGCGGCCAACGATCTCCCAGCACTGGCGCCTGAAGCTGATGAATATACTACTATTGCTCACGGTTTCACTTGTAATACGCTACATATGACTAAATAATTCTATGAAAGATAGTGTATATAGAAGCGGACTCAACGGTAATAGCAAAAATAATAGCTGGTTTGTAAAAGGAGAAGGAGAGGGGGTGAGGGAGGGAGGGAGGGAGGGTGGGTGACCTTCCGTTGCGTTGAGGCGTGTGGAGGAGCGGCCAGTTAACATGGAGGAGTGAGTCAGTGGGCAGGGCTAGTGAGTGAGCCAGATATTGGCCCAATAAGCCAATTTCCTTCACCACAAGTCCCCCTCCTCCCTCCACGGCGACTCACTCTCCTGGAAACTATCACAGATGGTCAGGTCCTCAGGTCGCCTCTTACGCTATCATGGTGTTTCTTTACTAATCCTAAACATTATTAACTCACATCTTATCGTGTCCTTTTATTGAATTGTTTTTGTATTTTCGCTCACTTGATCATTTTTTTACGCGCGAAAATTAAAGGATTTTGAACTATACACAACTACGTATATTTCTTTGGTTATTCTGCGCGCGCATACTCTCTCTCTCTCTCTCTCTCTCTCATACACCGAACAGAATTAACCAAGGGGGGGGGGGGGTCTCCAACAGGGGGTCGGATACTCTCTACTTTTTGGGTTAAAAATTCTTTGTTATATTCTTTTATAGATTAAAGATACTCTCTACTTTTTAGGTTAAACATTCTTAGTTATATTCTCTTATAGATTAAAACATACCTATGATGCAATAACATTTTGATCAGGTTTTATACAGGTAGGGCAAATTCTCCCACGTGTATCCGCTTCTGAAACGTACTTTTATTCTTCGCTCTCAGGTTTGAAAAACATTTAGTCGCTACTCATTCACTCACTCACGTGTTCTACCACCATTAGTTATGTAAAACAAACACGCCAAAACTAAATAATGACTCTCCCCCATAGCTGGGCCAGAGGTTGTTGAGTCTCATATGCAGACGTAAGTGTTGTGACAATAGGCCATTTTCCTGCGCCTCCCAGCAGACGGAGGGCGCAACTCTTGACAGTCCTTCATTTTGGTCAGAGAGTAGAGAACATCTTTCTCACGGGACCTCATAATTATACTTCATTAACAAGTTATTATAATGACTATTACACACACACACACACACACACACACACACACACACACTCTTTGTACTCATCCCCAACCTGAGTCATCATTATCAACTTCACACGACCCTTGACCACTGCCCCCCCTCCCCCGCTGCACTGTAGTAATATATCATCTGAATGTCATTACCAATGTTCACTCTTCCCAGGGTCTGTTAAGGCTTCCTTGGACCTTACCACAGCTGCCCCTGGACCCCAACTATCCCTGAATCATACCTCAATTACCCCTAGGTTAGACCTAAGCTGTCCCGAAAGTTAACTTAAAGTCTTACCCTCTCTACCTCCGGGTCTTACAAGCTAGCTGCCCTGAAAGCTGTTCCATCTAGCCCTGGGGCGTGTTTCAACTGACCAGGGGCTCTGTTACCGCTGCCCCCAGGGGTGTGACGCAGTTGCCCTCCTGACTCCCGAGGTGTGCTCAGGTTGCAGGAAGAAAAACACGTCCTCTGTTAGAAAGTTTCTGTTGTGCTAATGACAAGTAACTGGCATGTAGAAGTTAGTATTAAGACATATAACGTTATATCATATTAGAAGAATTACAACAATTACGTCAGTTCAAGACAACCGTTGACGTGTAGTGGCAGTGATACACCACAGTTGCGTTACATTGAATAAACTTTAGCTGGTAAATAACTCATTTCAAATCTCGGTACCTCGGTATGAGTATTCCAGTAGTCATTTCATTAACTTCCTGAAATTATGGAGTAAGATAGCCAGCCGTCACAATGATTAAGAGTTATATCGAAGAAAATAACAAATAAGTTCTCGTCAAACCTCATAAATTCACCGCTTGTTAACGAGTACTTCTGTTGAATAGGAAATAGAACTCATGCGGGCTACTTGGTCAAGAGCAGGACGTAAAGAGTCATTTACTGTGTGGATACAATGTTGCTTCTCTTACACACACACAATCTAAAATCATTATACCCCTCTACCAATACAACCCATTATGACCTACCACCCAACTCATTATACCCTACCACTAAACCTATTAAAACCTACCAGTTAAACCTATTAAAACCTACATCTATGCCAATATGGTACAGTAATAAGGAATAAGGTTTCATGTGTTAAGACTCGGTTCCCTATTCTCTTGGCTTATCAGAATCAAAGACTCTGGTCTGTCTTTACCACACATATGAACAACACTTTTTAAATAGAATCTTTTAAGTTCAGATTTTGTGATTATTTCCTTTTTTTTTTTTACTTTCATAATTTCTTGGATCTCTTTGGGACTCCTCGTCTTTTTTTTTCTTCATATTCTTCTTCCTCCTCTCCTTCCTCCTCTTTCTCCTTCCCTCTCTCTCTTCCCCCTCCTCCTTTTCTGACATATATTTCGTCATAAAACATACACTCTTTACTCTGGGACACGACAGACTAAACAAACACTTCACAAACATTTAAAACACCATCGTTAGGAATAATCCTTATATAACCCACACCAAATTACCTATCACCCCCCCCGACTCCCTGACCACCTAAGTACAAAAATAATAAAGTGTGTTTTTTTAGCTTTGCATCGATAGGCTTGAATCATCTCCCTCAGGTTCTACACCCCACGTCTTTCATTGACTTGAGTTTATTCATGTATGGTTCCCTGAATGTTTCCAGTTAATGGTGTTTTGTTAATGGTGTTAGTTAATGGTGGTAAACTGCGTGGATGAAACAACTTGTGGTGTGGTTACTTATGTGAGTTAGTAAGACGTAGGTGAAGACCCTTATCACAGGTAAAGTGTCAACATGATAAATATTTTACCTGTTTCTTACTGGTCACTCTTTTTAGATTACCACTGACCGATAACAAGGTGGTGGTGATGTAAGTGTGGGCGAGTCATATACTGTACACATTATTTGATGGGTCAAGTATGTGTTACCAGAGGGGTGTGTGTGGTATACAAGTCACTGTACAAGTAGCTGCTGTTGGAGCTTTACGTTCTGGTTCTGTTGAAGAGTCCGTTAGCTTGGGAGATGAGGGATTTTTCCTCTTGTGTTGGTTTGTCCTTTCATATGACTATCCTGACGCGTTTGTGTGTGTGTGTGTGTGTGTGTGTGTGTGCATAACTCTTGCTCTTTTTAGGGTGTGATGACGTAATAGGGCATTGCGAAATATCACCCAATGAAGTTGATGTACGTTCATGTGCTCTACTCCTGCTTGCCGACACTCACACTCCCCGCTTCCTTATTCGTCTGCATTGACGCTGGTCTCCTCATTCTCCTCTGTATATATACTATAAAGATAGACTGAACAGGAGGTGTAAATATAAGTATATGAGTAGGTTTTTATAATACGTATATCTAAGTGAAATGAAGTAAAATGTTAATATCAGGACACTCCAAATATCCAGCAGTGTGAAAGCCTCTGTAATAATGAATGCAGGATCTTCTGCTTTAAGAATTAATTGGCGCAGGGAGAGATCACGCAGGTATCATTATCAAATTCTTTCACCGAGGCGTCATTTTTTTGTCTGAGGTTGGATATGTGTGAAGCAAAACGTTTTGGACTCATGGAGATTACATGGTAAAGATAAAACCAGTTTGTGGTCGAGAGTTGTGGTTAATTCTGGTGAGTAGAAGATCTGCAAGACGGAATGTGTCTTGGGCTCCTCTAATTACTGTCGTCAGCCGGTGTTGGATGAAGTGTTGGCACTATTAAGAACATAAGAACATAAGAATAGAGGAAACTGCAGCGGGCCTATTGGCCCATTCTGGGCAGTCCCGTTTACACCCAACCCCTATTGCTCATATAAGCATCCAACCTATGTTTGAAGCTATCCAGCGTATTCGAGTTAATGATGATATTTGGTAACTTGCTCCATTCATCCACTACTCTGTTACCAAACCAGTGTTTACCTATTTCACGCCTAAATCTAAATTTGTCTAATTTAAAACCAATGTTACGAGTTCGCTCCTGGTTGGATAGTTTGAGTACCTTTGTAATGTCCCTTTGTTTAGCCCTGACTTCCACTTATACACCTCTATCAGGTCGCCCCTCACTCTACGTCTCTCGATTATTGAGGACACTCGTCAGGGAGTTAACGTATATGTCCTGAAAACTAGAAATTGAGAAAATTACATCGTCTTTAGTTCTTGGTTATAGTATGAACGTAAAAAAGTCCGTGGACGAAGCTTGGATAAGTTCAGTGAGGTAACAACACAGAACAGGTGTGGGTCGCTACAAGTGGTTCCAGGAAGACGGTCAACCTAAACCTACCCCAGAGCTGTACTGACCAAACCTCACTAAACGAAGAAACATATTAGGATTTAATATAGTAGCTGGAAGTTTATCCTAATTTTAATTTTATTGGTAGTATTTTATCCAGTGACTAATTGGATTGGTTAGGATATTATTTGGTGGGATTCTGTCCAGTGGGATTTTGTTTGAATTTTGTTGTATATATTTTTGGTGTGATTTTTTTCATCTTTTATCTCTTTGACTTTTAGGGGTTATGTCTGATGTTTTATTCCTCAAGAATGATTTTCTCTCCTCAGGGTTTGTTTATCCAGTGGGTGGTGTCTGTAGTTGCAGGGTAGGAGCACCGGGTGTTGTGGTGGTGGTGGTGGGTGAGTAAGCCTTTACCGCGTGCTGCTTGTTGAGGTAGTCACCACTCATTGTCTCTGTATCCTGCCTCACTACACACTCACACCCCAACACACCTACACATAATATCACGCACACATTCGCATGCACGGAAACACGTACATGAATCGGTTACATATTTGCGAGTAGATAGAACACATGAATACAGTATACATGAAACAGCGCCAGTCATGCACATCACACATACACACGCACGCTTGCATACACAGACACAGACACACACACACACACACACATGGAAAATTTGAATGATTGATTAAATGGAATGTAGTAAACAAAGTGGACGTATGGGACATATACAAACATATTTCCATATCATATTTGCTCTTACAGACGCTCTATTTCATATGTACCTACACTAAAAACTAATTCAAACAGCACACACTCAAACAAGCAGACATGCATATAAGTGAACAAGTACGAACGCGCGCGCACGCTCCCTTATATATCAATTAGCAGTACACTACAGCCATCCTCTCGGTGGTGTGGCGCCTCCGAGACTTGGCTGTGAAAGTTTAATGACATTTCCACAAGTCTTAGCTGAATAACTTAACTCACAGGTAACATGAAACAACATTGAGTTAATCCTTACTTAGTGTGTTAAAAATATAATACTATGAAATGTTGATGTAAACATTTTGACCTTGACTCCTGACCCCGTGGTTTGGGAGGGGGGAGATGGGGAGCCGAACTACCTGTTGACCCCAGCAGTGAGAATAGGTGATACGGTATCTAGGTGTGATAAAGACGCCTTGACCAAGTGTTAAACACGATGGCGGAAGAGAACCGCAGTCAGCATAACACTGATTACTGTATACTAAATGTAGATAAAACAACCACACGTAGTTCACCTAAGGATCACCATAAAGGCGACCAAAATTGATATGAAATTGCTTAGAAATTATCAGAAGCAAAATGGTCTTTTATCGCCCGCTACAGAAACTATCTTTACACATAAATAACACTTATGTCTTCATCCTTCCCAAGTTAATAATGATCAAGTATAGAATAATTATGAATAAGTTTATTTATGTGTAACCTGAAGTCTATCACCGGTTTTGTGTTTATGTTGACAACCTACAGTAGGTATCGTACATCCATCAGACATTGCTGTTGTATACCCAGCTGAACATGTTATTTATGGTACTGCACTGAGTGTGGGGGGGTCCATCATCGGCTGTCAGCGGAGAGAAGCTCATGCCTAGCTATTGTACCGCTTGTTTAATCCCTTCTGTTACCGTTCTTGGTATGCTTGGTGGTCGTCTCACGTTCCTATGTTATCAGTTTCCGTTTTAAAGTGAATGATTTCCATTTTTTTTTATTAAATTAATGCTTAAATTTCTTGCCACTGATGAAAAAGCTTTTATAATATCTTTCAGAGCTTTCGTTTTATATTAATGTCGTAAATTTAATTTCTGTCCATGTATAGATAACAAGTGAAGGTGTATTGGACTCACGTCGAACATAACAGGAGCCGAGAAAGTATGAGAGGTCAACAGTGGGTACTTAAGAGGTACTGTATATTATAAGACGCAGTTTATACTATCTGATGTTGTGTGATTTGGTTTATATTACACCAAGGACGGACGGTGAGAGTCAGTGAGGGTATCGTTCAGGATAAAGTGCTACTATCAGCATCACACAGGTCAAGGACGTCATCATCATCATCATCATCACACAGGTCACATGTCATCACTCCTAATCAAGTAACTAACTAGCCATAATCTTCAATAATCAAACATGATCACGTGTTTGGTCAAAGCTAAATATGTGACGTTACTTAGCGAAGAATATTTCGACGGATGCTTATAAACATCCAAGAATTCACAAGTGGTAAAAGACTCGACCTGTTTCCACATACACATACAGGTATAACTACTGATTTTATTTAGTATATAAGAGGAACGTCGTTGCCAGAATCAGTATTACTCTACTAGTGCCGCCAAGCCAATAAACGTATGGTAACACTGCACTGTACTGTTGTGTGAGATACAGCTTCTTGATACAGTATGTCTTCCTCTGTCAAACAGTGTCATATCTCAGCAAGCAGATATATTTCACCATCGGTTTGGTTTGTGGTTTGCTTGTTAAACGATCAAATGTTTCTTGCTGTTTTGGGAGCTAATATACTATATGTAAAGATAACGTTAGTGTCTTTATGGGCCCATCAGTTAACCTAGGATCAATATTAACGTGACACTGACTTTAGAATCAATAGAAATACTATGTGTGACTTCTTTACACACGCAGGCCTGAGAATTGTCTGCTAATTATAATCGGCACATTTCTGACTTTTGGCCCAGGAGTAGGGGGTCCTTGCCTGCCTAGACACCTTGTACTGTAGTAGATCTGCATTAAATTCGCGTCATGTACGGTGGTCACCTTCATCCCTTGCCCATAACTGTTGACATTTAATAATTTCTGTTGTGTTTTTTTTTCCAGAGTGGGGACACAGTATGCTGCCAAAGCTTAACTCCTGCACTGATCCCTTACCAACGCCACAACAGAGTTCATTCACTGTAACACCGCCTGAAAGATGAGAAGCAATAGCAGTTATTATATTCAAAATTTATGGTACGTAAACAACTTGGATTATTATTATTATTATTATTATTTTATGGCTGTAAAATATTAATTATTACTATATAATTATCATCATTATTGTTACTATTCTAAATAAGACGAAGTTTTTGTGGTAAGCGACTTGTAGTGACTCTCAGCAACCTTTGTCCGGCTACAGTAAACTAAAGATAGATTAAACCAGGAGATAATGGTGATTAACGCCAGATTACTTATACCTGACCTCCTATTGGTTACTAGGTGTGGTAGTTGTCGTCTTGTTCTATAGAGGTACAGGATTGTGGTACCAGAGGATAATGGTTTTGATGGTTTTGTGGTGGTAGGTGTTGTGTGAGGCTGTGGTTATCACTACAGGAAATAAAGACCTGATATTGTTTTATTTTATTCTCTATTTTCTGTTTAAACTTAAAAACTAGACTGCTAGGTTTTAAGAATGTCTAGTTTATCACAAAGTTTGATTCTCTGACTTAAATTTGACAGAAAAGTTATGACAAACAGATATCGACAACAACATTATACAACAAATGATCAAAATCGCACGAAGGTTAAATATGTTTGTTATGTAAATAAAGATACCATATCTGACCCGCTATGTGGCCTTCTGACCCTTACACTCACAGCCAAGGGTCCGGCCAGGCCAGGTGGGTGCTGGTGACTCTGCGACGAAGAAAATTTGGGTCATGAGGTGCAAAGTAACGTCGGTGATTTGATACAGGGTGAGTTTGAGGAGCTTATATATAACAATAACAGTGAGATATATTGCAGTTAAGAGCCATTCATGATATGTAAGTTTAATCTATACACGATTTAACACCATTCTACGCCTTACTTAATTTGGGGCCAATGGGAGACCGGCCAGAACAAACATTAATATTACACTGTTGACAACTATAGGATCATTTGCTATAGGTTTACTTCAGGTCATTTGGATCACCCCCAAGAATATCCACAATATGCAGTCTGTGACCCTCGCTTTGTGAACTATAATATAGGTCCAAGTTTTAAGAACGCAGACTGTTTAATGGATCTTAAATAAATAAGTTTTAATCTAAATACAAACTTTCACTAGGGAATCGATAAAAAGTATTGTACACTGCTCTCTCTCTCTCTCTCTTCCCCATCCCTCTTTCTTTACCCCTCTCTTCCCTCCTTTTCACTCTCTCTCTCTCTCCCCCCTTTCTCTCTCTTCCTCCTCCTCCCCCCCCACTGTCTCCAGGTGTCGGGTGAAGTGCTGGGTGGTGTACTTTGAGCGTACCAATACTACATGCGTATATGTTAGGAGATTAAAGTTCAATAGGTGACAGTGTGCTAATAACAACACGCTGTTCCCTGGATCTCTGTTCCTCAACGACGTGTAAACAAACTCCCAATACAAAGGTCCTGAGACTAAAGCTACAGTATAAAGACTACAGAAGGTATAGGTACTGTAGGGATGTGGCTGGAGGGTACTACACATCATCCCTCCACAGGTACTAGTCCCCCTCCTCCTGCTTGTCTCACCTCTTGATAATAATTCTGCTTTATACAACAACATAACATCATTCATTAACAAACTGTGATTTTTAACATCTTGTAAAAAAAACAAAAACAATGTCCTACTAAGTAAAAGAAAAATTGTCTAAGTTTGAGTTAGTGTAATCATCAGGTGTGGATGCGAAGGAAACGATAAAAAAAAATAGTGTATTAATAGGAGTAAAATCCCTCTTAAAAGTAGTGAGCATCTGCAAGTTTGTAAGTGAGGCTGAGTAGATTATCTGGGTTCTATACGTGCGAGTGTGTGTATATAGATTGTGAATTTTGATATACTTGTATTCATCACAACATTTCTTTGGGAGAGGAAAGAGAGAAGTCGCGAGGAGGACTGTGGCTTGCTTGAGATAGGAAGGAACTATGGGTTTACTTGCAGGAGGGAGGGAGGAAGAGATTGTGGGTCTGTTTGGGGAGTGGTAGGTGGGAGTACACCTCAGTATCACAAGTTAATGTAGAATAGTTTCCCCTCAAGCAGCCAGACCAACACTGATAATATTTTACGTCATTCTTGCCTAATTCTGTGACTATGAATTGTGATTGATAGGGTGGGGGCAGGGCGTGGGGGAGGAAGATAAAGAGATGGAGGTATGTAAGTTAAAGAGAGAAGAAGGGGGGATAGAAAAAGACGAAAGAGGGGGAGGGGGAAGGATGATAAAGAGAGGAAGAGGGGAGGTAATATGGGAGAGTGTGTTAGGTGTGGGATGGAATGCTTGGTGTGCTAGAGAATGCTAAGTATGGGAGAGGAGAATAAGTGTGGGAGGAAAGAATACAAGCTAAGGAAAAGGAGATTTCCAGTTGTGGGAGAGGTAAATAGTAGGTATGGAAGAGGAGGAGTGCGAGGTGTTGGGGAGGCGAATATTAAGTGTGGGAAGGAAGAATATTAGGTATGGGAGAGGAGAATACTGGGTGTAAGAGAAGGTCTCATCTGTAAACGTATGTCAGAATTTCAGGATTTTAGCATTTTGTTTACTTTTTTGTACTCTGAAAACAGCAGTGCAAGCAGGAAGAGTAAGGAGTGTCTTTTAAGCTACCCTTAACATTAACCCCTTGTGTACAGGGCCTTTCTATGCTCAGTATAATTTTCTGGTGTCAACCAAATAAAATACTAAAAGTGGCGTTGCCACAGTGAAGGGATTAAGAAGGTAATTGTGGAATGTGTTAGTAAAGTAAATGCAAAGAAACCTAAACACTACAGATTAACCATAAATTACTCAGTACAGTATTATGCGAAATTGGATGGGTAAAATAATGAGGATGAGACAAAGTATGTGGTATGTACATGGTTAGGAAATGTCATATGAGGAAATAATTAGAAAGATGCGTGTGTGATCATATGTTGGAATTGTATTGTCGCCCACCCTCACCAGTCTCTCTTGGGTGACTGAGGTTCCTTGGCTTATTGGTAAGGTTTTAAAGGTTATTTTTCAAGGCGAGGGTAAGAGGTACACAGTCACCACCACTTTCTACAATTTAGTTAGAGAAACTGATCGCCCCATGTTGTTTTTAATATTTAAACTTCCAGAACAAATATGTGCTAACCTTGGAATCTTATTAAAATAAATAATTTTATGAATCATGTTGGGGAATTTTCTACGTAATCAACACAGACGATACTGTAATTGAAGATAGCAGTAGACAAGCACCATGGTGGCTGGCAACGGTGTCCTGCATGCTTGTCACGTGTTACAGCGACACCGTGTGGGTGATAATTTACCACCTGAGTTACAATGACACCAATATCTCCGATAGGAATGATCATATTTTAGAACTCATGAGATTGATTAATTGATGTGTCTGAAGTGCTTCACTTCTTATGTGTATGTCTGGGGATTCACTGTCGGGGAGAAGCCTCATTTCTAGATAAATCTGCTAAGTCTTCAACCTGGGCACAGCATACTACTATATTCGTTGGAGTAACAAATGATGACAAGAAGCACAGAACTCACCTTGCCGTAGTGCAAATGAACCAACCTCCTCCCTACTAAAATTCACTTATCTTCTTTACATATCTCCCTTTCATCACTCTTGTAAGTGTTTTGTGATCAAAGCTGTACTGTATCTCGCTAAAACTTCTGGTTTGGAAGCTAGACTTTTTTAAATTCATCCATTACCTGAGCAGTAAAATACCTGTATTTTGTGATGACTTTAGATAAGATATTACCAGTTGCTATAGTCGTGATCAATCCCCAAGAGCTATATCTAACCTCTATGCGAAAACTTTCTTGCCATAACTACTCGACCATTAGGATCCAATATCACTTGATAAATAATATACTGTATAGCTCTTTCTTTCTCTGCCACGTCATCATATAGGTCATTGGCATAGCAGTTAATCAGTTACTTGTCTAACCATGATTCATTGTTGCACCTCCCAGGTGGCAGTGACCACTCACACTATCTCTCAGGTGTTCCAAGCTATCTCTGTGAGGCTCACTGTGGGGGAGACTGTGAGAGGCACCTGTAGGGTTGACTATAAGCAACATCGCCGAGGAGACAATATATTTGCTGTAAACATATAGGAGATGTTGTAAAATGTGCAAGAGACACACTGAGGTTGTAAAGGAGACACAGTGTTGATCTATTTTAGCATCACCACCATGGGAGATAAGCACAAGAGGTGTACAGTATTTCTTTGGAATCATTGTGGGAGATACATAGTGGGGATATATTTTATCAGAAAAACCCTGGAAAATGCATTCAAGAGAGGAGATTCTGCAACAACAATGTTCTTCATGTCACGCAAAAGAATTATTTCCAATGTTTTATTGGACTTTGATTTGTGTTAAGTTTTTCAGTGAGAGGTAAACGTAGTGATAGCCAAACAACCTTCTTATATTAAAGTCATTTGTAAATATTATTTCAATTTCTTGAAGCATATTAAAAAAAATAGTAACAGGATACATTATAAGAAAAATTTACAGAAATTTGGAAAAGAAAAGGAGGACACAGTAATATGTAGATGAATACATGAAAAGAACCATCAGCAATAAAAGAAAAAGACAATAAATGACCTCAAGGGAGAGAGTGGCATACTAAACAGAAAGACAATGAGACAGTGACAGAAAATGTATGATAATTAACTGACAACAGTTTCAAGGAGACAATCTAAAACTGATAACTCAAAGCCAATTAAGAATAGCGGCGGACAAAACCAGAAAACAGCGACTGTGTCAAGGGAAGAGACAGACAGCAACAGTGTCAAAGCCAGAGACAAACAGTAACAAAACTGAGGTCAGACTAAGGCAGCAATGAAGTTATAGATTGAGAGAGACAACAACAGAATCAAAGACAAACAGACAGACAGTGACACTCAGAGAAAGATAAAGCTAATAGGAATATAGAGACAATGTACTGTACTCTGTATTTTGCATTAATTTCACTAGTAATCCGAAAAAAAAAGAAAAACAAATTTAGGTCTTGGGGAAGAAGTGGTTATGGTGGTTATGAAGCTCAGCTGAAAGGCACACTGGTGTAATATGTCAATGTTACATAACATTTACTATGTCATAGACATCTCCAATGATTTTTCATGTCTTAAATTCTTCCAAAAAAAGAATATCCTTCATTAGAATTACTCTCTTAATTATACTGCTGTAGTATAGTCAAAATTTTTTCAGTTTGTAATTGAGTGTGAAATTTTCCAGATAAAGACTTAAATAATACGAAAAGTATTAACAATCAAAACAAGAGACAAAGCAAAAGATGAGCAGCTAGATAAAGCCAGAGTAAAAGACAGACAGATTAATAACACAAGTTAAACTCAAACTCATATGAGAAAAAGAGGGACAACCTTGGCAAAACCAGAGTGAGGTAGTGAGTGAGAGGTAGGGCCAAAGATTAATTTGAGTTATCAAGACTGTGGGTGACCTCTACTTCTCGGGGGGTGGGTGGGGGGGGAGCCACGTGATCACCTCTGATACTAAGATAATGACAATCTCTGTTCCAGTGTACAAGATAATTGTCTCCAGGTCAAGGAGGGTGCGGGGCAGTCACCAAGCTAGGCTGGAGCTCCTAGGGGGTGACTGGTTAAATGGGTTTGGCTCTTGATATTCTTGAACCCTAAAGGGCTCATAATCTTAGGAAGCCCAAATGCTAATGGTTAGGATAGATTATGGCCTGGCAGTAATGGAGCTTACTAGAACTGGGGCCTATTTATCCTGCAACTTCCAAGATACTGTGGTCTGCTAAAGGACCCAACAAGTTTGGTTTATTCACAGTCTCTCTCTCTTTCTCACCATTCTGTGCCTTATGTCAGTTTCTCTCTATTAATATCAGCATTGTCATAGCCTAGCATTCTTCCCAGCTAAGATCATGGCCCAGAGTTAGTGAGCGTAAAAGCATCTGTCACTACATCTACTCTGAAATATTCCAGTTTTTGTGAAACAAAATGCCTGTTTGTCTTGCATCCCTAAATCCTCGTCATGCTGCACCACAGATAATGTATATTATTACAGAAAATAATTGGCTAAAAAGTTTTAGAAAACACACTTAGTATATGTGTTCATACGTTTCAGCTAAAGTAATAATTCACTCTTCATTACATTATCCTTCAATATTTCTACATACCCAGAATTGTTCTACAGTAATACAATATATAACAATCATGACTATATATGAGAAAGTATGTAAATGTGATCATATGTAGACTCCTGGATACAGTAATATTAATGTTAAAAGTTATTAACCAAACAACATGAGAAGAGGTCAGGATTTTTATTGATGGCAGTTTGAAAATATTGTTTTATTATGTCTTACATTGCTAATAAAGCATTTCTAAATTTGACATTTTTTACTTTGTTACAAAAATATTGTACAGTACTGTGTATTTTGTAGTTATTTCCAGTGTATCAAATTACAAGTGTGGATATGAACAGATTTTGTATATTTACGTTTTATTCCCACAGTTCAATGGGCTGCAGATTGGTGAATCTTGGTCAAGATCTACAAATTACAGTACCGGTAAGTCATTTGTGTTGTAGTTGTTTACCATTACAATGATTTGTGTAGAAGGAGATTTCAAGTCTTCAGTAGTAAATGGTATTTAAAATATCAAAGGATTCTTAGGTAGACAGGATTCATACTGTATTTCTGTAGAATGAATAGCCTTTATAGTGTATTTACATTTCATATATACATAAAAAAATATAATAATTTACAAAAAAATAGTGTACTGTATTTGCCAGCTTATAAGATGCACCCCCATTTTACAATAAATATTTTTTTTGGGGGGGGGGAAAAGTACAATTGGTAACATGTATTTAAAGTGAATTTTGTGTTTTTTTTGGGGGAAAAACATCAGATTTTGTGCTTGTAATGCTAAATACAGTAGTACTGTATATACAGACTACTGGAATACAATAGGTAATCATAAGTTACAGATATGTAATAATATTCATGCATTTTCATGGATCAGTTACGGTGAACAATAGCAACCCGGTACATGTGAAGCTAACCTTACCAGTAAGCTCCTTTAACCTGGGCTTGCCTACCATACCCCTAGATTCTTTCTCCATTTTTTTTACTCTGTTACATGCACACACAATCCTACATACAGAATGTGAAGAAAAAATCATAAGTTTAAAAACAGTCAAAAGCATAAAGGGAAAAATATTTCTTCGTGCGAGCGCAAAATTTAGCAGGGAGAGGGAGCGGAGTGAGGGAGACCCACTGCTATGGGGCAGCGTCCCAGCTGGGTTGCATTGCTATGGCAAGCCTCGAGGGCAGTCAGCCAGCTAGCATTCCTCAGACTGTGATGCATTGTGTACATTAACTTGTATTAGAGTATTTTTGCATTTTTATGCTTTCCTTATTATTTATATGCTTTAATTATTGCTGATTATATGCCTAAAATGTTAGTTTTGTATATCTTATATAGCAAGCAGCAGAGGTAAAAAAAAAGTAGCATAAAATTTTATCCATCATCCTCAAAGCCACCTGGAAAATCACCATCCTCGAAGACTGAAATATCATCAAGCTGTTACTTCATATTGTAACTATCTTCATTACTTTTGAGCCATGGGGTAATGTATAATTTAGCAGAATGCCACTCCAATCTACCTCATCAGCTGTGCTAGCTCCAAGTGTTTTCTTTTGGTTGCACACTGTGTGTATGCAAATGGAGGTTGTGTTAAACTTTCATAAATAGCTTTTCCTGAATGGCTTTAGCTTAATTATTTCATCTTGATATTGTAGTAAGGTATACAAATGTTGCTTGAAGTAGTACAGTTATGAAATAACATAAGAAAGGTAGGCGATATTGTTTATGAATGCAGGGACAGGAGGTACAGGGAGTAATGAGTTTGCTTCAGCCTTTTGGCTTACCATTTAGGCGTTACTTTATGTCTGTGATAATATGCCTTACGTTTCTTGTGTTTTTGCGTGTTTTTCAGTATTTTATTTACCTTTTATACCTAATGGTCACCCACTAGAGGTGGCCATGGTGAGGTAAAGTGGTCTGTGTAGGATCCAGACATTATTCTTGATAATTTTGTCAAGGGCTATTTTGAAGTCCAGTACTGTTCTTGATTCTACAGCTTGGGCTGGTAAACCATTCCGTGAGTCTATTTAATTTAGTAACACAAGAGACTGCATGTGACCCTAGGCATAAATGTTAAAAATGACCATCCCTTTCTCAAAAATATTTGGTAATATACATGTATAAAATGCTGGGGAGGGGGGTGCATCTTAAAGGCCTACAAATACGGTACACAAAATCGTCATAAATCTTTTATTTTAATACAGTATCTTTAGAACCTTACAGAAAAATATTATATATTATATACAGTGCCACTTCTCCCAGGTGAGAATGAAAGGTTTCATCCAGGACCTAAATATGAAGTATCATTTGTAAGCAAAGAATTAAGACTAACCTTCTATTGCATACTTCCACTACGTATATGAAACTAAACTGAATACTCTATACAGTATTTAATAAATAACTGTTTAAAAGAGTAAGATTCTGACTGAGTTTTCTTGTTCAGGTTTCCAACTGTTGGCAGTTCAAAGTGTATACTGTACTGTATCCTTATATTAGTTTAGTCATAAAAGCAAAAAATAGTTATACAATAGATAATGCTGTACTGTAATTCATTAGAATTTTCACGAAGGGTTTACCGGTAATCTAAATCTGAAGAATGTGTACTAGAATGTCTGTAGCAATACTGTACATGTAAACCACTAAAACTATTACCATTGCTGTATCAACAACACACATGCACTGGAATAGGCAAATGGACATGTACAGTATATGGCTTCATGACATATGAGGTTAATTTTGTCATGTAATGTTTATTCTGTCATGTGTTTCTGTGTCACTATGTTTATTCTGTGATCTGCCATCTCTTATGAAGTACTAATGAGTTTCACTGCTTATACAATATACTCTACTCATATATTATTTACTTTCTTCGAGTTTCTTCTTCACTTTTTTGTCTAAACAGTAGCATCTGCAGTTCATTTCCATTAAGCCTAGCTTGTTCTTTTGCGAACCGATGATGCTCACCTGCAATTCTGTCACGACGATTTAGGTGCTCGATGGCAAAATCAGAGGATTTCCTGAAAGATACAGATGTTAAGAGAATATCACGGTTAAATTTTACTTTCCTCAATTCTCTTAAACTACAAGCTGAAACCCCAAAATTAACCAACCCATTAAATGTCGTGTTACACCTGGCAGAGCAGTAACTGCTCTCACAACCTTGTGTGGCTATGCCCAAACTTACCCCAAAGTACACAGAGCTGGGCAACAGTGCTATGGCTAGCTTTAAGTAGGGTAAACTTCATGAGATATAATCATGGCTGAAGAATAAAATCCTGGGTGAAATGGACCAACAGAAATATCTTGGTAAATCTACCTTAATTACTGTACAGGGTATATATATTATATATTTACAGAAAAGAGGAATCAGATATAACATAAATGCACTTCCTACCTAATTAGGCGGTCAGCATAAGCAGTGATGAGACAAACATTCCTTACTTACTTTCATTTACTTGTTTATTTATGTGACTGTCACCAGTACAAGAGAATCTAACTATAACTGAAACTTCTAGTTGACAATCTTGCCGAATTATCAAGTGATCACTGGAAGTGCTGTAACAAATCACCATTCCGTTAACTAGATGTTTCAATTACAGTAATTCAAACAGTATATTATGGATTAATAACTTCTACTGGAGACAGAAAAAATATTTCATATACAGTACAGTACAGTACAGTACAGTACAGTACTATGTACTAACTTGGCAATGAAGAAATGGAAGATAGCACCAACAACCATGAAGAGAATGGCTCCTGCTGCAATGTATGAGTTTGGCAGCTTTTTATCAATGCCTCGTATTCCATAGTAAGGTCGCCCTTCATATTTGTGGTCTTCACTTCTGTCTCGATTTTCCCATAGCGTTTCATCTCGGAATATGCTGCAGATAGAGGAACTTGTTAAGTTTCAGTAAACACAAACACTAACATATGGATGGCTGATCCTGAAATCCCTTTTCCCAGTGTTGTCCATATTTGGGTGGGTCTCTAAGTACCCAATCCAGGGTCCGTGAGTCCTCAATAAACAAAAATTACTAAAGCACACTGCTGCTACTACTTAATTTAGTGAGTAATGTACAATACTTGAACTGAATTCTTTTCGTAAGAGTAACTCTATAAACTGTATATAAAGCAAAGAAATGAACAGTAGGCATCTACAGTATTCACCTAAAAATGGATACCGGGTACTCAGTTTTCTGTATGTTTTATAAAGCGTCAGCAGTTAGCCAACCCTAAGAACTTTCATCCCGTATTTAATTTACTGTCCTTCCATCATCATTACTGTTTCAAAACTTTAGGTCTGTTGTTAAGGACATTTGCACTCAATAATCAACTCTAGTACAACATTCTGAACTACCTTATTAATATACCTGTACATACAGTATTATTAGCTGGTAGCACTTTCTGACAGTATTATCTACTGAAACATCTCTGTCTGCCTTAGCATAATCTCATCATACAGTGTAAGTAAAATAATATGAGTACGTACACTCTTTCTCGTGGAGCATCTGTCCTTATGTCACCATAAGTGTGCATGTTTGGACGTTCTTGGAATGCGAGATCTGCATCATATGCAAGACGTGAGTGAGGCTTACTTAAAACTGAGTAAGCTTCATTCATGGCAACAAATTGTTGGTGGTGTTTTGGAGAGTCCGGATTTTTATCAGGATGAAGCTGTAAGTAAACAAAATTCATGAAAAAACAAAATTTTTCCAGAATACGTCGTAGTATTCTATAAGAAACAGAAATCACGTTAATTTCATTGTTGGTATAGACATACAGTACATATAAAAATTTTAATTTTAAGTAATTGCAATACACTGTACTGTACAGTACTACTGCCATAATTTGGAATAATAGGGGATATACCCCTTGCTGAAAAAAGGCAAATTTAAATTTATGAGTACAGTACAAGTACAGTAATTGCATATGCCGGTGAACTTAACATATGATTAATTATACAGTACAGTACAATAGTTGTATTTTTAACAAATGTTTTTGTGTGAAATATGATATTAGTGTTTAACAATACAGTACAGGTAGTATAATTTAATATAAAATCCAGGGAAGTGGGTATATGCCCCTGTGACCCCCTGCAGACACCCATATTGAGTGATGTAGGAGTACAGTACAGTACTGTATATTAAAAAATTATTGAAAAGAGAAGGAGGACAAGAAGATGAGAAGTCTAAGTGGGCTGAAATGTGAATGAAACAAGGATAAAACTTTATTCAATATTTACAGTAGTGCTTTCACTTGTGAGTTTTGGTTATCAATCAAAGTATCCCGTAAGTTTATATAAAAGCTAAGAATTACATTTTCTTACCTCCATTGACAAACGGAGAAACGATTCTTTAATATCAGCTGGTGTGCAGTCTCTTCCTAATCCCAGTACTTCATAGTGATTTTGAGTCTTTAGGCTGAAAATTAATTCTATTTAGTTTTACATACAATTTAAATCTTAAGTACAATTCTGTATATCAATTATATTCATGAAATCTGTATAACTATTCAGCAAACTTTTAAAGGCAAAGAGATCAGATTAGCAGTTATGTATTCTACTCCAATTAGTGAAACATAAATGTACAGTAATAATTTTATAGGCCTGGGACTGGAGATATTACCTGGCAGTAGAGAGTGGTCTTGTGGCTTGGTATGTAAGTGATGTAAAGCTGCTCATGATCAGTCTCTTATGAAAGGTCATCCTCTTTAAAGTATTGCTTTGCATTTTCAGTACTTTGATGTGCTTCCTAAGGTATTATCTTACTTCTTGACACCTGCAATTAAGATTCTAAAGATAAAAAAATATATATTACATTTAAAATCAGAACATTACTTAGTGTAAATATACTTGTCCTAACATTTCAAAGCATAGTACAGCACCAGTATTAATAACAGTATTCTACCCCCCCCCCCCACTAAAAATACTGTTTTTTCATAAAGTAGAATTTCCATGGATTCAACTGGTGCAAAATAACGAGCACCTCTATTGACATTCAGCAAGACCGGGAACTTTCCGAACAAAACTAACATACAGTACCTAACGTAATCTAACCTAACTCATGCTTAGGTGAATGTATGTAAGGGTATCTGGTACTCCAAGAAGTTCCCAGACCCACTGAATGTCATAAAGGTGCTCCTGGTCTGACGCCTTTTAAATACTAGATAAACCCAAATATCACTAAATTCTCTCATTTTAGCAGGAACAGGTCAAAGTTTACTAAGGATCAGTAGTCTGGTCTGGTGTCACATGTTGAGATTGTACCGTGCTGACAATGTTTTGGGCATGTGGTTTGATCAAAAGCTTACCAACCCAAACATAACTTGATCTGACCTAATCTAATCTTTTATTACGAGGGGTAATATCAACCTGCCTCAAGATTTCAATAATATTTTGATTGAACTGCTCATGCCCAGAATATTTTCAACACATGACACAGGCTAAAATCACATGCACTTGTTACTGAAATTGCAGGACTGGGTGTGGCCTACTCACTGCATCATTGACAAAAGAAGGTAAAAACATAATAATCCCAAACTTTGCCATAATTTCACTGAATTTACATTATTTTTGAGGTAAAAAACACTTGCTTTTATTTCATATATCGGAGCTAGTTTAGATCTAGGCAATATGGCACTGTTAAATACTATATCATCTCACATTATACAAGAACAGCACAAACTAGAACACTATCCCCAAATATACAGGCCCTGTGTTACAACCACTACTGTATCGGGTCCGACTAATTACCCAAATGTACCCAAATATAGCCGGAATGAAGTCAAATAATGGTCCTAGATGAATAAATCAGACTGCCAATCACTTCTCGACTAGTATTTGGTGTCACAAAGTCACAAAAAATTGGTAAACTTAATTTAATCTGAGTTAATAGATCAAGTCCATGTAGCTAACCTAACCTAACCTAACCTAACCTAATCTAATCTAATCTAATATAATATAATCTAACCTAACCTAACCCAACACAACTCAGATTAAATTAAGTTTACCAATTTTTTTTTTACTTTCTGACACCAATACTAGTCGAGAAGTGATTGGCAGTCTGATTTATTCATCTAGGACCATTATTTGACTTCATTCCGGCTATATTTGGGTACATTTGGGTAATTAGTTGGACCGACTGTATCTGGTTCACTGAATGTCAATTCATTATATTACGTCCTTGTTAGTATTAATTTATTGTGCTTTTCTTACCAACTGTGAAGAAGTGGTTCAAGTGAAAGATTATGTAACTTGACAAACTCGAGCATCAGTTACCAAGTCCGTATATACTGATCTATTTGACAGTCTTTTCCTTCTTCTTCCAAAAGGTTAAAGGTGCTCACTAACTACACCAACCAGAAGATGGTGTTGTTGGTCACTCACCTCCTCGCCAAACCTCACAACACTCCCATAGAAAATGAAGTTTGTTTCACTGACTCTGACTTTGGTGACAACTCTAGCTTACATCTTTCAGTATGATCTTCTTGTACATTCTTTGGTATTCAGTTTTATTGTTTATGTTATGTTTTTCATTTAGTTATGTCTGTTTGGTCATTAACTGTTTTGTCTATACCCCGTAAAGCATTGTGAGATAGGACTTTAAACAGATATATTGGGATTTGTTATTGTTTACGTAATCCCTTTAATTCTAAGAAACAAATACCGTATCTTATTTCATAACTTTATATGAAATGAATTGTTTCGTACAATTTGGATCAGTGAATAATAATTTAAAGTTTTTTTGGCCAAATACACAAAAATAGTAATATTTTACAATTAAAATTAGTTAACCAATCATTTTACCTCTCAATATTACGTCCCAGGTTCGAGCCCCGAGACCCCAAGTCAGATGAGAGGAAGTTGATGTCCTACTTCTTTATACTTAACCTCTAGGCCACTGACCGGTCTGTCACGTATTGTTGATATGCTTTGACCTAGTGGCAAGTACTGGGCATGTACTGGCTCCAGAATGTATCTATATTTACGCCAGTGTTGATCTTGACATGGTATTGAGCATTAATTTCATACCTTGGGGTCTTTATTAAGCTCACATTCGGTGCCGTCACAATACTCCATTTAATTACTATAATTGGAATTGTTTTATTTCACAACTGATTTAAACGGAGTCAAGTAAAAAGCTGTGTAAATAATTAAATACTCCATTATTGACGTTATTACTGTTCATCAACCCTGTGGTATACATACAGGCGTTACAGTAGTTAGTTAACCATTAAAATATAAGGTATAATGATCCTTGTGTTCCACTGACCCAAATAGAGAGTCCCGAAGACAATTATTTTGATACTCCACTGAGTTAAATAAAGATCATTGCCTGTGGTTGTTTAAATACTGTAGTGAATTAAATAGCCATGGAAATGAATTATTACTCCACTATGACGTTTAGGTGACGTTAATGACCATCCACAAACAAATTGGTTAAGCTGAGGCGTCCAATCACAGCTTGAGAAATGTGATAGCCAGGTAAGCAAGCCAAGGTAACGCGTGGCCGAAAGCACCGTGCTGGGTTCTCAGTTCTAAATCTGGAATATTGGCCACACTTTTGCGTGGTGGGTACAGGTTTAGTAAAGCATTTGTGTTCTGCAAGATGTTGGGAAGACAGATGATCATCAGCCTAGTGAATTCGGGATCTAAAATTCTCGCACTAGGATCACGACGACACTTTCAAAGGACATGCAGCAGGTTAGCCCTTTCAGGTCCTACAGTAGACGTCACAGTACCTAACCCATTTGTATTATCACCAGTACAGTTAGTCATCAAGTTAGACAACACTTCGATCAGTGCAGTGTTACAGATAGTTTTGTAATTATTCCATTTGTAAATGTGTAGCTCTTAACATTTTACTGTCACAGAGAGAAAGTTTGATTCCCAGAGATTATTGCATCATATGAACTTAATACACCCGTACTCTCTGATAGGGAAGATATGGTTGTTTACTTGTAGCCTATTACACTTTTTTGAATGATTTGGTTTCAGGATTTTCTCAAGAATATTATTTAAATAGGTAAATTGAAACCCTATTACAGTATTTGCTCTAGAAGTGGCTCAGGGCAGATGTGGGAAGGGTGTTATCCAGTGTGGCACTATCAAACATGGTAGGTTTCTTTTGGATACTTCCTGTACTGACGCTAGACAGTAAAATTTAGGTAATAGTTAAGATCAATTGTGCCTCATAACTACCTACTGTACGGCTTCACTATAGGACATAAATGCTCACTTACCTCATGAAATTGACGAAAAGTGCACGAGCAATTTGTTTTGTGGAATATAAATTTTGATATTTTTGGTTCCCATGAACACAGTTTGACATGCGCTCACTCCAACCTCTGATGCAGCCATAGCTACCTCTCCACTTTCCTGAAGGTTGGGTGGTTCCTTTTATAGAAGTTTTGTTTTCTTAAGATGATAACAGAAGATACTGTAACTATATTACTTTAGATTAAGCTTTGAAGATTTGGTTAGGTTAGAAATTCTACTTCTTGTCCGATCAGCGAAGTCGTTTCCCTGGCATACAAATTGGTAAAAAATTGGTATTCACTTGAAATCTAGCCACAATTTAGGAAACATATTGTGTTCTGGGTGTTCATTTAATCTCTTTCAATTTATTTAAATTGTTACCGGCAAAGAGGAAGTTGAAGAATTTTTGTTTGATCATCCTCTATTAACAAAGAACATTGTGTGCAACATGCAACTTGGATGTACCATACAACCAAAGAAATCTTTATTAGTGCGACAGCAATATGGCGTCGGATGTCAAATGAAAGCAATATGGTGTCAGATGTCAATTGGCATCCATTACCCGAAGCCGGAAGAAATTGTCAAGTTCAAATCATGCAAAACGTATTGCTTCTGAACTTTTCGTCGTTTTCCTAAGGTAAGAAAGCATTTATGTTCTATTTTGAAATTTAATACAGTAGGTAGTTAAAGGTGTGCAGTATGTCTTGACTGTTACCAATTGTTCCACACGTCGTCTGTGACTGACTGAAGGAGTTCTGGGTTTGTTCTTTTCTGCAGTTTGGTTTATATAAGTGTGTGTCTTTCTCCTTGTTCTTGTATTATTTGCCGATCCTAACCTAGGATTGGTAGGTTAGGTATGTTTTATTAATACTAAATGTATATTGATACTTTATATTAATAATATTCAATAATAACTACAACTTTTTGGGGGGATAAAATGCTATTTTTCATGTTAGAATAATGCCTACTTAGTAATTTTTAGTACTGTATCACACAGTGTTGAAGGTACAGGAGGTAGCTTGATTTCTATACTTAGAGGCTACTGATTGGAGAACTAGGCTGTAATGAATTATGACTGGCTCTGGGAGATGAAGTTGGCTAAGTGGAGTGTCAGTATCTTTGCCTTATTGTGTGGTGGAGGTTTAGACCCACTTTCAGGTTCTTGTGCAGTTTTTAAATTAAACGGGGTTTGTCTTGAATTCTCATGGGGGGGACTTTTTTTTACTATAGTAGTTAGTGTCAGATGACTCATTTTAAAGATACCTTATGAGCCCTCACCCCACCTTCTCCCAGATGTGTACCTGGTACCAAATGCAGAAACTCTAAAAATTAACACTGCTGTATAGTTCATTTATTTGGCTGTCAAGGAATATTCAGGGCCTGGAGTCCATCTCATTTTCTCCCAAGTTTTTTAATTGAACTTTCATTTCTTGTGGTATCATGTCTAAGACACTCTAGGATTGTAATCACTGTGGGAATTTAGGGTTACTATTCTACTGTTCAAAATTGTAGTGTATGTAATGAATTAAATACGGGATTCAAGGAAAAAACAATTATGTATATTTTGGTATTTGAAAACAATAACAAATAACAAAATCTTTAACAATTGGTGTTCTAAACAAGTAAAATATGATTAATATTTGAAACTTCTCAATATTTCCACAGTCAACAAGCAAAAATAATTGATGGGAAGAAAGTAGCTGCTGAAATATATAGAGAACTCTCAGTTGATGTTCAACACATGGTATCCCGTGGTCAACGAGTTCCTCATCTGGTGCTTGTGCGTGTTGGGGGAGACCCTGCATCTGGTAGTTATGTCAAGAATAAAATGAAAGCTGCAGATAAGATTGGTTAGTTTCAAGCAAAGGATTTGATCATGCACATTGAATCATATGCACTCTCTTTCTCAATTGTACGTGAGGATGTTAAGCTACCTCTGTACTTGTTTCAGGCATTCAGAGTACTGTCCATCACTTACCAGAGGACACCAGCCAGTCTACTTTATTGAGTCTGGTGAATCAGCTAAATATTGACCCAGATGTTGATGGCATTTTGGTTCAGGTAAGAAATGGGTGATTGAAATATTTATGCAAAGACAAAGTTTTATGGGCGTCATGATTTAATGTCATAAAAGCCCAGGATTGATGTTTGGTATGAAGCTTTATTTCATTGATACTTTGACATTGATGCTTTGCTTACTAAACCAGCTTCTTTGAACAGATAATTACTCAATATTTCAAAGATTTATTTATGATCATACAGTCATACAGATGGCTCACAATTATTGACCTCTCCAGCAAGCATGGCAGAGCCACCTTTTATCCTCTTCAATAAGTTTAACAGATACTGTTGACATTCCATAGACTGAGTTACACCCTGATTGTAAGAATTTAAAAATATGATGGATTTTATATATATAGTACCGGTATATATACAGGTACTCCCAACTTAAGACGGGGTTAGGGACCGGCATCCAGGTCGTAAGTTGAAATGGTCGTAAGTCGGAAATGCTTAAATAACACATGGAAAATCGAAAATTTGGGTCTCTTTTTCTTCTCAGCACCACAAAACACTCACTTTTAAGCTTGCCAGCCATTTTAAAGTGAATTACAGGTGAAAATTTTGTCTGTGTACTGACTTTGGGACTCAAAAATACATAATTTGACCACATTTTGGTACGACTGAGGCGGTCGTAAGTGCGGGTGGACGTAAGTCGAGTCGGTCATAAGTTGGGGACTACCTAGTGTATTAAGTTAGTTACATTCACTACCATCTGTGCACAAGGGCTGAATATAATTAATACTGTACTATTATATTACCAAAGATTATCAACACATTTCATTTCAAATTATTTATCTCATTTTGCCACCATTTACTTTTCTCAAAACAGCCAATACTTGTAACACCCAAAGATTTCATCTCTGTGATAATTCTATACCTCTAGATCAGGCATGGACAACCTTTCCTCAGTCACGGGCTGCATTACAACTTAGGTATTTTTCAGCAGGCCTACTCACCAAAATTTATATCTTACCTAACCCAAAAGTAATGTTAATATTGTATTAGCACAGACAGTGAAGCAGTTTATTGTCACATCCACCTTACGATATTATCAGTTTACAATCAGTCTTTTTCCCATTTATTAAACAAATCCATCATAATAATTTTTTAAAGTAATTTGTAAATGTTTCTTGGCATTTAACAGAAGATGAGTGAAGCAGTCTGTGAATACGTTGATTTTTCCTACAATTACAGCATTTTTCTTACTTATGAGACACACCCACCAGAATAATACCAATGTTAATCTTGAAATATGAGGAACTACATTGAAACGACCTATTGGCACATCTCTTGTCTCTCTCTCTCTCTCTCCGAATCTATGGTCCACAATTTGATTGCGGGGTAATTAGTGGTTGTAATGATGCTTGTAAATTTTTAGTTACATTATTTCAATGCTAATTACTCGCCAACTATGGGTTACCGAGGTGTGATTTAGGTGTTCTTGTGTTATTATGGAAGTACTTAATTAGTTAAAATGTTTAAATTGTTGACTACAGTATATATATACTTATTTCATTGTTACATTTTCGTAGCTATTTACTCTTAGGTGATAAAATAGTAACGAATTGTGTGTGAAGAGTATTGTATTAATAAACATTGCTTTGCTCACAATAAACTGGCTGTATCTACCTGAACCACGGGCCACTTTAAATAAAATTTCTCAATCACTCCACGGGCCACACAAACACATGATCCGGCACAGGCCCATGCCTACTGTGGATCATAATTCAATATCTCATAAGCTGTAAAGTAGTTCATGATTAGTAACTCACACTTGTTATGGCTAAGTTCATCAAGGTTTGTTGTCACCTCCTCTAATTTGTTAAGACTCTCTGTAGATTGTCTAAATAATACAGTAACTACCATCTAAGCTAGAAAAATAAATTAATAGTCAGCATATTTTTCCATTAATGATTGCATATATTAAATTAGTTGAACATTTCAGCTTCCTCTACCGGATCAAATGGAGGAGAAGGTAGTGTGCAACTCTGTCATCCCAGAGAAGGATGTTGATGGGTTCCATGTGATCAACATTGGGAGGTGAGCTGCATTTAAAGAGTCCATGATTTTATAAGGGAATTTTCTGCAGGTTATCTCACCATCAGCAGATGTAATACTTACCTATTATGTGGAAAGATTTTAAATACTGTATATATATATATATATATATATTATATATATATATATATATATATATATATATATATATATATATATATATATATATATATATATATATATATATATATATATATATATATATATATATACAGGTATATATATACAGGTATATATATAAAACAAACACACACTGTACAGTGATATCCACATTCGCTGGAATATTTGGTATAGAGCTCTTCCAGGAATGAGATATTTCTGGGTACATTTTTGAGACAAATTTCTCATCCTAAGAGAAAATCACACATCTCCGGAATTTTTCCGGGTACTGGGGTAAGTTTAACCAGAGTCTAAACTAAACATATTACATGGACAGACACAGAGCTGTGTTTATTTATGCAACACTATTGCTCATATACATTACAGTACTGTCGTCTCGGGCTTGTGGTGCATAACTTGGTGAGCTTGAACTTATTTCATATGGGTGTAGAGCTTGGACTGTGAATGTAAGATGGAAAGAAATAAAACCAAGAGAAAAATATTGTTTGAGAGCAGTATGTAGGGTGAATAGGATGTAGAGCATAAGAAATACAGAAGTAAGGTGGAAATAGGGAAATAAATTAAGTGACAAAGGGTATACAGTATTGAGGGAGTATGGACATATTGAATGAATCGGAAATGAAAGTTTAGTGAAAAGATGGATAATTTAGTGCTAGATAGTAAATGAAAAGGGAGTGAGACCAAGAAGGTGATAGAATAGGGAAAGGGAAACAGTATTACATATAAATGATAGGTTTATGTGGATGACTCAGCAGTTAGATGAAATGGTTGATGGTAAATGCATTGACAATTTGTGTTTGCTCTTGATTCTGGCAATCCTGTAATATACCAAGATAAAGCTTGCAAAATTTGGCATATGGTAATATATAATAGTTGATCTAATGTTAGAATATGAGTTTGAAAAATTTATTGTGATTAATATTTCAGGTTTTGTCTAGATATGTGCAGTATGGGTCCATGCACCCCCCTTGGGGTCATGGAACTCATTAAGCGGTATGGTGAGTTTGATGTGGTGATGTGCATGTCTTTTTATATTCCTCTAATGTTGAAATAAATCCCGGTATTTTTTTGTTGCTCTATTTAGTGTGTTTATGTGTGTATACTGTATGCAGTATGTATATCTTATATGATTATTTGCTTCCTCATTGGAAATTAATATTATTTTACAAGAACTGTAGTTATGAAATTACTTGAATTTTACTCAACCCATAGAGCTTGTAGTTTTTCTTTTGTCATTACAGTACAGTATCAGGCATGGGGCGATTAAGTTTAAAATTTAACTACTGTAGTTAAGGTAATTAAAAAATTTTCCGGTTAAGTTAACCTCATTTTTTCAACATTAACTCATAAAGTTAAAGATTTTTTCGATTAAGTTAAATTAAGTTAACCAGTCTGTGTCAAATTTGCTTAGGGGAATTTTCATGTGGATTAAATAACTTAATATCCTCTAAATATTTTCCAGAAGAGTCAATGAATACTGTAGTTTGAATACCTGAATAGTGAGGCAGTCTGGCACACTACTTCCTTGGTATGAATAAGTCTTGAGATAAAATAATTATAAATTCTTAACTTTTTTATTTTTTACTCAACAGTTTTTCACATTTAAATAATTTTATTATTTAAGTATGCAAAACCAAGTTAGACTTTCTTATGTGAAAAATGATATCATGATAAGATAAGAATTCTGTATATCAAATAAATAATAACCCCATTAAAGTTTAAACTCAAACTTTTTCATCACATACTTATTACACTTTATAATGCTAAATATATCGGATACTCAAGGGCTGGTGTGTTATATATTATTTGTTATTTTTTTCTAAGGAGTTAATTGATAATTAATCGAAGGTAATCAATTAATTTGTCAAAATTTCGATTAAGTGTTATTTCAAAAGTAAACTAGTTAAGCTAAGTTAATTAATTGCCCCATGCTTGTAACAGTATAACCATTTATATTGCTATGATGATAAGCCAGTATGTTTAGTTGTATTGCCCTGAAACAACTTGTTTAGAAGCAGCAAGAACTCAAATTATGCAGCATAGGAAATCATAGTTGATGGGCAGGGACCCCTGCCCTGGATAAGCCCCCCTGCCAGGGAGGCTTATCCAGGGTTTTAGTTTGGGGAGCTGCAAAGTGGTGCATCTCATAAAGTAACTTATTAACCATGTTGGAATAAAAGACAAGTGTCAAAGCACTTCCTTTTAATGAAAAGTAAATGTAACATTTTGTATTTACATACAGATAAACTTTCATTACTACTGTATGTACTGTAATAAGTTGTTTAGAAATCCAGAAGGCATAGAGGCAAAGTGTAGTTGTTCTAATTTTGTTGTCTTTATAATACAGTACAGTATATTAAAGAACCAGTGTAGATAAATATCATAGGAGATTTACTTAATACTCTGTACACAGAGAGTATTTTTGAGATTGTATGATTAATGAGCACAGCCAAACTTAACAGTTGCCATTGTTCAAATCTTAGTGGACATAGTTCATCAGGAACCTTGCTTCAATGGATTAGTAAATGAGGAAATATTCTTGTTAATAAATTTCAATTCGATGTGCTATGATTTAATTGGGACTACTGAAAAGCAAGTCATTCCCCCCTCCCCCCACGAAGGATTACTAAATGGCTCCCATATGTTAACCTTGCATGGCCTCTCCCACCACATTTGTCAAAGTGTTAATCTTTTTGCCATTCAATGTAAACCTTACATATCTAATCCACTCTGTTGGTCCAGTCTCACCATCTTTGTCATATTGTCATCCTTCACATCTTGTACCATTCCCTGTAATGTAGTTAATGGTTGAAGTGTCTTTGAAAGTCAAGTTTTAAGGATGGTTGCAAGTCATTCATGACACTTCCAAACTTCAGTGATATTTTTCTTGGGTCACGATCTCTAGTATAATGAGGTATGCCAAGATCATTCTGAAATTGTAACAGTTTTTATCAGTTTGTATGATGTCTAATATTGCTCCCTTTTCTGTTATTTATCATAATATTTTATGCAGGTGACAAGTGGTGGCTTTTATTAAATATTTGTACTGTAATGAATTCTTGAGAATACAATATTTTGGATGAAGACCGGTATAGAGCATTACCTGCAGAAAATAAGTGATAAGGAGAGAATAATGTGTAATGTATATCCACAATATAAACAAAGATGGTGGTGCCATGCGAGAAATTAATGATACTGTATTAATATTACCGGGTATTTTATGCAAACTGTGATATTTTATGGCAGTTTGGTTCTTTTTATGAACGATGAATTAATAAATGTAGTAATATTTACTACTGTACTTCGGGATCATCCCAGATGCTGGATGTGAACAAAGGGAGCATGTGATTTTATGCCTCTGTAATACAAAATTCCCTTTTTTTTATTTTTTATTTATGGTTTGCTTTATGAAAACTGCTTGAGACTTATTTGCAAATGCTGAGTGTTGGTAATGAGAGTGTAGCACTGGATCCAAGAATAAAGCTCAGGCTATGTTTGTCAGTTTATTTGTGTGGCGAGGAGCACTGCTCAAGCACGGAGCGAGAGTGAGTGACTGATCCGAGGCCGCCCACGAGTATATATACCGGTTTACTGAACGAAGCTGTCTCGGCTCAAGTTTCCAACCAAGTTCAGTCAAGTCAGCCAGCCAACTCAACAGCAGTTACAAGAGCAAAACAACTAGTTACCAAAATGTATTAGGCATCTTTTAAGTTATATTACATTACATTAATCTATAATAGTTTAAATACAAGTAGAGAACAATGTATAGTTATTCTTGAGTCGGTTCATCAGCATTTGAACTTATAACTTCTGATTGTCTGTACAGAACAGCTGCCTTGCCAGCTGTTCCCAACATAATGGTTTACATTAGGAAGGGCATCTAGCCATAAAACGTTGCTTAAATATGCCTGATAGCAACTGGGTCACCAGAGGTGTGTCCATTCCCTGGTCTCGGTTGAATTTACTGGGCTGGTGCCCAGGGTTTGTGGTGTTGGGGGGAGGGTCATTCTGCTAGGGTTTTACTCAACAGCTAGATAATCTATGCAAGTACGGAAAATGAACATAAAATGTTAATGATAATTATATATATATTTTTTTTAAACCTGGGAACCTATGTGTCAAATGAAGGAATTTTGGTTTAGCACAGTATTGGCAACTGCATTCCTTAAGGTTAACCTTCTCTGTATAAATGCAGGGTGATTAACTTTTTAATTTTTTGCTCGTGAAAAATGGTGTACATACTATACACTATAGTGTAACATCTTTGTAGCTTGAATTAATTTCATTAGAAGACACACAGAATCCTCTCACCATTACAAAATACTTAACTGTTCACAAGAAAATAAACACATGAATGATATTACATTACAAGCAACCTGAATTCCACACTGTAGGGTAAGTGGATAGAAGCTGGGACATTGTAGGAGATTCAAGGAGCTCAGTGTTTACTGTTGAGAATTGCTTGCCAAGACATACTGTATGTGCCAACACCTGTACTGTATACACATATTGTAGATACAAACAGAGTTTTAATTTGCTTTAAAATTATTTTTACTGTAATATAAAACTATTTACTGTGATTTCAGTATTGGGAGGAGTGAGAGTACTTCTTTGGCAAAAGCATTATTATACTACAGTATACCAAAATGTCTACTTTTTCAGACCATCCATTGCAATAATAATTTTAGTAGTGCACTACTGTATAGTGATGTTCAACTGTATCAGTCTGTGATGCAAGGTGGATGGTATCAGCTGTAAAAATTAAAACAAATAATTCATATTTTTCCTCAGGCATTGAGACCTTTGGTAAGAATGCATTGGTATGTGGACGAAGTAAGAATGTTGGAATGCCCATTGCTATGCTTCTACACGGAGATGGCATTCGTCCAGACGGTATGTTTTGTGTCAAATTTGATCACATTTATTTTGAAGCAGAAAGTTGAGTTTTTGGATAGTCTTGCTAAGGGTGAAAGTTCCTTATCAATTATCAGTAGCTAGAACTTGGGCCCATAATTAGTCTACTATGTAAACAGTGAAAAGTATGAGGAAGGTAAATGTCACCACAATTGATTCTCTTACCTATAGCTTTTCTTTGTCCAATAATATTCTTTAAATAATAATTCATCTATTTGGAGTCATTGTTACTTGACCTGAGTTTTCCATTTGGTATATTCTGGTATATCAAGGGTTAACTATATCTGTTAGTATTAGCATTTGAAATATCTCAACTCTTATTGGGTTTAATGTTCATGTGATTACAATCATTACAGTCAAGAAGTAAAGGTGTTAAGGTTTAGCTTAATATCAAAAAGAGATTATACCTGTAGAATGAAAACTCTTACTTTACATATCCACAGGTGAAACTGGTGGTATGGATGCTACCACAACTATATGTCATCGCTATACACCAGCAGAGCAACTGCGTATGTTTACTGCTACAGCCGACATTATTGTCACTGCAGCTGGCCTTCCTGGACTCATTAGTGGAGACATGATTAAGCCAGGGTGTGCTATATTAGATGTTGGAATCAATCGGATCAAGGACCCCATCACTGGCAAACCCAAACTTGTTGGTGACTGTGACTTTGAAAGTAAGAATAGCCTGAATTCATAGTTCATTAGTCGGGTAAATAGTGGCTTCGTGGTTACATGTGTAACATATCAGGGATCAACATTAATAGTTGCTTGATAGCCCATTGTAAGTCAAAATCATATTGGCAACCTAACATATATAGATGATTTTGTTGTACGTATTCCTTAAATTTTAAGGTTTTTTCCAGTCAAAGGGTTTTCTTTCTGTTCAGCAACAAAGTTATTAATGTGTGTGTGTCAGTCATTTGAATATTACTTTTTGGCTTCAGCATGCCTGATGGCAATGTTGCCATCAGGTAATTGTGGCTAACCCACACATGTATGGAAAATGGCCATTAGATGTTGATAACGATGATGATTTGCAGAAATGTGCAAGATTGTTCAGAAATTTACATATCAGACTATGTAGGTGCAGTACTGACTCAGTATTGTATGCTGATTAAGGGTCTAGGGTAAAAAAAAAATTAATTTTGGTAATTACTTCCAGTACAGGTTTCTTCTGATCTTACTTTTGCTTTAATGCTTGGGGCTGCCTGGAACTTAGTATGTACAGTATAGTATTCAAGTCTCCTAATTGGGTTTTGCAAAGAAAATGGATTTCTGAGTACATCCTTTAACTTACGATTTTCATCATTTACAGGTTGTGCAGAGAAAGCGTCCTATATAACTCCAGTACCAGGAGGTGTGGGACCAATGACTGTGGCCATGCTCATGCGCAACACTGTTTTGGCAGCTAAGAAAAGTGTAGCTTATTAAACTCAAACCATAGAAAAGGTAAGGTGTCATTGTCCAGAAAATGCCTGATTTTGTGTACACAAACCTTGATTTATATTGTAGATTTAAATGATTTTAATTTTTTTGTTGTAGTTGTAATGGAAATTGGCTAATTACAAGAACTGATTGACAGCCCAATCTACTGTATGCAGTAAGTGGTGGTGGGCGAGGTGCTGTAAAGTAAGGAGAAAGAGTGGGTTAGTGGAGGCAAATTCCCTCTTTCTTGGTGCCTTCTGCCAGAAGCCAGTATAATGCTGTTACTGGCATTAACATATTTACTGCTTTGTTTGGCATTTATTTATTTACTGTAAAGTTCTTAATGCATATAGCAGTTTATTTCCAACAAGTTCAGGTCATAAATTGTTTCTGTAATTTTCCTCATAGGTCACACAAAACCAAGCATTGAGTGACTGTCCACTCCCATGGGAGGTTTGTGCTGTTCCTCATGATATATTTAGCTAGGCTGTGCTGGGGGAAAATAATCCCTAAGAAATGGCCACTTTTTAGCTGATTGTGATCTGGAAGGGTTAAGGTAGCCACTGTCTTACAGTTCTAGTCTGGATCTCATTCAACACATACTGAAACTGGAGCACATCAGATCAGTTTCAGTAAAATTCTTTTTATGTCTTTAATAGCATATTTCTCAGTGTCCTCATGTACATTTTCATGTCCTGTTTCCACAGCAGGCAAATGTGGGACTTGGACAATTTCTGGTCTTAAAGAAGAATAAAGAACTCATGGATTGGCTGAAGGAGACTGCTGGAGCCTGGTGTTGCTGTCATTCCACACTCATGAGTGACATCACAATTCTACACGTTTTTTTCTGGCTGATCTTGATATTTAGAAAATGTGGTCTTGGTGGAACTAATAATTTTTTTTTATTCCGGTTATAAGTTCTATACAAATTTAAAGGTAAAGTTTGTGCATCAGAAAGTATTTCAAAATTTTTCTTAATACCTTTCAGAAGGTATATGTAGTTTGAATCATTTAGAAGTCATCAGTTATCTCAATATCTGATACATACATAAAATGTTCACATTTTTGACAGGAATAGGAAACATATTGTTCAGTTTTATATCCTATTTTATAAAAAAATAAATAAAATCTGCAGAATCGACACCAAATACCTAGGTGTAAAATACTGTACACATCTTCCCTTTTATACTAAAACAAATTAAATTTTTTTGATATGGCTTAAATTTCACATAGCAACCTACAGATTTTAAAACTTCAGACACTGCAATTAATAAAGGGTATGTAAAGTTGGTTCCTTGTGTTTGTTTTCAGTAAATTTAATTTTGAGAAGTGATTGTGTCAACATTGTAGATCGATAGTAACAATACCTACAATGCAAATCTGCTAAAAGCCTTAAATTGGTGTGATCCCACATTGTCAGTTATTTGACTTAGTTCTCCTAAAAGTCTACTGTCCCTCAATAATCATCCCTCAGCTCGTGGCATAGGAGTGTTATCTTATTTATCCATTCATAATCCAATACAGTATATCCTCGATATATGTGAGTTCAGTAGAGGCAAATTCACTATTATGCAAAGACCTTATTCCTACCAGGAATTAAATTAATGTGAGCAAAATTCAGCCTTATGCGAGATGTCATACTCCATGATAAGGATTCCAACCCTGATGATTCTGCAGATGTTACTCCAACACCATCACCCACTATGTAAACCTCTACCACCACCTCCATCATCTTGTTTACCCAAGTCAATTACACTGTACTGTACACTTGCTTTATCTATTGTTTAAAAAATAATATTGTATTGGTTTGCTTTATGATTTATTTGTCTTGAAAATGGGTCTGGAATATTATAATTTGGGTTATGGAATGCATCCTATTTTACCCATGTAACTAAGTACAGTGATATCCCCATTGCCGGAACAATTGGTGCAGAGCACTTCTGGGAATGAGAGATTTCCGGGTAACGAAACGACTCTCTCTAAGGCGGAAAAAATCCCTCATCCCATTACTTCATACTGTATCTTGAACCCGGAAAAATATCCCTCATCCCCGTAATTTTCCGGGTAACGGAAAATTTTTCACGGAATTTCCAGAAAATGCGCCTGATTTTGATCTCTCGAACCCGGAAAAAAATCCCCCATCCCCGGAATTTTCCAGAAGTTCCGGCTATCGGGAAAATTTTCTCGGAATTTTCAGGAAAATGTGCCACTCGGAAAATCATTCCCAAATCCGGAATTTTCCAGAAAATTCCGTCTTTGGGAACGATTTTCCGAGAAAATTTCAATTCCGGCTATCGGAGAGTTCCGGGTTTGAGGGATTCCGGCTAAAGGCGATGTGACTGTATTCAATATATGCGATTTTGATTTATGCGAGGGTTTAAGGTAACGCATCCCTCCCATGTATCGAGGACTTAACTGTATTTGTAAATCACCGTCTTATGTGTGGGTCACAGTTTTGACCAGATCATGGAGTAAGGGTATCACCATCCTGGACCTGAAGTCTAAAGCTTTCTTTGGAGACATTGAGTGCATATTTTTGGTATCAACATGTCATCAACTCGCCACAGTTCATTCATATGACAATTTGCTGTGAACCAGTATGAAATACTGTACAGGGTATTGTTAACTTTCATAAAGGAATGGAATAAAAATGCTTCATATATTTTGTAAAAATTTATTATGTTTCATATCAAAAGTGGCATACAGGAAATTGTGGAATTCATTTCACAGTGATGTGGAATGAGGTCGGACAGTTCTATGGCCAATGTGTAATTGATTTCCACACCAGCAAATAAAATCCATTAAACGGCAATGTTGCAGAGCCAATGTCAAACAAGCTGGGAACTGTCATTAGTGTGAAGGTTTTCTGTAAATAATTCCCTTGGATTAATTTACTACCAAGGTATTGAAGAGACTTTATTGGAGGATCAAATAAAATTTTAAATGTAACAGAATTGTACAGTATTCTTCTTTAAGACAGACTCCAGATATATATAATTTATTATAGTGTACTACGTATACACGAATTTTCTCTGTATAAGTCAGGGATTATTTTTAATATTCATCAGTGATAATAGAAATAAAAGTGAATAAAATTTAAAAAGTTTCTTTCTTACATGATCTTTGTGTTTCCATAAGAAGAAAAAGCTAAAATATGCAGGCATTCCCTATATTACGAACAGGTTATGTTCCTGGACCCTATTTGTAAGTCGGAACAGTGTGAATTCCATAGGTTAGGTTAAATCACAATACAAAACAACAGTAATATCCCATACATAAAAAAAATAATGTATATAAAGTGATGTTAAACAATATAGAATAATGAAATTAATATAAAAATTGGGGGCTACGTTGCCTCTGGGAGGGCCCTTGGGGGGGCGTCGGTGCCCCTGGAAGGGACCCTGGGGGCGCCACTGCCCCTGGCAGGGCCCCTGGGGTTTCTGTTGCCTCAGGGAATGCCCCTGGGCACGCCACCGCCCCTTAGATGCGCAGCTGCCACTGGGATAGCCCTTGTGGGTGCAGCCATACCTGAGAGGGTCCCTAGGAGTGCCCCTGGAGTCACTGCCACCACTAAGGAGGGCCCCTTGGGCTGCCGCCACCCATAAGATGGTCCCCTAGGAGAGCCTCACTTCTACACACCACAATGAGTCCTTCCCTCACTCCTACCCATCACAGTGAGCCTTTCCCTCACTCCTACAAAACACAGTGAGTCCTTCCCTTACTCCTACACATCACAGTGAGTCCTTCCGTCACTCCTGTACAACACAATGAGTTCTTCCCTCACTCCTACATATCACAGTGAGTTCTTCCCTCACTCCTACACATCACAGTGAGTTCTTCCCTCACTCCTACACAACATAGTGAGTCGTTTTCTTACTCCTACACGCCGCGGGGAAGGCTCTTGGGTCCTCAGCTACCGCTGGGAGAGCTCCTGGTAGCGCCACCGCCCCTGGCAGGGCACCAGGGAACGGCAACGTCACTGGCAGGGCTTCCAGGGGCTCCACCGCCTCGGGGGCCGCCACCATCCATGGGAGGGCCTTTGATGCGATTTCTGGGGCCCTCCCAGGGGTGGTTAGAAATAACAGTGGCACTCCCAGGGTCGGCAGTGAACCCTGAGGCACTTTCAAGGAAGTCAGAGACCCCAGGGGCCCTCCCAGGGGCTTGGGCGACTCCAGAAAAGTCTAGGGGGGCGGTGGCGCCCCCAGGTACCTTTCCAGGGGCGGTAGTGCCCCGGGATCCTCCCAGCAGCGGCCGCGCCCCAAGGGGCCCTCCCAAAGGCAATGGCGCGCCCAGGTGCCCAGCAACGCCCCCTTTGGCCCTCCCGGACGTGACCCCTCCTAGGAGCCCTATAGCTTGCTGTCGTGGTGTCGTACATATTACATACGTCCAGCAATCCCTTACTTAACTGTGATTGGTGGACTAAAATATAAATCCACCAAATTCCAGCCAATAGGAGAACAGAAAAGTCAGTCAGCAAAACACCCCGACTTATGTTTTCCTGTTGGATATGTATTCTCCTTTACATTGTTCATGATCCGATGATACTGGAAATGCTATGGGCGGTGTATGTATTTAACGCCATATCTCCCATTGCTCTAAATAGTGCAAAAAGAACTGCCCCCAGGAGCATTACAAGGACACTGCCCCCTGAGGCTCTCCAATTTGCCCTACCATGTGCAGCACCCCCAGGGGCTCTCCCAGGGGTGTCGGAGCCCTCAGGGGCAGTGGCGGTCCAAGGGACACCCACAAAGGCGGCCACGCCCCTAGGGGCCCTCTCAAGAGCGACTGCACTTCCAGGGCCCTGCAAGAGACGGTGGCACCCCCAGAGGCCCTACCAAGGGCGGTGGCATTCCCAAGAGGCTTCCCAGGTGAGGTGATGACCCTAGGGCTCTCCTTAGGGGCAGCTGCCCCCGAAGGGCTGTCCCATGATTGTTGCATCCTCATGGACCCTACCAGGACCGGTTGCTCCCCAAAGGACCCTGCCAAGGGTGGAGGCGCCCCTAGTGGCACTCTCAGGGGAGGTGGCACCTACCTGTGGCCCTCCTAGGAGAACTGGAGGCACTCCAAGGGGCGGCGGTGCTCACAGGGGCATTTTCAGTGGTAAATGAGACCCCATTGGCCCTACCCGGGGCTGTAGCTCCCCCAGGGGCTCTCACAGAGGCGGTGGCGTCCCCAGGGGCCTTTCCAGGGAAACTGACGCCCCCAGGGGCCCTCCCAGATGCGCCCCCTCACAGGAGCCTTATAGCTTGGTGTCGTGGTGTCTTACATATTACATAAGTCCAGCAATCCCTTACTAAACTGTGATTGGTGACTAAAATGGAAATCCACCAAATTCCAGCCAATAGGAGAACAGAAGTCAGTCAGCACAACACCCCGACTTATGTTTTCCTGTTGGATATGTATTCTCCTTTACATTGTTTATGATCAGATGATACTGGAAATGCTATGGACAGTGTATTTATTTTACGCCATATCTCCCATTGTTCTAAATAGTGCAATAACAACTGCCTCCAGAGCCCTATAGCTTGCTGTCGTGGTGTTGTACATGTTGCATTCGTCCAGCATTCCCTAACTTAAATGTGATTGGTGGACTAAAATGTAAATCCACCAAATTCCAGCCAATAGGAAAACAGAGCAGTCAGTCAGCACAACACCCCGACTTATGTTTTCCTGTTGGATATGTATTCTCCTTTACATTGTTTATGATCAGATGATACTGGAAATGCTATGGGCAGTGTATTTATTTAATGCCATATCTCCCATTGTTCTAAATAGTGTACAAGCAATTGCCTCCAGAGCCCTATAGCTTGCTGTTGTGGTGTTGTACATGTTGCATTCGTCCAGCAATCCCTTACTTAACTGTGATTGGTGGACTAAAATGGAAATCCACCAAGTTCCAGCCAATAGGAGGAGAACAGAAGTCAGTCAGCACAACACCCCAACTTATGTTTTCCTGTTGGATATGTATTCTCCTTTACATTGTTTATGATCAGATGATACTGGAAATGCTATGGGCAGTGTATTTATTTTACGCCATATCTCCCATTGTTCTAAATAGTGCAAAAAGAACTGCCCCCAGGAGCATTACAAGGACACTGCCCCCTGAGGCTCGTCAATTTGCCCTACCAGGTGCAGCGCCCCCAGGGGCTCTCCCGGGGGTTTTGTAGCCCCCAGGGGCAGTGGCGGCCCAAGGGGCCCCCCAAAGGCGGTGACGCCCCTTGGAGCCCTCTCAAGAGCGACTGCGACCCCAGGGGCCGTGAAAGGGACGGTGGCACCCCCAGGGGCCCTACTAAGGGCGGTAGCATTCTTAGGAGACTTCCCAGGTGTGGTGATGCCCCCAGGGGCTCTCCTTAGCGGCAGCGGCCCGCCAAGGGCTTTTCCATGACGGTTATGTTCTCACGGAACCTACCAAGACCCGTTGCGCCCCAAGGGACCCTGCCAAGGGCGAAGGCGCCCCAAGCGGCACTCTCAGGATAGGAGGCATGTACCTGTGCCCCTCTTAGGAGAACTAAAGGCACTCCAAGTGGCGGCGGCACTCACAGGGGCATTCTCAGTGGTAAATGAGACCCCATTGGTCATACCCTGGGCTGTAGCTCCCCCAGGGGCTCTCACAGAGGCGGTGGCGTCCCCAGGGGCTCTCCCAGATGCGCCACCTCCCAGGAGCCCTATAGCTTGCTGTCTTAGTGTCTTACATATTACATACGTCCAGCAATCCCTTACTTAACTGTGATTGGTGGACGAAAATAGAATTCCACCAAATTCCAGCCAATAGGAGAACAGAACAGTCAGTCAGCACAACACCCCGACTTATGTTTTCCTGTTGGATATGTATTCTCCTTTACATTGTTTATGATCAGATGATACTGGAAATGCTATGGGCAGTGTATTTATTTTACGCCATATCTCCCATTGTTCTAAATAGTGCAATAACAACTGCCTCCAGAGCCCTATAGCTTGCTGTCGTGGTGTTGTACATGTTGCATTCGTCCAGCATTCCCTAACTTAAATGTGATTGGTGGACTAAAATGTAAATCCACCAAATTCCAGCCAATAGGAAAACAGAGCAGTCAGTCAGCACAACACCCCGACTTATGTTTTCCTGTTGGATATGTATTCTCCTATACATTGTTTATGATCAGATGATACTGGAAATGCTATGGGCAGTGTATTTATTTAATGCCATATCTCCCATTGTTCTAAATAGTGTAAAAGCAACTGCCTCCAGAGCCCTATAGCTTGTTGTTGTGGTGTTGTACATGTTGCATTCGTCCAGCAATCCCTTACTTAACTGTGATTGGTGGACGAAAATAGAATTCCACCAAATTCCAGCCAATAGGAGAACAGAGCAGTCAGTCAGCACAACACCCCGACTTATGTTTTCCTGTTGGATATGTATTCTCCTTTACATTGTTTATGATCAGATGATACTGGAAATGCTATGGGCAGTGTATTTATTTTACGCCATATCTCCCATTGTTCTAAATAGTGCAAAAACAACTGCCTCCAGAGCCCTATAGCTTGCTGTCGTGGTGTTGTACATGTTGCATTCGTCCAGCATTCCCTAACTTAAATGTGATTGGTGGACTAAAATGTAAATCCACCAAATTACAGCCAATAGGAGAACAGAGCAGTCAATCAGCACAACACCCCGACTTATGTTTTCCTGTTGGATATGTATTCTCCTTTACATTGTTCATGATCAGATGATACTGGAAATGCTATGGGCGGTGTAGTTATTTAACGCCATATCTCCCATTGCTCTAAATAGTGCAAAAAGAACTGCCCCCATGAGCATTACAAGGACACTGCCCCCTGAGGCTCGCTAATTTGCCCTACCAGGTGCAGCGCCCCCAGGGGCTCTCCCAGGGGTGTTGTAGCTCCCAGGGGCTCTCCTAGGGGTGTTGTAGCCCCCAGGGGCAGTGGCGGCCCAAGAGGCCCCTCAAAGGCGGCCAAGCCCCGAGGGGCCCTCTCATTAGCGACTGCGCCCCCAGGGGCGCTGAAAGGAACGGTGGCACCCCCAGGGGCGCTGAAAGGGACGGTGGCACCCCCAGGGGCCCTACCAAGGGCGGTAGCGTTCTTAGGAGACTTCTCAGGTGTGGTGATGCCTCCAGGGGCTCTCCTTAGGGGCAGGGGTCCCCCAAAGGCTCTCCCATGACGGTTACGTTCTCACGGACCCTAGCAGGGCCGTTTGCGCCCCAAGGGACCCTGCCAAGGGAGGAGGCGCCCCTAGCGGCACTCTCAGGGGAGGCGGCACCTACCTGTGGCCCTCCTAGGAGAACTGGAGGCACTCCAAGGGGCGGCGGCGCTCACAGGGGCATTGTCAGTGGTAAATGAGACCCCATTGGCACTACCCGGGACGATAGCTCCCCCAGGGGCTCTCACAGAGGCGGTGGCGTCCCCAGGGGCTCTCACAGAAGCGGTGGCGTCCCCAGGGGCCTTTCCAGGGACACTGATGCCCCCAGGGGCCCTCCCAGATGCGCCCCCTCCCAGGAGCCCTATAGCTTGCTGTCTTAGTGTCGTGCATATTACATACGTCCAGCAATCCCTTACTTAACTGTGATTGGTGGACGAAAATAGAATTCCACCAAATTCCAGCCAATAGGAGAACAGAACAGTCAGTCAGCACAACACCCCGACTTATGTTTTCCTGTTGGATATGTATTCTCCTTTACATTGTTTATGATCAGATGATACTGGAAATGCTATGGGCAGTGTATTTATTTTACGCCATATCTCCCATTGTTCTAAATAGTGCAATAAGAACTGCCTCCAGAGCCCTATAGCTTGCTGTCGTGGTGTTGTACATGTTGCATTCGTCCAGCATTCCCTAACTTAAATGTGATTGGTGGACTAAAATGTAAATCCACCAAATTCCAGCCAATAGGAAAACAGAGCAGTCAGTCAGCACAACACCCCGACTTATGTTTTCCTGTTGGATATGTATTCTCCTTTACATTGTTTATGATCAGATGATACTGGAAATGCTATGGGCAGTGTATTTATTTAATGCCATATCTCCCATTGTTCTAAATAGTGTAAAAGCAACTGCCTCCAGAGCCCTATAGCTTGCTGTTGTGGTGTTGTACATGTTGCATTCGTCCAGCAATCCCTTACTTAACTGTGATTGGTGGACTAAAATGGAAATCCACCAAATTCCAGCCAATAGGAGAACAGAAGTCAGTCAGCACAACACCCCAACTTATGTTTCCCTGTTGGATATGTATTCTCCTTTACATTGTTCATGATCAGATGATACTGGAAATGCTATGGGCAGTGTATTTATTTTACGCCATATCTCCCATTGTTCTAAATAGTGCAAAAAGAACTGCCCCCAGGAGCATTACAAGGACACTGCCCCCTGAGGCTCGTCAATTTGCCCTACCAGGTGCAGCGCCCCCAGGGGCTCTCCCGAGGGTTTTGTAGCCCCCAGGGGCAGTGGCGGCCCAAGGGGCCCCCCAAAGGCGGCGACGCCCCTTGGAGCCCTCTCAAGAGCGACTGCGACCCCAGGGGCCGTGAAAGGGACGGTGGCATCCCCAGGGGCCCTACTAAGGGCGGTAGCATTCTTAGGAGACTTCCCAGGTGTGGTGATGCCCCCAGGGGCTCTCCTTAGCGGCAGCGGGCCGCCAAGGGCTTTTCCATGACGGTTATGTTCTCACGGACCCTACCAAGACCCGTTGCGCCCCAAGGGACCCTGCCAAGGGCGAAGGCGCCCCAAGCGGCACTCTCAGGAGAGGCGGCATGTACCTGTGGCCCTCCTAGGAGAACTAAAGGCACTCCAAGTGGCGGCGGCACTCACAGGGGCATTCTCAGTGGTAAATGAGACCCCATTGGTCATACCCTGGGCTGTAGCTCCCCCAGGGGCTCTCACAGAGGCGGTGGCGTCCCCAGGGGCTCTCCCAGATGGGCCCCCTCCCAGGAGCCCTATAGCTTGCTGTCTTAGTGTCGTACATATTACATACGTCCAGCAATCCCTTACTTAACTGTGATTGGTGGACGAAAATAGAATTCCACCAAATTCCAGCCAATAGGAGAACAGAACAGTCAGTCAGCACAACACCCCGACTTATGTTTTCCTGTTGGATATGTATTCTCCTTTACATTGTTTATGATCAGATGATACTGGAAATGCTATGGGCAGTGTATATATTTTACGCCATATCTCCCATTGTTCTAAATAGTGCAAAAACAACTGCCTCCAGAGCCCTATAGCTTGCTGTCGTGGTGTTGTACATGTTGCATTCGTCCAGCATTCCCTAACTTAAATGTGATTGGTGGACTAAAATGTAAATCCACCAAATTACAGCCAATAGGAGAACAGAAGTCAGTCAGCACAACACCCCAACTTATGTTTCCCTGTTGGATATGTATTCTCCTTTACATTGTTCATGATCAGATGATACTGGAAATGCTATGGGCAGTGTATTTATTTTACGCCATATCTCCCATTGTTCTAAATAGTGCAAAAAGAACTGCCCCCAGGAGCATTACAAGGACACTGCCCCCTGAGGCTCGCTAATTTGCCCTACCAGGTGCAGCGCCCCCAGGGGCTCTCCCAGGGGTGTTGTAGCTCCCAGGGGCTCTCCTAGGGGTGTTGTAGCCCCCAGGGGCAGTGGCGGCCCAAGAGGCCCCTCAAAGGCGGCCACGCCCCGAGGGGCCCTCTCATTAGCGACTGCGCCCCCAGGGGCGCTGAAAGGAACGGTGGCACCCCCAGGGGCGCTGAAAGGGACGGTGGCACCCCCAGGGGCCCTACCAAGGGCGGTAGCGTTCTTAGGAGACTTCTCAGGTGTGGTGATGCCCCCAGGGGCTCTCCTTAGGGGCAGCGGTCCCCCAAAGGCTCTCCCATGACGGTTACGTTCTCACGGACCCTAGCAGGGCCGTTTGCGCCCCAAGGGACCCTGCCAAGGGAGGAGGCGCCCCTAGCGGCACTCTCAGGGGAGGCGGCACCTACCTGTGGCCCTCCTAGGAGAACTGGAGGCACTCCAAGGGGCGGCGGCGCTCACAGGGGCATTGTCAGTGGTAAATGAGACCCCATTGGCACTACCCGGGACGATAGCTCCCCCAGGGTCTCTCACAGAGGCGGTGGCGTCCCCAGGGGCTCTCACAGAAGCGGTGGCGTCCCCAGGGGCCTTTCCAGGGACACTGATGCCCCCAGGGGCCCTCCCAGATGCGCCCCCTCCCAGGAGCCCTATAGCTTGCTGTCTTAGTGTCGTACATATTACATACGTCCAGCAATCCCCTTACTTAACTGTGATTGGTGGACGAAAATAGAATTCCACCAAATTCCAGCCAATAGGAGAACAGAACAGTCAGTCAGCACAACACCCCGACTTATGTTTTCCTGTTGGATATGTATTCTCCTTTACATTGTTTATGATCAGATGATACTGGAAATGCTATGGACAGTGTATTTATTTTACGCCATATCTCCCATTGTTCTAAATAGTGCAATAACAACTGCCTCCAGAGCCCTATAGCTTGCTGTCGTGGTGTTGTACATGTTGCATTCGTCCAGCATTCCCTAACTTAAATGTGATTGGTGGACTAAAATGTAAATCCACCAAATTCCAGCCAATAGGAGAACAGAGCAGTCAGTCAGCACAACACCCCGACTTATGTTTTCCTGTTGGATATGTATTCTCCTTTACATTGTTTATGATCAGATGATACTGGAAATGCTATGGGCAGTGTATTTATTTTACGCCATATCTCCCATTGTTTTAAATAGTGCAATAACAACTGCCTCCAGAGCCCTATAGCTTGCTGTCGTGGTGTTGTACATGTTGCATTCGTCCAGCATTCCCTAACTTAAATGTGATTGGTGGACTAAAATGTAAATCCACCAAATTCCAGCCAATAGGAGAACAGAGCAGTCAGTCAGCACAACACCCCGACTTATGTTTTCCTGTTGGATATGTATTCTCCTTTACATTGTTTATGATCAGATGATACTGGAAATGCTATGGGCAGTGTATTTATTTAACACCATATCTCGCATTTTTCTAAATAGTGCAAAAAAAAAATGTAAAGGAGAATACATATCCAACAGGAAAACATAAGTCGGGGTGTTGTGCTGACTGACTGTTCTGTTCTCCTATTGGCTGGAATTTGGTGGATTTCTATTTTCGTCCACCAATCACAGTTAAGTAAGGGATTGCTGGACGTATGCAATATGTACGACACCACGACAGCAAGTTATAAGGCTCGTGGGGGCACCTCTGGTGTCGTAGCCGTCCCAGGGAGGGTCACTGAGAGTGCTGCAATCCCCGAGAAAGCCCCAAGGGGCGCCCCCGCCAATGGAAGGGCCCTTGGGGGCGCCACCGCTCCAAGCAGGACCCCTGGGGGTCCGTGCCTTTGGAAGGGTCCGTGGGGACGCCACCACCTCTGGGAGAGCCCCTGGGGACGCCACCACCCCTTATCGGGCCTTTGTTGTTCCTAGGTTGGCCCCTGGCAGCGCTGCTGCCGCTGGAAGGGCCCCTGGGGTCCCAGTTACCCCTGGAAGGGAATTCGGGGGCTCCACCGCCCTTGAAAGAACCCCTGGGTGCACTATTTTCCCTGAGAGGGCTCCTGCGGGCGACACCGCACCTTGCTGTGACCCCGCTGCCCCTGGGAGGGCCTCTTGAGGCCCTGCTACACCTGGGCGGGCCGTTGGAGGCGTTTCTGCCTTTTTGGAGGGCCCCTGGGGGTGTCGCTGACCCCGCGGGTGGCTCGAGGGCGCCGCTACCCTATGGAAAGGACCCTGGGGGTGAATGTGCCCCTGGGATGGCCGCGGGGTCGCCGTTGCCTCTCGGAGGGCCCTTGGTGGCGTCGCCGCCTCTGTAAGGGACCTTGGGTGCTCCACTGCCGCTAGCAAGGCCCCTGTGGTCTCTGTTGCCCCTAGGAAGGCCCTAGATGACTCCACCGCCCCTGGATTCGCGGCTGACACTGGGAGGGCCTCCGCTGCCTCTGGGATGGCTGCAGGAGGCACCGCTGCACTTGGGAGGGTCCCTGGGAGGGTCCCTGGGAGTGTATCTGGGTTCGCTGTCACCCCTAAGGAGGACCTCTGGGGGCGCCACCACCCAAAAGATGTCCCCCAAGGGGAGCCTCACACACATTGAGTCCTTCTCTCACCCCTGCACAACACAGTGAGTCCTTCCCTTTCTCCTACACAGCACAGAGTCATTCCTTCACTCCTACACAACACAGTGACACCTTCTCTCACTCCTACATGCCTCGGGGAGGGCCTTTGGGGGCTCAGCCGCCCCTGGGAGGCCTCCTGGTAGCGCCACCGCCTCTGGCAGGGCCCCTGGAGTCGCAGTTGCCTCTGGGAGGGCTTCCTGGGGCTCCATCGCCCCCTGGGAGCGCCACCACCCTTCACTCTTACACATCACAGTGATGTTGGGTGGGGGTTGGGGGGGGGGGTTGGGGTATGTTGTCATTATAATTTTATTTTATTTATTATTTATTCCTTTATTATTTTACAAATCGTTTTAATTTTAGTTTTATAATTGTTCTTTACTTTTATTTTTTTCTATATCTTAAATTTCTTATCCAATACTTACTATCTTTATGGTTATGTCTTTCCTTTATTTCCAATTGTTTCTATATTGTTCATTTTCTGATTCAATTTATCAAAGTCTTTACTTTCTGTTACTTTTCTCTTATCTAATTATATTCTGATCTCAGGTTTACCTGGGAAACCCCTTTTTACCTTACAGTATTCAATACTCACGGTAGCTGCCACCACCCAGGTTTACTATGAGAATATATTTCATATCATAACATTAACTTCTTAGCTATGACACTTGGTTAGTAGTAACATGGCGAGGGCTGGGCTCGTGGGTTTTAATGAAGTCACCGAAACAAATTTTAAAGGAGAATGAAAGGTGGATACTCCAATGGCAATGATATCCCCCAAAAACATTAAAATTATTTATTGCAATGAAGTTGAGCATAGGAACACATCAGTAGAACACATACACATGAACCACGCCTTGGGGTTCACTGAGGACTTGGCCAAATTTGCGTTAACACGGATACAAATGACTGTATAAAGACAACTTGGCCCTACATCCATCTAAGCAATAAACAAATCAGTAAATTTAACAGAAGCCATGTTTATTAGAAAACACACTACAAGTCACTAACATTCTACGAGTGACACGAAAATGATGAATCTTCACCACTTCATTTCATTACCACTTATACTAATACAGGGTACTTTATAACATTCTCCAAAATCCGTACTCACTCTTATAAATCACAGTGAGTCATTCCCTCACTCCTACACATCATAGCGAGTCCTTCCTTCACTCCTACACATCACAGCGAGTCCTTCCCTGACTCTAAGGTAACATAGCGAGTCCTTCCCTCACTCCTACACATCACAGTGAGTCCTCCTCTCACTCCTACAGAACACAGTGAGTCCTTCCCTCACCCCTACACATCACAGTGAGTCCTTCCCTCCCTCCTACACATCACAGTGAGTCCTTCCCTCACTGCTACACATCACAGTGAGTCCTTCCCTCACTGTTACACATTACAGGAGTCCTTCCCTCCCTCCTACACATCACAGTGAATCCTTTCCTCACTCCTACACATCACAGTGAGTCCTTCCCTCACTCCTACACATCACAGGGAGTCCTTCCCTCGCTCTTATACATCACAGTGAGTCCTTCGCTTACTCTTACACATCACAGTGAGTCCTTCCCTCACTTCTACACATCACATTGAGTCCTCCTCTCACTCTTACACAACACAGTGAGCCCTTCTCTCAGTCCTATACAATACTGCTACAGTAGACGGTTGATAAACATCTTAATACACTAATACAATCTGTTTTAGTATTTATGTAGACGTATCCAACCAAAATTTACTTCTACACGATACATCTTCCTGTTATGTAGGGTAGACTGACTTTCTTGGGGCATATTCATCTTTTTCTGTACTCTTGATCGTTTCTCTTGTCCATATTGATGGTGCTTCGTCATCTGGACACCAAGTTATGGTTCCCATCCTCCATGGAGACGTATTTTCAGTTTCTACCTGTAAAATGAATATTTTATTAGCCAAAAATAGTAATGTTTTTAATATATTGCAGAGTGGCAAGAATTAAAATCACCCTGTCTTCATACACTCTCATTCAATATGCACACTACTTGGTGGACTAAATGTGGTCTGGTATAATACTTCATCATTAACAACAAGTCCTGGTTTACTTCTGTTGCCTCATAAGTCAACATCACTCACCAGCAACATGTCTCTTCCCGAAAACCACTGCCATGCTATCCACTCCTTCACACACACCACTGCTTGCTGGCTGTTCCTTCCCTATCACTTCTAGTGCAGCCTCCACCCCACCTTCCATCTCCTCCTTCTTACCAAACACTTATCAGCCTTTCACTTCCCATTCTCTCAATTTGTCTGTCACCTGACCATCTATCCAATTTCACCACTCACTATATATACGGACACCTTTACTCTTGTACCACCAAACTCCTGCTGTTTCCCATGATGTGTAGAACACTGTGAGTGGGGGCAGGTGCTCCTCTGCTTTTTTAGATGCTTCTCTCTTGTGCTATTTCCTAACTAAGAAATATTAGTGAAAACTATTTTTATTAGTAAATATATTGCGGGACAGGTATGACAATTACTAACTAGAATTTTAACTAATACACATACCTATAATGACAAGGGGAGGGAGGTCCTTAAACACAATTCTTAAGCCTACAGAAGAATTATGTACACAAGCCATAAAACATAATTTCTTGGTAGGATCCAGACCCAAGGAATCTACATATTTTCAGCTACAAATATGTTCTCTGTACTAGCAAACAACACTGAAAACATTACCACTTATATTCAATTTGATCAAGAATAACTGAGAAACGCAAAGAGACCTGGCAGTTGTAGCATTAGTAACTATGACAAATTTTGTGACAAGAGGTACCGGTATGGCCAGCATAAGGACAGAACCAGACAGTGTGATGTAGTCGTGGCAAGAATTAGTCTAGGATACAGACACATCTGGCAAGTTAGTGGCGCTGTACCCATACCGGAACACTCAGCATGTAAACTTTTCGATAAAACTTTAAAGCATACACTTGAACATTATATTATTGAATGTGACACTGTCAAAGACTTCAGGCCACCTGGCTTATTGTATCATGAACTATGTAATTACTACATTGAATCCGGAGTGCTTGAGGACATTTTTGCGGTTTACCCTAAATTTACTAGCCCACACTGATTATTCCTCAAATAGAATATGATTTCTACTGTATATGAACCATTGTCCTGCATGGCAGTGAACAGTGATGTCACCCACAGTGTCAAGACCTGACTGAATTACTCCGAATACCCAAACTGTACTCCAAGCTTTGCCAATAAATGTTAACAGTTAACTTTCCATCTTCAACAAAATGTTATCATCCCTCTGTTCCAAAACCACCTTCTACAACTAAGGTTAAAAGCCTTCAAAATGGCAAAGTAATTTACCCCCATGTACTAAGAAAAGTTCTAATATAAATTATATACTGTACGAGATAGTCAAATTTTTACACGGTTCTCAATATTACAGTTAATTATATTTGTTTTACTGTACTCACTTCCGCTAATCTACAGACCACCAGGCCATTCTTGTGTAAAGGGCAAATAATTTTTTTCTTCTTCAAGTACCACCCCGACTTTACTTTAACATAAAGTATATCATACTTTACCATTGCTTCTAACTTAATTTAGTAGACACCTTGGGAAGAAAAGACACTATATTTCGCCAGAAAAGCCTGTTTTTTGGAAAGATTGTTGGAAACAACAACACCGTGTGTGATCTGCTGCCAACAACATACCCTGTGAGTAGTTACATATGATAAATATCCAAAGTTACAAATTAAATGAATAAGTAAAAACATGAGACTCAATAAAGCAATAGTATTTATGTAACATTATTGTTCTTGTATTTAATTATCTGTGCTCATAGTACAGGACTCTGCCCCCATACAGTGAACCCACCCACCTCCCCACACTGGTCTTCATCCCACACTCTGTCCTTGTTACACCCAGCAGTTCTAGGAAAGCCTCATGTTCCCGTGTAATCTTCATTGTCTTCTCAGTGGTCCACTTCAGGGCAACAAAAAGACAATGAGCGTCCGACCACTCTCATTCCTCACCAGAACTGACTCTTTGAGAAAACTTCTAGCGTGGAAATACGAGTACAACTGTTATAACGGATTCAACACTGTTCACCACCTTTAAGGAATCCAGCACTTCCTATAAGAGATCTAACACCTTAACAGTATAAGAGATTCAACACCTCTTTCAGGGATCCAACACTGAAGACTTTCTATAAAGGGATTTAACACTTATTCCTCCTACAAGAGTTCCAACACTAATAACTAGAAGAGATACAAGTTGAGGCAAATTATTATTATTAATATTGATTGAGCTTGCATGCACACTACACGGCGGGGGGGCCACCTGCTAAGGAGAGTAATGCGGAGTGGGCTGGCTAGGAGAGGCACGAGAAGAGGGACAGGCTGACTGGCCAAGAGGTACGGACGGACAGAGACTGGCTGGCTAGCTAGGAGTAAGTTCAGCAGTCATCTCCGTCATGGCCATTACCGCCACACTCACGCTCTGGCAACTAACTTTTTTTTTTTAAGCCGCCGTAGTCTGGTAATGAGGAGTGTGTATGCTCCCTGCGTCCTCCGCCAGCCACTCTTTTGTTGGCCAGTCCCACCTCTCGGCCACGTTGACGGCACTGACCCTTTTTTGTAACCTCATTTTCTGACACCCGAGAAGATCTTTTTTATTTTTAGGAGGAAAGGGGAGGGGGAGGGGCTATGGCTTTATTTGCCAACAGTCAGTTTTATTTGAATGTTATTTTGGGGTGGATGTTGCTTACTTAAACGTGTGTGTGTGTACGTGTGTGTGTGTGTGTGTGTGGAAAGATGCTGCCACCGCCCCTCCCGCACTAGATGTAGCCCCCCCACATGTACAACATCTGTGATCGACTCTGCCAGTCCCGTATCGGCCTCTTTAGTCACCTCAGAACACACCAACCTAGGTGACATCCTTAATAACTCAGATCATTGTATAATAGCTGGATGATCGTCATACTTGATTCTGAGTGACAGCAAAGTAGTACTAGTAGTGTGTGTGTGTGTGTGTGTGTGTGTGTGTGTGTGTGTGTGTGTGTGTGTGTGTTTCAGCTGTGTTTGTTTTGTTTTTGTATGTCAGTTATGTTGAGGGGAGGGGGGGAACTAGAGGGGGAGGAGGAGGAACAGGAGGAGGAGGAGGTTGTTAGAGTGAGGTGGCCATCAGTTAGAGGCGACGGGTCATCTGGCACTAT